ATTCTCTGGTTCTGAGATTCCATGATTCCCCGAACAAGTGTACATTTCTTTCTGGTGACTGGCATAAAGCCTTGCCCGAATTGTATTGTATCTTTTGCTTGTTATTTTTTCCTTGCGCGATTTTTGAGGAGTCTGTGGGTGGTCTCGGCGTCTATTCAGAAAATGGCATCAAGCTTGCAGCATGAGCAATACTCCGGTCGATGTTAGCAGCGCAGCATTTATCTACAGGAAGAGATAATTCGAAAATAATAAAAACTCACAAAAATAGATTAAAAGAGAAAATATCATCTACTACTCCTCTTCGTGCCTGTAACAATAATCAATTAACGTCCGCTTGAGAGAAATGAGGCGATAAGTAAGATAAGGTCACGTGTATGACCTAGCAACGCGAGGAACGCGCCTCGCGTTCAGACTATGCGCCCTTGAACCTAGCGTCCACTCTACCTCATTCTGAATCTTGGACGTCTTAAAGATTGCCTCCAAGTACAATTGATATCAGTATGGGAATTATTTCCTAAAACACACCATAATTCACCATAATATTCGCGCCATGTCCTCGCCATCCACACCACGGTCGACGCGTTCCGTGTCGCCCGCGGGCGATTCGCCGACCATTATCACTCCTGGCCAGAAGATCAAGGCCATGATGGCAGCATTCGATAGCGATTCGGAGGATGATACTCAAATTGCCAAGTCAACAGATGCTGTCTCGAAGCTTGATCTAGGGCGTGGTTTAGTCCGGGACGCCAATACACGCGAGAATGACCTATTGCACGACTCAGACGAATCAGCTAGCGCAGATGAGGTTTTTCGACCAAAAGGCCGTATGGCTGCTCGTTTACAGGGTAATTCCAGGTCAGCTGAAACCGAGGACGGAAATTCTGCATTTGCCCGTGTGTCAAAGGCCTTTCGATCAGAAAAAGAACAGGGCGAGAAGCCACAGCAGACAGAACCACAACCTACACCCATCGACGAATCCAGTGATGATGATCTACCTACGGCCGGTCCGAGGAGAAAGCACAAATCCACAACCAACTCCCCCAGGCCCGACAACAGAACGAGCCAAACCCCTTCTCGTTCAAGAGCCGACTCTCCTCTCTTTGTATCCTCTCCAGGCGAACCGCATGACGACCTACACACCGAAAACGAAGACACAGAAAATGCAGAAGAGAAGAAGCCTAGAGGAAACGCCCGTTTCCTGTCTCTTGTTGCCCAAAAGCGCAAGGAACGTGAGGAGCGCGAGAAGGCCGATGCCGAAACTAAGAAGGCCATCCGAAAAGTTCAGCTGGAACAATTCAGTTCGCAGATAGTGTCAGGCGAGGAGAGCGGTGCTGACGATCCTCGTTCTGCCAGCAAGCTCTCCCAGAAGGCTCGTCAGCCGCGGAAAGCCAGCAAGAAGGCACTGGATGAGATGAAGCAGGAGACTCAGCGAATGAGCCGTAACATGCAATTAGCTCACCAGGCCAAGACAAAAAAGAAGATCACCAAGGAGAGCCTCTTCGCGAAATTCAACTTCATGCAACCCGATCCCCCGGTCGAGCAGCTCGCGGCAAATTCATCGTCAGCGGTCGGATCACAAAATTCCTCTGACGGAGAACTACACAACAAAACGAAAGACACTCCGCATACTTCTCCAGTTCTCGGTCATTTGGATTCCACTAAGTCGACCGCTAATTCTGGGCATGCCCAAACTCAAGCAAAAGATGTGGATATGGATATGGATACGGACAATGAAGGTTTGCCTGATCCGAATGTCCTTATGGCGCCAAATCAGTATCCTGAATTGTTCGAGGGCCCTTCAGTTCAAGATGTATCGGCCTCTGTACCCGAATCTAAATCCGATGGTGCAGAATCGAAGAGAGTTTTCCGACCACTGACACAACGACCTATCCGCGTCCTGCTTTCTAGGAAAGAGGTTGCTGCGCACCAGAACGATGTAGACGATTCCGATAGCGATCTTGAGGTGATAACATCCCCTGGCAAGTGCCGTGGCATTGCAGCGTTCGAAAACCTGCCTACTAGACAGGCACAGGAAGACCCCTCTATGACCAAGCTCAAGGCATTGGCACACCTGGCATCTCCTACCCGAAAAATGGCTTCCATGAACTCCGCAGAGCTTTCCGCAAATCTATTATGGCGGGCCCGACAGCAAGCGGCCAAGGAGCGCCAGGAGCGGCTGGATGAGCTCAGGGCCAAGGGAGTTGTCATTGAAACAGCCGAGGAGCGTGCAGCGATGGAGGATGACATGGAAAACCTTGTTGAGAAAGCGCGCAAGGAGGGAGATGAAATTCGCCGACTGGAGAAAGCTGCCATGAAGAAGGCTAATGGTGACGACGATGAAGAAGAGGATGATGACTACGTGCTTTCCGGCTCTGATCAGGAGGGTGATGTTGAAGCGGACGATGAAGATGACCAAGAGGAAGAAAACGAGCGCGTCAATGGTGGCGGGGATCTCGTCGAAGAGGAGGCCGACGAAGACGACGATTCGGCTGACGACGAGAGTGAGGTCGCTCCTTCAGATGCAGAGAACGAGATGCCTGCCCTGAGACGGAAGCGACGAACTCTAGTAGTTAGCGATGACGAAGATGATGATCAACCACAAGCACCCTCAACGCCTGTGAGAGCCCCGAGTTTTGTCCCGCAATCCGTCGAACGACCCAACTTCCTTGGCATGGGCACACTAGGCGATATGTCCCTAGGTCTTACCCAGGCATTTGCCTCCACGTTGGATGGTAATGGCGTTGGTACCCAAGAAGAATCTGCCACCATCCCCTTCTCTCTCCCAGACCCTGGTCAGCCTGTTCCTCAACTTCGAAAGGAGGATTCAGAAGTTCTTGTTCCAGACAGCCAGCCGCAGACCCAGGATAATAACTTTATAGAGAGCTACACGCAGAGTGTGACCCGAGTATCGGAGTCGCCTGCACCATATGCCTTCTCAGAGTATTCTCAATCCCAGCTGCCCGACCCAACCCAGGACGAGGGCTTTGTATTCTCACCATTCGATCCTGCAAAGAGATTCAAGGCTACCCCACCCATGTCTACCATCGACACGGTCCTTGTGGGCCAAACTCAGTCGCCCATTGCTGAACGCAAGCGCAAAATGTTGCGGCGAGGACGTGCAAGTGAACTTGTTCAAGTCGACGAGAATAATAACGAAGGTGACTTTGAAATCGATGCCAACGCTTTCAATGTCATGAAGAAAGATAAGGCTGCAAAGAAGAATCATGTTATGCAATACGACAAGAAAACCAGCAAGGCGAAAGACATTATCGATGAGGCAGCCGAAGAATCCGAAGATGAATATGCAGGCCTTGGAGGTCACAGTGACGAAAGCGATGGCGAAGAAAATGCCGTTGATCGCCAAATGATCAATGACAACAGTGGCGAGGTGGTCGATGAGAAGCAACTGGCCGCACTCAACGCGTATGTTCAAACTTGATATATTTTCAATGAGAAGATGCTAACATTCTTACAGGATTCACGACCGCAACCGCGACGAGAAAGATGTCGCCAAATTGATGAGAGACATCACCACTGGAGCCCTCCGTCGTCGCAAAAATGTGGATGACGACTTTGACCTTGATGACTCGGATGATGAGCTCCTAGCACGTCGTCGTGAGAAGCAGCGCGAGTTCGCTAAGATGCGCCGCGCTCTCCTTGCAGACGAGAAAATCGGCGAGATTGCCGACAACCCCAAGAAGGCCGCATTCTTCAAGGCCGTTGAGGATCGCGAAATTGATGATGACTTCAATATCGACTTCCTTGAGGAAGAAGAGAACGGCTCCCAAACAGAAACTCCGCAGGTCCCCGTTTCAGGAGAGCAGTCGAATGATGCGACGAGCGATGGTCAGAGTCGCAAGCGCCCTCTCGAGCCATCCGCTGAAGATGCAACCAACCGTCTGCCGCCTCGCCTCCGTCGCACCCCTGCTAGCGCAATGTCAAAGAAACCAGCCACAATAGCAGAGATCCGCGAAACGTTGTCCTTCCTCACTGAAACCTTCGAATACGACTCCTTCCAGGACGATGCTTCACTTGATGAGGCAGAACACGAGCAAGGAGATGATGAAACTCCCGGCGCGGAAGAAGCCCAAGGTGATCACGATCAACCGCAATCGGACAATACCTTCATCAAACCTAGCCACCCACGCCGCACGCGCGGAGTCGTGGTCGACCGCCTTGCACTCCTCCGACAAGCATCGTCCAACTCCGCCACATCCACCAACTCTGGTCCTACAAACTCCAAGCTTGCATTCCACAGCGGCAGCGGCGGAGAGGGTCCCATTGGATTCCGCCCTCCTCAACTTCTACGTCGTGTTACATCAGGCTCTTCATCTTCTAGTAGTTCGACCACCTCCAACCGTGTCACCAAACCTGCAGCTTCGGGTCCTAAGAAGGGCGGTGCCGTCAACTCGTACACAGCTGCCCGTGAGCGTGAGCGTGAAAAGGAGCTCCGTATCAAGCAGCGCAGCGGGGGGTCCAACATTGCCAAGTTGCTGGGTAAGCATACTGGTGGTGGTTTGGGTGCGTTGGATAAGGGCCAATGGGACTGAGTGGATGATGAATTTGATGTCTTTCTTTCTGCATGGGCATGGATTTGCCTTGTTATGTTATGATGGAATGGGATTGGTTTCCCGGGGTTAGGGTAACATGGAGTTCGGGCATTAGGCGTTTTGTTCATGATAGATCCGCTACATATTCAATCAACGATTTAGATTGCATATTTTTCTAGCGACCTTTCCAAATGGGAGCAATCTACGGAGTACATTTTTCTCTTTTTGCTCTATAACGAAGAAAAAGCAAAAAAAGATGTGCATCATCCGTGAATCGAACACGGGCCTCGTCGATGGCAACGACGAATTCTACCACTAGACCAATGATGCTGAGGTACCAGGCGGATCTGAGAGCTGATTCGTTGGTTATAGTGGGACTTCACTATTAAGTTATAAGAGGGCATTTCATGTCAAACGACAGAATAGATCAATGTTAGTCTATAGAAACATTCACTTCTTTTGTTCTTCATAGTCGTAAAATCCCCGGCCATTTTTGACACCCAGACTTCCACCTTGAATCATCTCCCGAAGGTAGTCTCGCGGCTCTGTAGGAATTCCGCTCCGAGACTCGGCGTAGTGATTCTCGATGTCCAACACCACATCCAAGCCGACAACATCCATCTGTTCACATGGGCCCTTGGGCGTCTTCAAGACGTCTTTGAAAATGGCATCGATTTCTTTGGGTGTGGCAACACCTTCAGACAATGTGAGCAGAGTCTCTCGCTTGATAGCAGCCCAGATTCTGGAAGATTGTTAGAAACCTGATCGGGTAGTAATAGAGAGGGAGAAGAATAACTCACCTGTTGTATATGTAGCCGACAGAGTCTTTTTTGACGTAGAAAGGCGAGAACCCATGTTCTTTACATTGCTCCAGGACGAGCTCAATCAGCTTAGGATCGCTATCCTTGTGGCCCATGATTTCAATTGCTGACTCCCAAGTTAGCAATTTGAAGAAAAGGCTATAATTTGGAATAGGCATTACCGGATGTCTCTGGCGGCCAATCTGACACTAGGTGTTAGCGAAATATTCCATTTAGCATATAGTCACCTACAGCAGTGCGCGCTCATAATTCTCTTGTTGTTCTTCAAGCTCATGCCATCGATAATCTCAAAGATTCCGTAGCTACTCGAGTTCGAAGCAATGATTGTATCTTCAGGTGCAAGCTCATCAAGTTGAGTGATAACTTTTCGCTTAAGGTCCAAGTTCTCCGGCACACACTATCAAGCCATGTCAATAAATGAGTGCTATTGGTAAAGAGTTAAGTCATACCTCAACAACGAGCCATGCACTTTTAGTGTAGATTGCAAAGAAGAGGGCTGGGATGTCTCAATCTTCCCCCAATTCCCTTCGTGGTTGGTAGCATCCGCACGAAGTTGTTCCACGTACTTCAGACCATCTTGAAGCTGTTTCTCTTGGGGATCTACCAGACGGACGGTGCCGCCTCGGCTCGACCACTTCAATACTTTAATACCAATGCAGATGTTTATGGTATTGATCATCAGCACTTACCATGTGCGCAAGACGTCTACCTTGAGTACCAGCTCCGATGATTACAACAGACCCCTGTGGCTTTTGAACCCCTTCCATCTTGAATGTCAAAGCAGAGTGGGACTTCTGCGTCGAGTTTCAAGACTTTGATAAATTGAGGTAATGAAGCAGGACCAATTCGCGAACCAGGACGGAGATCCAAGCGCAGTTCGGTGTCTTCTCCGTACCGGATATGCGGGGTGTACTCCGTACGAGATTTTGATTGGTTGTGTATATGACAGACCTGAACTAGCCATTTTCGGTATCGCGTTGTATAAAAGAGTCGTTGATCTCTGTCCTGAATGGAGGATGAAGCCTCGCAAAGAAATGGAATAGCTAACTGAATATACAATATCTTTGGATATAATTTTTCTATCTAGATATCCACCACATAGTTACTTCCTATTACTTTATGCCCCTCCGCAGTAATAAATAGAGCAATACAACCACATTGACGTCAACCAATCGAGTGAAGCCGTTCGGGCAGCCATTTTCAATTAATTTCGGTGCTGTGGGCTGTCCGAAAGAATAGACCCTGTCGTGGATGCGAATGAACCAAACCCGAAACCAGCACGATTTTTGAGGCTGGCCTCGAGATTGCGCTTTGGGTGCTTGTGGAGAAGCAAAAACATCCAGGTCGTCGGTGCCAGGAAGCTCTAATGTAGAGAAAGGCGGTGTGGTGTGTTTCAGGAAGCGAAGCATCAAGCTAAAGCCCGAGGGTGAGGAGCACAGACTCATGGTCTGTCAAGAATTTCGTATGTTGTCGTTGTATCAGTTTAGGGCAAGTGATGTTCCCTAGAGCTCAAGGAACTTCGTAGGTATTTCCTTCACTTGTGGTTTGATATGATCCATGATTGACTTTGATCAAGTTCAACTGTTCATCTGCTCGCTGTGGCCAGTGCTTTTATGGAAAAAGCTCCAATTTATCTGCAAACTTGAGGAGATCTGGAAGTTCCTTCGAGTCAAGGTTATTGTAACTAACATGATCTCGAAGAAGCAAGTAGCTCTCCCAGCCTGCATCCCTGGCAGCCTGAGCATCCTTTTTTAAATCATCCCCCACATGCACAGAACTAAATTTGGTTCTGCTGGTCAACCATGGGCGGGCAACCTTTAGAGCCTGCCGTCTCGCCACGTCGAAGATCAAGCGATGAGGTTTCGATTGACCGGCCTCATAACTCGTAATGACCATATCGATATCGAGGTCCAAGTTGCGGTCTGCATGATCTTTAACGTGTTCCTCGGCAGCATCGTTGTTGATACTTCGTCCCTCAAACCCAGGAAGATCCATACTCGATCGATCCTGGTCGGCGCGCATATCACCAACTGTCAGCCCCAGCGACTTCAGCACAGCGGGCACTCGGTCATCCGAGTTCGATATCACGCCCACAATTATCCTATCAAACGACCACTTATGCGCAGCCTTTAGTTTGCGCATTCGGCGGAAGAAGGGTAGCACATCGTCAAAGAGCGCGTACCCCTCGGAACCAGCAAATCGATCTAGTAAGGCTTCCACCATGCGATCAGAAATATGTTCTTCTGGGTCTCCGGGGCGCGTCTCTCCATTCTCTGCAGCCAAAACACGCTTGAAACTCCCCCTGATTACCTCCTCCCACCACTGCCTCGGCCCCCCGTATTGACCTCGGAGAGCTTCCGCGCGACCATAATTTGGATACCGATGTGACTGTGCACGGAAGGTATCCCGGAAGGCGGTTTCAAGTTTGTCCGGGGTGACGGCAGTGCGCGATAATCCGAATTGGTGCGCGGTCGCGGCATATTGTTCGGGGACGGGGAGACGTGGGTGGAAGAGGGTGCCGAACGCGTCGAAGGTGAGGAGAAGAGTGCGTGAAGATGCCGGTATAAGGCGGCCGGCTGATCCCGCCATTTTCTTCCTAGAGGAGAGTGATCTTAAGCGTGATCTCGCCTTGGTTGGTACAAGGGATGTTGGAGATGTTGAGCTTCCGCAACGGTTAGCCCCACTCTTTTGTTGACCCTCATATTCCCCATCTTGTCTCATATTCAAGTGGGAATTTACAAAACCCTCAATATCTTAATGCTTGTTGCTGTCAGTAGCACTTGGACCGAATCTTTTGGCCACAGTCATAGTCAGAGACTGATTATGGACTTGTTCAACTCAAACCACAAGCTCATAGCATATGACGTCATGTTATATGCTACACCTTTAGGGTATGTCTCCAACTAGTTCTCTGTTAATTGAATTGAGCCAGACACAAACTCGGGTACTCGTTGGAATTTATCGTGGGTAGCAATGCTTTAGTCACGAAATATAGCACCAAGAGCATATGACGGTAAACTTCGGAGATATATATCTCGAATCCTGGTTTCACGACAAAGGAATTGGTCACGCGAGCTTATAAGCGGCCTTCCACTCATATTTTCAAGTTTTACATTAATGCCTGCATTATTAGCAGTAGCCGATTATCTGTCCATATGCCGATATTCTCTTGGGACACTATTGCAAGCTTCGCCCCTTACTATATGAAACGAAGGATGTGTTTCAAAAGAAATTCACGGTTCGGCCTATTGTCGGCACTACTACCATACTACCATCACTGGATCGCGATACGATCCGAGCCAACCGGATGTTCCTGGAAAGGCGAGAATAGAGCTGCTACGATATATGGAGTACAGCATGGCATATCTGACAGCTTCGCCCCATTCTGTGGGGGTCAGCATGTCTAGCAGAATTTCGGCGCGGGAGAAAAACATGCCGACTAGAAAGTATGAGCTTGCTTGGATGGAACCCTCAGGTTGTTACTACTTCCCTAAATTGATAATGCATGATTAATCGAAGTGGGTCTCGCGGCAATTCTGCTTATTGCATGCTTGGTAAGGACGTTAGGAATTCTCATGATATCCACTATCCACTTGGTAAGTGTTCTAGAACTTTGTGACATACAGTATCTACAATAGAACTGCCAAGGTATATGTGGGACGGTGGCTGAGAGAGAAAGAGAACTCGATCGAGTACCCTGTTTCTCGACGCCTCTTCCATAGGATACACTAATCAAAGTTCAGAAAAATATACCCTAAAGCTCGAGATTGATTATCTCTACGTCAGCGGCAGACTTGGCTGGGGAAACCCTATCCCGGAAGAATGAGCGGAACACAGACCCTTTCGGTATGTCTACTCCGAGAACTGAATCAAAGTAATGATTGAAGTGGATGCATGTTCGGTCCGAGACTTCTTAAAACGGCGCCACTTTAAGCGCTACAACTTCAAGGCCAACATACCTAATTTGGCATACAACAAAGGTATAGTGTAGTTTCAAAGGCGTGCTATTTTTTCTCTATGATTATCAGACAAGAACCCAGAAAATTCCAGATGTTCACCCAGTGGGCTGGTTCAGGAACAAGAAAAGTTAGTTCTCTTATCTGATCGCACTATACCTAATCGGTGACATTCGACGAAATTAAACCCACGACGAGCCACGTTTCGCCATGTTTCGCTCGCGTGCCAAGTCTTCAACAATTGATCCACCGAGTTCGACTGTACCGGTGTGACGGACTCGTTGTGGAACAGTTAAAATGGCCAACTCCCCCGACAAGATTTATAGATCGGGATTTCAGTGAGATCTTATTCCCTCGTACACGTCAAAATGAGGATCTTCCAAGCTGGCTCTCTAGCCATTTCTCTCTCTGTTTTTACAACAGCTGCCTCCGCTTCCGTCTTCCAGAATCACACCTATGACTATATTGTGGTCGGTGGTGGCCCTTCCGGAATCATCAGCGCCGAGAAGTTCGCCCAGGCAGGAAAGAAAGTTCTGCTCCTTGAGCGAGGTGTCGGACCAACAGTGGCCACCGGAAACAATGAGACCCTGACATGGGACCACTCATTGACTCCCATCGATCTCCCGGGACTGTCGGCTGACATCGGCTCGCTCGATGTCTGGAACCAGTATGTGTGTACCGACACTGCTGGCACTGCTGCCTGTGTGCTCGGCGGTGGTGTAACAGTCAACTACATGGTCTTTGTTCACCCACCAGCCCGCGACTTCGACGACAAGTGGCCCAAGGGCTGGAAGTGGAAGGATGTCCAGTCGGCTGCAGACCGACTCTACAAACGCAACCCTGGAACCATCCTGCCCTCTGCCGACGGCAAGCGATATGACCAGGCTCTTTATGGTGTGCTGTCCAAGTTCCTCGGTGGTCTTGGTTGGAAGTCGGTGGATATGATCGCCCAGCCGAATGAGAAGCACCAGGTCTACAGCTACCCGGCCTGGAACGTGAAGAACCAGATGCGTGCTGGCCCTGTTCGCACATATCTACCCGATGCTACCAAGCTAGATAACTTCCACCTTGCTCTCCAAACCAAAGTCATTCGCTTGGTCCGTTCCGGTAGTCAGGTCACTGGCGTCGAGGTGCAGACTGCCTCGGGCGGCTCTGAGATCATCACTATTGCCCCACATGGTCGCGTGGTGCTGGCTTCCGGTGCTTTGTCTACTCCACGTCTGTTGTGGAACTCTGGTATTGGTGGCCAGGCCCAGATTGAGACTGCGAAGAAGAGCGGAGTTACCGTTCCTCCCAAGGCCCAGTGGATTGACCTGCCTGTTGGTGTCGGTCTGAAGGACCACCCCATTTTCTCGATCGTCTTCAACACCAACGCCTCATTTGGCCTTGTTGACTACGACGGCGTCCTTAACGGAACCGACTCTAGCGATATTTCCCTCTACCGCAATCACAGCGGTGTACTGACCCAGGGCAAGCACCGCATGATCTTCTTCACCTCGGAGGAGATTGATGGCCACACCCAGTACTACCAGGGCTCGTGCGCACCTACTAGTGAAGGCGTGGTCACCATCACCACGTACATGACTCACGGCCTCACCTCGTCCGGTGTCCTGGGACTTGATGCCAGCGGAAATACTGTTATTGTGAAGTCGCCCTACCTCCAGACCGCTGCTGACCAGAAGGCCGCCCGTACTTTTATTCAGAAGATGGTCAACAGCATCACCGCCCCATCCACTGGCTTTGAGCTTGAGACTTACACCAATGTCTCAGCCATCTTGGGGTCTCAAACTGCTGGTATCCACTACACCAGCACTGCGAAGATGGGTACCGATGATGGCCGTAAGGGCGGCACTTCCGTTGTCGATACTAATACCAAGGTCTATGGAGTGGATAACCTTGTAAGTCCAGAATGTTACGTTGCTCGAAAGATGATACTAACCCTTTTTTCAGTTCATTGTCGACGCTAGTATCCATCCCGACCTCCCGACCGGTAATATCCAAGCTGCTGTCATGGTGGTTGCTGAAGCCGCAGCCGCTAGGATTTTGTCCTGCTAAGTAGTAATTCATTGCCGAGTGGGAATCCGCACGGTCGTCAAGGCACATGTATATCAGGGTAGAGTTGTATAAAATTATTTCCAAATTCATCCACAACATACATACATTCCTCTGTAAGACCCTGGCTTCGAGAAGCAGATCAAAGTAACAAATGTCCGGGTGCTGATCCAAAGGTGTGAGTTTACCCCTGAGATCCCGGACCCTCTCAAAGTTTAATTTGACGGTCTCCCCTGACTATCTTCCCTGGATACATCCATGTCATCACATCCATGTCATTTCACATTATGGAATATTCAGATTTACAACTTTGGAAGGTTGATACTGTGACACTACGGAGTAAGGACTCAGGAGTACGTATGCGAGGGGTGAGGGGGCAGAGCGGGTGAAGGTCAGATACCTGAATAGCTTCAAGATTACCTAACTGAGAACAACAAGATCCAGCCAATCAAATCACTAGGAAGATTAAAAAAGGCTCTGTTATGATGAACAGAACGGGCAGTTATTTCACCCCAAGCCCCACTTAGCTCAGTGGAATATGACCGTTGGTGCAGTCTCTAGGCCCAAGGCTGTACCTTCCGTTGACCGCCAGAACTTGAGAGAGCGTGCGTTCGAGCCAGGGCGAGTTCTCAAAGAACAAAGGAATCCTAACAGGTGTTGGCCCGCCTGGTCCCTTCGTTTGGGGTAGGACCGAGTCGAGATTCGCTAACAACGCATGTGTATATATCCCGTTAAGCGGTTGGTTTAGACGAGTAGATCTGCCTATCACTTGTGACACAAAATTGGGGAAGGCCACCATTTTTTTTCTCTTTTTTAAGGAAGCAAATGAAGTTGTATTGATTCTCTCGCGAACCCACAGACCCGCTTCCCCGGATTTTGTAATCTCCCCCCGTGTACCAACGAATCGTGCCACTACGACAATGGGACTTTTTCTCTAAACCATCTCTTACTAATAATAAGCTGTTCCAACCTGGTTCCAAGACCTTTGGCCGCTCTGCCCCTTCGCAGTACGTGTGAACATCTACCTTCATCCATGTTAGCCCGCGACTTTGGTAACCCCTGTCGATCCCCTGCCACTACCCGACACGACGATGATATCATCACCAGCAATCCTGCCGTTTTTCAGGGTGCAAACAAAGAACTCAACGCAGCTGACGGGAATCACGGCCCCACTGCGCTATTTGACATTTCGACCCACTATGGAGGAATGAGATTGCAATCTACCTTAGTGTTGCCTACGTTGGGTTTAACCTTCTTCTTACAATCTTTTCTGGCGGACAGAGTGCTGATCTCAAGTTACCCTGCGCAGGATACCAACAAATGATTGGTGATTCCGATCTGCACGGTTGTACTAGTCATGTCGATCCCGGCTTGACTTTTCAGGGTTCGCTGCACAAGACTCGATCAATCACAAGCGCCGGTGGATTTGGGCTCGGAATCTTCATTGCTGTGATGATACAGAGTGCGGAGTATTTTGAAGGCTAAGCTCACTATGCGGCAAATTTACCCTAGAATGCGGATGCTTCCTTTTATACCTTGACCAAGGGGTTTCCCGATTCACAAATGATCTGCATTTGGCCCATAAAGACGAAAATTCCATCAATATCTTGGCCTCATCCTGACAGCCAGAGTGGGAACCCTCCCGGGCTTTGTTCCTGCACCGAGTGAACGATCTGCAAAGTGGCTAATGAGGATGGACCTCATACGAAGCTTATAGTGGAGCTAGCAACATGTGTCGGACCCAATCTTGTGTGGTAGCGCCTTTATTAGCCACTCAGCGTGAAGCTTACTTTCGTCTTGGCCGATGAAACAGGAACAATACTGCTCCATTCTCCCATCGGTCTCATTTCCGACATGAGCGGTCCCCTTTCAAGACTTGTTAGCTCAGGAGAACGCTCAAGGACGTCAACAGACGAGGGGTCGGACTCGCATCAACGCTGATCCCATGCTGACAGCTATCGTATATAACAGGGGTCGTCTTGTCGGGACGTTTGAATTCTAAGAACTTTCTTCTTGTCATTCTTTACCAACAAGTCATTCTTTAATCTCGGTCCACACCGTCCATTCCTTTGTACCAAACAAGTCTTTGAACTTATTCCACTCATTGAACGACAAGATGAAGTCTTTCGCCTTCGCCCTTCTGGCCTCTGCGGCTATGGCCCTACCCGCCAACATCCCTTCGGGTACCATCGGCTCTTTGCCCTCCGGAGTTCCCTCTAGCCTGCCCTCCGGTGTCATCCCTTCGGGCATGCCTCTACCGATGACATCTATGATTCCCTCTGGCTCCGATGTCGCCGCAACTCCCTCATTCTCCACCTTGCCTGATCCCACCGGTGCTGGCCAGGTTCTTTCCATCCTCAACCAGGCTGGAACCTCGAAAATCGAAATGATGGCCGAGTCCGAGCTCGAGAGCTTGATGAGCAAGCTGCCCTTGAGCGCTCTCGAGAAGCCAGTGGGCCAGGTCATTCAAACGGCTGAGTCCGTCGACAAGCTCGACACGAACACCGGTTCCGGCCTCACCCAGATTACCGCCCTCCTCGACAATGGCAACGCTGCACTCATCGAGCTGACCCAGGAAGTCGTCGACCTGCTCTCCAGTCTCGGCCTCCACAAGGTCGGCAGCCTTCTCGGCTCCATCGTTGGCGGCCTTGAGTCTATCACTGGAAACGTCAAGCGCGACGACCCTCTACAAAACGTTCTCTCCATCACTGACGTGAACGGCCTTGCTGGTGGCAAGAACCTTCTTGTCCAGGTTGAGCCTACTGTCGTCGGTCTCCTCAGCGGTCTTGACTTGTCCACCATTGAGGGTCCCATCGGCAACGTCGTCGCCGTAGCTCCCTCTGTCTCTGAGCTTAAGTCCAAGGTTCCCGAGATCCCTGGTGCTAACTTCATTGCTGTCAACGCCGAGGATAAGGTTTCCGTCCTTTTGATCAAGGTTGACGGCGCTGTTCAGGGACTTCTCTCCACTCTCGGCCTTGGCAGCGTTGGCACTACCGTCGGCTCCATCGTCTCCTCCGCCAAGGGTGGTCTCGTCCAGTAAATATTCTCCCGTTGATGGGATCTGATTTTCTTTTCTACCATTTGCCAATTTTACTTCTTATATGTAAAGGGAATATCACTCCGTGATTTGCTTTGGAACTGCCACATACAACAATGACGAACAAAATGGTCAATCCCTTCTACATACTCTACATACTTCTTGAGCATTATTATGTTCTGTATTCTGTATATACCCTCAACAAATGTTATATATGCCTGAAATAAACCAATTATGTCCAAACAGCAAATCTCAAGTCTGGCTGGAAGAGGGTCGAAAACCCGAACTAAAACAAAGGCTAGTGATCCACATTAAGTCACTCAGTGGTGCATTCCACCCCAGTAGCTCTCTCCACGATGGTCGTATGGATTTGATGCATCCTTGCACTTTGGACTATCATAGTCCTCGATTGTACCCATGGGCCAAATAGGCACCACACAAATCTCATTCGCCGCACAACCCCGGCACTCCTTCCACGTCGCCCAATCAAGATAACCGATCAGATCCCGAAGAACCTGAACCGCAGAGTCAAGCTCCTTCTCCTTCCCAGCCTCAATCAGAGACGAGCAGATTCTTTGAGCAACACCATGGACAGCATGCGCCGCGATACTACCACTCTTCAAAGACAACGGCGGCAAGAACTGAGTTGCACAACGCTCAATCTCAGCGACATCATCCCGCGCACTGTAGTCAATGAACGGCGACAGAAGACGCTCAATCTCGGACTGCAGGCGCTCAATTGAGTGAATCCAGCCGGAAGCAAAGTAAGACAGCTCATCGCCGTACCGAGTCACGATCATATCCGTAATCGCCTGCCAATCTTCGGAGACATCGGCAGGACGATGCGTCAAGACCAGATTTGTGACTTCGGCACGGATAGCAGCGCGCTCCTCGGGAGAGAGGTAGGCAAGTCGGGGCAGGGTTGAATTGTCTTGGAAGAGTTCTACGTCGTAGGAGAAGGCTGTCACGAAGTGGTTGAAGTTCAGCGACACTCGATTCCCACCGATTCCGTTGTAGCGTGCGGTGATTGCGCGCATCCAGCGCGACGAGTCGGGCCCGTTTCCAGGTCCGCCGTGGGGAGGACCTCCAGGACCTCCAGGACCACCAGGACCACCAGGACCCCTCGGACCGCCGGGGCCACCGGGGCCGTGTCGCCTTCCATCATCGTCCTTCCTTCCGCCATGACCGTCGTGGTGCTTGTCATCACCCTCTCTGCGAGGACCATCCCGGTCACCGTGTTCACGGTTACCCCTAAGTCCACGGTGTTCCTCAGTGTCTTCCTTGACCTGCGTGATTCGCACTGTAGTTAGATCGCGCTCAAAGTTGCAGAGGATAATCTCAAAGCCAGCTTCCATGCGCAGCACACCGTCAATGCGACCTTCCCATTCATTCTCGGCCATCTCGCAGGCCAGTCTGGCGCGTTCGTACTCTTGCCCGCCACCCCTCGGGGGTTCTTCGAACGAACTGTTGAACAGAACCGTATCCTGAGAATCGAGCGTGCCCTTCGATGTCTTGGCGGCAGACATACCGTCAAGATACAGAAGGCGGAGATCCTTGGCTGCAGCATACGTATGCAGATACCCGGACTCATTCTCATCGAATATCTTCGGCGGGCGACCAGCTGGCGGGCCATGGTGTTCACGCTTCCGCAGCTCACCATGGCTGCCATCCTCTGGCTCGGGATCATCATCACTGGGTGGTAGGTGTGGCGGGGGGCCACGTCGGGGCCGGGCGAAGACCATGGCATGTTCGGGCTCGAACGCCAACCACTCGGTGCCATTCACTGGACTGGCCTTGGAGGTTCCATGGTAGAACTGCGTACCGGCGGGAACGGCCGCGAGGAAGAATGACACGCCATTGTGGTGCAGAGACGATCCCCATTGACGCATTGAGTCCTGGATCACGTTGAAAATGTGATTTTCATTGCTGATCGACACGTTCTTTGGGGCTGCTGAGAGGGCATTTGATAAGGCTAGAACCCCGAATATCGGGAGGAGCGATTGTGGTCGCATTCTTGATGAGAGCCTACTCTGGTAGGAGCAGTGCGAAGAAATTGACTCTTTCGGAAACTTTTATCAGATCGCAGATCGGGCTGCATGAGCGGAAAAAGCAACGTTCATATACGACAGGCCTATAACATACGAGAAAGCCGCGCGTCATTCGATTCTTGGCTATCCGCTTTTTGGTAGTTCGGCCCGACGCTAGGAGATAAGCTACGGCTAGTGGCGATTCGGGTCATTGGCCCGAGGTTGATGGGCACAATTCATTGTTGGATAACAATGTTACTACTTTAATTGTCTTGATCGACTAACTGACTGAAGTTTAATTTCCATTATTCCCACTGTGATTCCACCCATCGCACCGATTGCTCAAGTCTCATTCGCTTTACTCATATGTCAAAAAAAGTCCCGATCTGTGTCTGGGATCTTACTAGGGGATTTTGACTTCATCTGGAAGTAGGCCGACAGGGTGCGTTCGCTGACCCATGCTGCTTTCAGACCGTTGGAAAATCCCTCAACACACGGACTGGCCCCACGACATGTCTGCCTGTTTGCTTCGGTCGGGGTATCGCTCGGGGGTATCGACTTGACTCAATCCGTATATAGACGTTCATCTCTTCGGCGAGCGTCGAAATCATGAAGCCGTTCTGTAGACCTCAGGTAGACCTATAGCACCGAGTTAAGGGCAATTTTTACGAAAGAGGGGCGCTTCGGTATAGCCGAGAACTGAATGTATCACAATTGATGCCCTTTGAGCCTTAGATTCTTTCGTCCCCTTCTTTACTCGTACGGAGAGCGACGGCTAGGGCTAGCTTGGCAAAGTACGGTGCGTCTTCCTTCTTAATGATGAGATACGTGTTACCTGCCAGATCAGTTCAGAGGAAAAGAGTGCATTTCTGTCCAAATACTAAGTACGGAGAGAGAAAAGAGAAGGAAAACTATCTACGTGCTCTTCCTTCGGGTTTTGTGCGTGTCCTTCTCTGCAAGCTATGCAAAGGGTGTTCCTCACTTACGTTTGAGGAAGGTGCAACGCAGACCAGGCAAGTGCGGTTGACGAGTACCTTCTGTTCCCGACACCCATGTTCTTAGATCTTCGGATCGTCACAATATGGATTATATCGGTGAATTTCGATAAATTCGTCTTGCTTCACGAAGCGCTTTCCCGAATCACCCTATTATATTGTCTATACCCGTCCTTATAAGAGGTAAAGGCCAGAAACATTCGGCAACGGTGTGAGATGAATACCGTTATCGGCGTACTAATAGTCATATCAGTATAGAAACTCAAATATAGCGATATCAGTCTGTATGCTTACCTATCCTTCGGAAGGCTCTTCTCAGGATGCGCATTTAACAGGGCTAACCATTTGGTCTCCTGCCAATAGACATTCGGTTCATGGATTAATTGCCTTAGAGCTTTTGCTTCGAGGATTGATTGTGCTCGAAAGGTTGATTTCGACTCTAGGAAGCCGTCTACCTGGCATGACAAGCTGAAGACGCCCGATCCAAGCTCTCCGATTTTCTTGTCCCTGCTAACAATCTTGACATCGAATGTCAACTTCGCTTGAGTCGGATTCCAGTTACTATCCACATGACGGTGACTTGCGCAGACTGTTTGCAGAAAAGGAAAAATGTGAAAAGTCAAGTTCCCATGGTGGTAGATCTCCGAACACTCGAAATATCATTTAGATAGATCGCGCTTTTCGATAACGGAGATTCATGAGGATGTCTAGCTCGGAATCACCGAACGACCGAAGTGGGAATTCGGGCATTTCTATATCTTGTTAGCACACTACTGGGAAAAATCAACTGACAATCAGTTATTATCACACCGGATTGCAGTTGACCCGAGAATGGCACAGAAGCTTACGGATCAAGTTCTCGTTGGAGGAGTGCTAGCAGTATATGGTCTCGATTATTGTTTGTGCACGCGACGTGGGGGTTGGCTTCTTCGAAACACTGGGGAGATTGACTGAAGCGAGACGTCATTGTGGGAGCGAGGCCGTAAGCTAGGCTAGCTTAGTGAGTTAGCGAGTTGACGTTGTCAGTAAGTGAGGGGCCTGTAGACTCACATGATCAAGGCATATACACTAGTATCATATATAAGGCGAGGGCAGTTGTGAAGGAAGAAGGGGAAGTGCGGTTATTGGCTGATGTAGATGGAAATTGAAAGGAAGAAGGGGAAAAAATGGCAAACAAAGCATGTCGAGAGCCGGCAAAAGCTCACACTAGGGCCTAAGGGAACTGATGCAGCTTTAATATCATATTTGAGATATCCAATCCAACGACACGAATGATCATATATTATATAGCACAACGACACTAGGACTTTGTTTAGTAATGGAGTGAGCGGTAACTGACGGTAATGTAAGTCAGATTCTCCTGCTTGTGGAAAACGTCTTTTATATAGGCGAGCTTTAAACAAAGAACAAAGATTTTGACACCAAAAACAACAGTTACCTGAATCAAGTTGGTAAATCTAGACAGTCAAATAGACAAAGGAAAGATTCTCACTAAGCTCAGATATTTTCGATACTACATAAGTAATCCAGCCATCTGTTTCGCCCAGCTTCTCGTGCCTATATGCTGCGTGCGAGAAATCGGTTGATGTTGTATTGGACTTTGTATTATAGTCTATTTTAAGCTGAGAGTGTCCCCTCAAGAGCTTTAGTTGAGTAGTTCATCACGCGATATTACGCAACCATGTAAGTGTGGATATATTATGTTGTTCTATTTCTTCATATGCCGCTTCAATGAATCGGCATTAGGGCGAGAAAGCTAACGTGACCGCAGTGCAAACAAAACATACAATTTTGGGTTGAAAAATAGAGTGGCCAACGAATCAAATCAACGAACGGCCAGTGGAGACAACAGTTAACCAATTGAAAGTGAGAGGTACGTCCACGTGCCGATTTCGGCCAATAGAGATCGTGGAAATTCTGACTTGTGGGATCAGAGCCCCACTGTGGAGTATGCGACGCAGGGCACCAATTGGAGGAAATAGAGGATTTGAAGCTTGCAAGTATGTAGAGGATTCAATAGCATAGGTCATAACCTGTTGGATATATCTTGAGAAGACGACTTGACTATTGGAGTGCTCTGGGAAACCTCATTTGTATGAGGATGAAAGTGTTGTTGGGAGCAGACCAGGAGGTCACGTCTCCCTACAATATGCAAAGACATCAGAAATGAAAAGTTGACCAAGGTCTTTCTCATAATAAAGAAGTGAAAAGTGTGTTTTATATCACGTGACCGCTTAGTCAACCTGCAAAGGCAGGACCGAAGGTTTCGCGCCTTTGTAAGCCCGCGCCTTTTGCGGAGTACAGCTACTTATAATCAGTAAATAAACGCCAAATGTATTTCTAGTACCGCTGGTCCAGTAGGATCTACTAAGGTCCGGATGATTAGCGCTTAATATAGGGTTTTGAAGCCCCCACAGACAGAACTGCCTATAGTTGCCGTGTGGCCAATCGAGTAGTTGAACTAGTCGAATTCGTGTGTGTTATTCAACGGGTATATACTACGATACTCTATAAAGAGCACCCGAAACAAAATGGTAATAATAAGCTCCATAAAGATAAAAAAAACAGACCGAAGACAGCAGATAAAAGGTAAAAAAGTAAACGAATGGAAACAAAAAAGCACGAAAGAAACAATCAACAAAACCGTGAACTATATCAACGATATCTATCGATGTAGCTTTTTATCGCTAAAATCGTTCGCTCAATCGCTAAGCCATCATTATCCAAGTGGTAGGTCGCACCATCTTTATAATCTTCGAGCTCGGTCTTTCCTCGTATGAGTTGATAGAACCTAACGTACCTTCCAATGCCTACTATTCCAAATAGACGCCGAAGATCTTTCTCTTGATTGTCACGGCGGGATAGCATGTAGCCTAGTAGTTGTCCCTCTGCATGAGTCCAAGAACCGGGCGTTGGATGAGCACTTCGTGACGTCGAGGCTTTTTTGTTCTCCACTATAATCACATTGAACATTTTACCATCACTTAGCGTGCTCACGCAAACGTTCGCCCTGGTCTGCGACCTAGATCGGATATAGGCTTCCCTTTTAACGCCGTAGGTTTGCGTGGTTGGGAAATAATATGCGAGGAGGTTTGTCTAGAGGTGGTCAACTTCAACCTCTCGGGTCCTAGGTAAAATCTTCGCTATGTAGGAAGCTATTATTGGCTGTGTCTGGTACTGTACTTATATATTAGGGTCATGAACTGATACATTGAAGCTCTCATGGACTTACAGCCATCTCGCTGAGAGCTGTTGTAGAGTTGAGATATTGAGAGAATAGAGTAATGTCTATCAAGTTGTTGTTTGGTGGTCATTGGCTTGATAAAGCGCTGCAGATCTCGCGGTTGAATGGAGTTACGCTGATGCAGAATGATAAAGAATGCACGCGCGTTTGCGATAACAGGTGGTGAGGAATCCACAGGTATAACGGAGGACAATCGACTGGTCGGTGCAACTGTGGGCAAATTGCCAGTAACGATAGAGGACAGAGCTGCAGGGACAGAGACAGTAAGTGAACGAGAGTGTAGGAGTAGCGACTACAGTGGAGCTCACTTTAGCAGTACTGCTAGGAGTACTAGAATGAGTCGAAACCGGAGGATGATTGGCAATGGCAGTCGGGGTATTCTCAAGCCAAACACTGGGGGCAGTGTCGCATGTGATAAATGTGTAGTAGCAGGCAACTTTCAAGCTCCAGACTGGCACATTGAAGGGTTTCAATATATTATGTTGATAGGGAGAAACTGGCGTAAGGCTAATAGCAGAAAAACACCGTAATGGTTCGGGGCTAAACTAGGAGTAAAGTAGACGGCTTCGTTCGGTTGTAGGAAAGATATGAATTTCTTTCCAACCGTGAAAGCCGTGCCTATGCGAGGCCGGTTGAGAAGCTCAAAAGAAAGAAGGCCAAGAGGCGATGCAAATATTATTCGTGAGTAGGGTTGAAGGAGTAGGAGGATGTAGAGGAATTGATACCGGGTTTTTTTTGGCGTTCATTGGCTTGATCAAGCGTTATAGATCTCGGGGTTAGTATATGGAGATACGTGGAAGCAGGACAAGAAAAAAATGCATGTGTTCGGTGAAGGGGAATGATATAGAACGAGAGATAGAGATATGGTTGTAAGCCAATGAACAATTGGAATGTGTCCTGCGAATTGGAAAGGGAGACGGTCTCCCTGAATCTTGTTGTAGTTGTCGTGCACACGCCAAGTTGATCAAAAATTGTATTGTTGTGTTATGTGTAAGTTGGGATAATTGTGCGACAGATCATGCTAGCGAGACTGAGAAGTGAACGCAAACACCCTCCACCTTCTCTTCTGAGTAGTCACCCCATGGTGTTGTCCTCTCAAGCACCCTACCACTCCCAGTGGTGAATTTGCTCTTACACCTGTTTCACAGGCAGGGCTGTCGGTATCCCTGGTGACCCCGTCACAGGGTCCCCTCTTTAATATCTATGTTGAAAAAATAGCCTACCTCTTCTGGATCTTCGTCAAAATGGATCACCAATATCGTCCAGAGCTTCGCGCTGAATGCACTATAACTTTTGTCAACCTTTATAGCGAGATTCAGCAGCTCTAGTCGAAATTCAGACTTTCAACATTCAACAGGTCCAGGCTCAACACCAACTTATCTCTTCATTTACATACCGCCAAAACATTAAGATCCTCTCCCAGATCTAGAGTCAGTTTACCGGTCAACTAATTACGACACTTGGATGCCGCTATTCGTGCAAGACCACCTTCCGAGATTCAACGTCAACTTATCAGTCTCGCCAGCATGATTTGTCGCACGATGATTCCATGGAACCATTACCTGGAAGTTTTGAAAAGAAGAAAAAAAGGTGGATTCGGGTTTCGAAAAGGAAAAGAAAAAATCCGGGTTCTGGATCGAGGGTCCGAACAGTCTCTTGCGCACGGCTACTGAACGTCCCGGAGCAGTCTAGTCTCTAGCTCGCAACCTGAAGTCTGTCGCGTCACCGGACTACCTAAAAGAGAAAAGACGCTTTTGCCGAGTATATACTCGCAATATGAGACCTCTATGCAGTGTACGAAAGCGGAAATGCTAATAATCAAACTATAGGACCGCGTAGCTGGGGATCTTAGTTATAATGTAATGTGCCAGGTCTCAGAGAGGAAGAGTGCTTTTAATTCAAAATAACTAGGGTGGAGAGAAAGAAGAGGCAAGTTGCCATGTGGAGTGGGAGGCAGCCAGTTGATATAGCTGTCCCTTTGCAAACGTCGCAAACCTCAAACATCTCGCTTAGCCGTCTAGCAAACAATCCATCTAATGCAAACTGATAAACAATGCAAATAATAAGCGAGCAAGCAAAAATAAAACATATGATAGCGATCTATGGTAGATCATGACATCTAAGTTACTAACAGGCAACGAGCCCGGAAGCTCTCTAAAGCCTTCCTCTCGATACCATAGGCCTCTAGAGAAAGGTCGATCGAATGATAGGCTCAAATAGACGATTCGTATTGGTAGCAATTGGCAGAAGGCCATGACATTTAATAGGACCCTACCTAGGTACTAGCAAGTCATGAATAGATATTATAGAGGGCCGGTAGTAACGTGACTAGCCCTAGTCACGTCGATACAAAATTCTCGACCAATCAGAAGCCAGATCCGAGAATCTGAGATTTCGTAAATCTCAGCAAGTTAGTTAACTAACTAGACATCTTAGTTTGCGTCTCTCTGCTCAGCAAAATGATTCTGGACGCAATGAACCTATTGAAAATTGTACCATCCTACAGTGCTACAATTGAGTCAGTAAGCTGCGCATGTGAATTGGAACAGCACATATTTGACTTACATCGAAATACCCCGCAAAGGCTTTTATCTCTCCATCTGGGTTAAGTAGTACTGATTTGCAAGTTGCATTCGGTTTTCCAATCATGCTACGGCTTATTCCATGTTTTTGGTCAAATATTGGACGTATGGCCTGGATGCCCCCTTCGCCAGCGAGGACTTCGAAGCCTTTCAACGGCTGACCACGGAGATCAATCTTGATCTGCTTTTGAGAGATTTGATAGCCAAGGCTAATGCTTGGTGAACTTTCGCCGTAGACAAGGTTTAGCCCGGTAATAAATGAATGTTCATCTTCAGCAAGTACGGAGACAGCGATTTCCACGAGCTCACTAGAGATGGTGACCATCTGAGGTGGTAATAGGTTATGCACCCCACGACATCGCTGGCAGATGTCATTGCCGAGTGAAGATGGAGGAGTGATTTCGGATTTGTAAGGCCTATCGCATTGGACTTTTCCTGCGGCTCTTTCCCACACTAGGCCATCAAATTGAGCTGTATTCTCAGGCGACGTAGATATTGGAGCTCCAATCATCATACACCTATCTTTGATCCACTCGTTATGAAGCCACTGTAGCCTTCGAAACCGTAGTGTCCGGGCTAGACGCTTGAGTCTGCTAGTGCAGCGGTACATTAATCTCCAGTCTCCACAACCTTCTTCCAAGAGATAGTTGAGATATCCTCGTTCCCGATGAATGAAGAAGCGTGTTTTCCAGAATTCCTGGTTTTCAAATATGTGAACCATAGCTTTCGACGCAAGTCTTAAGCTGAGGTATTCGGGCGTTGGAAGAAGATAGGCGATTTCGAAGCGGATTTCGAGTGGAAGGAGACGAAAGCAGTCATTCACTTGGGACTCATCCTTCAGAGGATGTTCACATTCCATGTTTTCTGCCTTTGGAAAGGTCTTTGATTCGGCCCGGAACCCGATATATCGAAAGCATCTCGAGCTAGGCGTCCCGGTGTCTGGGATTACATGATCTAAAAGTTCTCATTGATTATTTGAAATTGCTCGTGGATGCAAAAACCTATAAGAAAAGTAAACAATGACTTACAGGCTCGATACTGTGGCCAAGGTGCTTCTTTGACTACTTTAGCCAATTTATCGAGAGGAACAACCCCGTTGTTGAAATGTTGTATCAACAATCTCCAGCAGCCTATATGGAACACGCATGATTTGGAAAGGTCATCCTTCCAATCCTTGAACCATTCAGGTATTTCTTTATCACCATAACATTCTTCGATACATTCTCGAACTGGCATTGAGCTGATCTTCAGTGATCTATTGCGATATAATTGTCAAGTTGCAACTGGGTAGAGCTTACCGTCTTGTACCTCATCAGAGCCAGTGCCACAAGACGCACATGGAGGCTCACGGTCCCAATAAGAATACAAACGTTCTTTCCTCATGATTAGGAGAAGTGGTTTTCCTCGCTTCAACTTGCTAGGGCCGATACAGCATGTAAAAGGATGTAATGTGTAGGAATGTGCAAAACTTTTGCGAGTGAGATACTATTATAAATGTGTCGATAATAATTGCATCATTGATATTGGATAGGGCCTTAAACAGGAACCTTGGTTTTTATGGTCTAGTTGTAAAGAGTGGTAAAATGCGCTGTACGGTTTCCGTCATATATCTCTTTTAGCCTATGAGACCATATTCTCACTTTCGAATAACAAATATCGGGGTTTGATTTTCCTTATCGAAGTTTTTTTTCTAATTCTTTTCTTTTTTCCTTCTCTTTAGGGGACTGCTAATTTGACCCTCTCAACCTATTCTACTCTACCTGAATTTTCAGTACCGCCTTCCATATTCGGTACGACTATATATTCTGCCAGCTTCTGGCTTACTCGGTAAAGTAAAGAAACATGCAGTTTCATCGGAAAAAATCGTATATTCTTTCTACCTAGTTTCTATAGGAATCAACTCCTTGGTAGATGGGAGTAGTTGATGAAGCAGTTAATATGACAAATATAACTTGATTTTGTTAGACTTCCATACAAATTTTAGGTATCTGCTGTCTTACTACTATTGTCACGAAAGCGGTACATAAAATCAGAAGGCGGTAACTATCGAACGCGGAGATGAAAGTAAGCGTCGAGGGAAAAGCGGTACCCGATTAGGAAGTTGCAGGGCAGAATAGGTTTTTGGTGGGGAGGGGGGTGTCAAATTAGCAATCCCTTCTCTTTATGATCAAGCCCTCTGTCATGGTAATTCACGTATTTCATTTCTGCCAGTCTGAAATTAGGCAGAATCTAGGCACATTCAGGCATTTGACTTTGACCTTTGGCCGCTCTGCCCCTTTGCAGTCAACCTGCACTGGAATCCCCCATTACAATATGCATTTAACGTCCGAGTCTCCCGCTAGGGAAGAGTCATAAGAGAGTGAAGTAGAAGGAGATAAAATAACATTCCGCTTGGAATCAAAATCGTTCAGCACTCAATGGCATGGCTTTGACGAGTGTGCCGACATGAGATTGTTGGTATCCCATTCCTTTGGTTCGAATATGAATCAGGGCACCGAGGAACGGAAGCGGATTTTCAACAAAGGGTGAGTCGATAGGCCATTGAAGTTGCCTGCGGGAAATGTATTTGACGAATCCCTCATTGGTCATGGCATCGTCTGGAATTCCACCAAGGTTATCCGTAAGAAGCCCCAAGAAGGAACGGAAATTGTTGTAATCTTCGAATGAGCCGAAGTAAAGGCTCCCAGAGAACATCTCCAGACACCGTGTCATTGCGTCGTCAGGCTGCATTGGAATGTTTGCGCCAACGCCAAAGAAGTCAAGGTGGCGGAACGACCGCATGGGCTTCGTTAGCCGCGGGGCGTAGATGTTAAGTCTGACATTCTCTGATTTGCGAACGATATTGATGAGCTCATTAGCTTCGTACTGACTCACGATAATCAGAACATCGCTGTGGACACTGGATAAAATCCAATTCACCTGCTTGCTGAAATCATCCATGACATTATTCTTGGAAATTTTCACGGTTTGGTTGAAGTCCACAGTGGAATACAATCTAGGCCCAAGCAGATGTGGATGGTTCTCCTTCCCAGCAGATGTATTTTCCAGACCTTGGAAAGCCAATGTAACAGCCTTGGATGGTTTCTTATCACGGAACTTGCCGAAATTAGCGAAATACCGGATATCGTCGTGGAGGTTGTGGTCTTCAGGCTCGTATGATGGGGGCCGTGAAATCTGTTCTTCTCGCTCCACCTCGCATGCAATTTCTCTCTCTTGTTCCTCATGAAGGTAAGCAGAAGTCGCGATATGACCTGAAGTTGACTGCAAAGTTTTCAACAACTCCTGAACTTGCTCATTGTTGACATTCCATTCAGGCATCTTGTGGCCGTTCCTACCCCGCCTATCCTCGTCCCAAGGTGCGTAGAGCTGGGAGAGTGTCCGGGCTTCAGGCTCCTGTATAGAACTAGCGGTTTTAGACTTCGTGGAGGGGTCACTTTGTCCCACTATTAAATCCCAAAGAATGATCTTCTTGTGGTACTGAAGTCCCTGGTTTGCCCAAAGCGGGCGTACATTGTCCAGGGCCTGGCATGTCTGAGCCATAGACCACTTTAGTACGTCTGCTGAAGTGAAAACTCTATCGGATGATATCCCCAATATAGACCTCATATTGTGGCTGACCTCTGGAGGAACCAGAAATAGAAGGGATTGGCATTTTTCAAGGCCACGAAGTCGGTTGCAGGCTGAGAGGAAGTTAGTACTGGCTTTGAAAGATATCTGGACTTCACAGCTTACCCTGAACAAGCCTATCTTTCGTTAGTCTCGGCCCTAGAGTGACTGCGGCACGCGTCGCAAGTGGTAACTTCAAATCGACACCGCGCGAGTGGTGTTGATCAAGGAATACCAAGCAAGCCCCCATTCGTTGTCGGAACGAAGACGAGAAGAGAGTCTCAACATGCCCCTCCCGGTCAATCACCATAGTCTCATCACTTTGGTCGAAGAATATTGCCGCCTCAACATCTCCCTCCGGGGTCATGGCAAGCCATTTTTGGGCGACTGACTGATTCCCGGCCTCCAAAATTTGGGCACCAACATCAATCAAAACTCGTACAGGCTTGGCCGTGGGTGAGCCTTCACCGGTGCTGACTACAAGCCTCAGGAGCCGATCAACATCTAGCTGGCGGCCCTCCTCATCCTGCGCCAGGATACATTGCCTGTTGTCCTCTCGCAGCAATAAGCCTAGTACCATTGCATTGGTGTGAAGAAGTTCTCCAAGATCCCTTTGACGGATTGACAAAGGTAGCAGAAACCGGTTATCGTTCGTACCGCTGAAGCCTGTCGTCAGTTGAAGGCCACGCCGTGCAGGAATATCCCACGCGGATGACGAGAGCTTCCGAGGGAATTCCTTTGCTTCTCTAGAGAAAACGAACCGAGATAGGTAGAAGTCAACTATCTCTTTCTGATAGCGGAGAATGGGGAACAGAGTCTGGGTGAAGGTCTTATCGTCCTCGAGGTTCACGCCTGAGTATGTCCGTAAACCGGCTGGTAAATCATCCACACACTGCGTGACCCAGTTATGGAACTCAGTTGAAGGGTCATTTTCTTTGGCCAAGAGCACGAAGCAGTCCCTCAGTTGCTCTTTCCTCAGTCCATCGTAGTAGTAACTCAGACAGGTGAGAGTCACTGCCACATCAGGGTGTCCAAATTCTGAATTCTCGGATGGGATACCCTTCGCACGGTATGGCACCGCCATTAAACACCGGGAAGGGTGGAGGCCATATTCCACTAGCCAACGTTTATCAGCAAGCGAGAACCGCAGGATGCGATAAGCAAAGAGTCCGCGTAAAACGAGAAGATTGGTCATAAAGACACTCCCGTCAAATTCTTCCCGGATGAAAGATTCGTCGTCCTTGGCAAGTTCAGAATGTTCAATGAATCGCATCACGCTGCTCTTGACCCGTGAATTCCATTGGGTAAATGGTAACCCGGGGATTCCATTTTCGGAGATCGACTTGAGTGTGTAACCGATCAGTCGTTCGATCGCATCGACTTTCAGAAATCGCAAAATAGGAAACCGGTAACCTAGCTGATCAACCTCGATGCATGTTGGATCATCCTGACAAAGACGCTTTGCCTGTATGGAGACCAGGCGAAGCAAATTCTGAGTCGTCTCCCAGCGACAACTGAGCCCATCGAGAGATTGCTGCGTTCCCATAGTATAAATCAATTGGAACTTGACATCCAGGACTTCGTCACTTTCGTCAATGACATCCCGGCACTTGCTTTGCAGCCAATTCTCAAGACGTATCAGTGGCGAGAAGATATTGGGGTTTCTCTCCACAGCATCTAATCCTATGAGTCTGAATGAGAGCATCTGCTCGGGGAGGGCAATCAGAATACCCCTCTGGCGGAAACACTGCTCATATAAGGACTGGAGCTGGCTAACAATGGGAGAAGAAAGTTCCGTTTGTCGCGAAAATGGAATGTGGTAGATGCGTCGATTGATCAGACCCCCGAGCCGCTGAGAAAGAAGCGCGTCACTCTGCCTTAAGAGAGGTTTCAAGACAATTATTCTGAGAAGATCATGGCCGTTGGCCAACACTGCAGCCACCATGGGTGTAATGACGGAAGTCTTGCCTTCGCCCATGTTAAGCTGAAGCACTGCGTTTTCACCACAGTCCGGTTTAATCATCCGAGCTGCAACTTCAACTTGGCGCTTCCGGATAGTAATGTTATTTTCAATTTCCAACAGCAGCCAAGTCGGGTAGTTCAAAGGGTCCCACCCCTCATAGCCCGGGTTTTCTGCCTCTTTGAGAAATCCATCGATATCCCGATTTTCGGTACAGGCAATCAGTCTCTCGCAACGACGCAAGGCAGAGATGGACTTTCCAAATGCCACAAGTAACACCTTCCACTGGATGGGAATGCTGGTCCACTTATCAGAGGCCAGAATAGACAGAACTGACCACACGGTGACAGAAGGGCTGACGGTGTCAGTATCTGGCCAAATTGTATTTGCACTCGTCCTTAAATTCGCGACAATTTCATCCCACAATGTATCTCTCTGTCTTTCAAGCTCTTCTTGATGTCGAAGTACCGCATCTCCGTTTGTCACCCAGTCAAAAGAGGCAGCAAGGTCAGATTCACCAGGCGTAGATTCTGAAGTTGAGAAGTCCTCTAACGCTTGGACACTTTGACTTAGCCCGTTTCCATACTCTTGTTGACATTGGTTAGAGCTCGCTTGGAAATGCTTTGCTAGGGACCAGAGCTCAGGTGTTGATTGCAGGATCGAAGAAACCCCGCGATAGGTCATCGGAGCAAACGGAGTCTGAGGGGGGTCTGGATGAGACCTATGCATTAGATCAAAGCCACAGGGTGGCTGAAATGAACTGTATTCAATCTCCTGAAAGTGGACAGGGGAGGTGGGAACAGGATCCACATCGTGATACCAAGGGTCGGAGGGCGGCGCTTCCTTCTGTACCCGGCGCAGGAAGTCAAGGAAATTCCGGTTTTGGACCCAATCGCCACAAAGCATGTGTATCATTTCATGTGCCGGCTTTCTACGAACCAGTGGAACCAGAGCATGAGATGGAAGTACAGGAGTTTTGGACGGCCACTGAGCTCGTATATAGTCCCCACACAACCGTACATCCTCGGCCCTTTGTTTGCACCAGTTGGCTTTGGCTTCTTGGTTGATTTTGGCTTGTTCTGCACGTGAGAGGTGTGAATTGTATACCTTAGTGAAGGTTGTGTAGGAAGTATTGATTGCGTATTGAATTTGAGAAAGAACAAAGTCCCCCCCAAGGCTGAGATTCAGTACCGTCGTCGAGTTGAGTGGCACTGGAATATATTTGCATTTCTCCGAGAAAGCAACCTGAAGTAATTGACGGAGGACCGACTGGTCAATCTTCCCACCAAACGCAAGGATAGAAAACAAGGAAATCAAGAAGTAGGTGTGCGTAGCCCTAGAACTTGTCTGGCAGGCGTGGTATAAACCCACCCAGGCACTCTCCATCGACTGATTTAGCATTTGAGAGCAAGAGTAACGGGTAAAATCAGCTGAGAGCGTTGCTAGGTTTTTGAATTGCCTCATGGTTGCCAGTAGATGTGATGAATGACCAACTGTCGTAGGCCAATCTCGAATCAGAGCTGCGATTCTATACACATTCTGACTGCGAGCACTTGTGATGTTACAATCGCGGGAGTTGTAATTTATCTTCCTTGATGGAGTGGGGGATTCGCTGAATTGCGACCTCATGATCTGCTCGGCGCGGCAACGGTTACGCTTTAACAAATCAATACTCCCCGGGTATAAGAGGCAGTTTTCCTTCTTTTTGGCACCATGGAAATGTGAAAACTGCTCAGAGAACTGAAGAATCTCTTGCGACAAGGACTGGAAGTCATCGTGTTGGGCAAGTTGACCTAAGTTACTAGACCATACGATAGTTTGCATGACACGAAGGTGCTGAGGATAAAATCTGCGGCACGGCGTAAGTGCTGCAATCCTTTCCAGGGTCTCGGTAGCATCATTTTGAAGAGGGAATGCTGATTTTAAACACTCCTGACGTAGAATACGGATAGCCTCTTCGGTACCTGAGCGATGAGTCAAGTTATCAGGGACAGGGAAAGACGTGATTGCGTGCAAGTACGCCTGGTACAAGATAGCCAGAGGGTGAAATCCTCGCAGAACTTGTAGATGACTGTCCAAGAAATAATGCATGTACTTCGCGCGATTTCCGGTTGGTAGATCGATTGTGACTGCAACATGATGATCTTCTCTACTAATCATCGGGTTTCCGTAAGGAATAATGACCGATCGATTATTGGAGGAATCAACGAGGACCAGTTTGTTCTTCAGCCCATAGAAACAGCCGATGTCTTGGTCCACATCAATCAGGGCGCCGAACTCCTTTGACGTTACACGTCCATTATCATTGACGAAGAATTTCAACCGTAAACGGCTTAGTTCTGCCTCCAGTGTTCCAACAGCCGTCCGAATGACAACAATCTCATCACTTGCATCAAGGACTTTCAATATGTGATTAATTTTTTGGAAAGGCGGGCTCTGCACATCGACTAGGGTCTTGGAATCTTGTTGCATGAGCATGTTGCCCGGCGAATTAGGATCAAAGAACAAATGCCAATTGCGGTCAGAAGGTTTCCATGGCTGGTTCAGTGGACGGAATTCAACAGCCCCAGTCTCCAAATCCAGCCAATGAAAGTTCTCGGAGATTAATACTCTAGGGAAGTCCCTCTCGAGGACCTCGTGTGGTATAAGCTGCAAGACCTGAGACCCCTTGCGGGTTTTGATCAAAAGCTTCCCACTCTGCATCCCGAAGTGAACCTATCAATTGTCAGATTGTGTATCGTAGCTCGGCTTTTTGGGTTGCATAAGTCTTACTTCAAAATTCTCAACGGTGTGTGACAAGACAAACGATGCTCCGGGCAAACTCGATGGCATCACCGGGATAACTCTCTATAGAAAAGTCAATACATCTTCTAGATATGATGAAGGTTTTAGGTAAAATTACCGTTCCGAAGAGGCGTTGGTAGAGAGTATTATTCGCAAAGCGAGCTGGCAACCTCCCTGGAGGATTTCCATCCACAAGAAGTTCACCTGTGAGATAATTGAAGTGGAGTCGTTGCCCGAAGCCTTGCGCACTGTTGCTTGTTTCCGTAGTTACCCAGGTATCCGAGCAAGTTTTCCAAAGCCCGGAAACTTCAAGACAGTTCATGCCACTTTGAATTGCTTCATTCAATCCAGACGCGCAGTTCATAATCATCCATATTATCCGTGATCTTGATAGTGACCGGATCCTTTCTGAATTCTCCACGCTAAGCTTTATCTTGGGCGACAGACCGTCTGTTTCTGGAGGTGAGTTCTCGAACAGTAAAATGGAGCATCGGACGAAGCAAAAGAGGTCTCGGGGCGTTTCGATAACCATGTCCAAAAACATAGGATCAACATCATACGTGGCTTGGCAAGTAGATGCAATCAGAAGTAGCAGCTGTTGTTGTCTTTGATCGTCGTTCTCTTCTTTATTCAGAAAACTTTGATTCAACTGATCGCACCAATCCATCCCCACCTCCCGACATTGTCGTAGGAATTCAACGACCTTCTCAACCGACGGTGATCCACTTTTTAAAGCAAGAATACGAACACCAAGTGTGACAATAAGATCGAAGGTGCAATATTCGTTCCAGTTATTTTCAATCGTCACCAATCTCTCTCGCAACAGGTGCAGCAGACAGTCACCAAAGCCTATATCCTCAAAGGCTTCATGTGCAGCTCTTCTGATTGAGCCTAATCTTCCGGATAGTGGCCCCAGTTCCCAAGCGGCTTGTTTGAAAAGGGAGACAACAGCCTCCTCATTCAGTGATAATGCCGATGATGCCAGATTCCTCAAAATATTGCCCCATTGAAGATTTTCCCCAGAGCGAAGACATCCGTAAGCCTCAAATTCTAGCAAGCTGAGCTTTTTATCGCAGTCTTTCTGGGTCGCTATGACCTGGTTCTGGGAGTGTGAAGTGGAATTGAGGGTGTATTGCAGATTTGAGTACACTCCGAGTGGGAGTTGTATGGTGCACATGCTCTTGACGCTCGGTTTATTGGTCTGAATTGTCACCCAGGCAATTCTTGTGTTGTCGAAAAGTCGCAGGCGAAGCGCATTTGGGATGCAAACAGAATCGAAGGAAACAGGGAATCTGTGCGATCTGTAGTGAGACTTCCGCCATGATTTTGTATATGAGGCCAGAACAATGTTCGACTCGCGTCTCGTGACGAATGTTTGGATCTCTGTATATTCAAGCCATCTGACTTCCATATCGGTAGTAGTCACTGTAAGTGTTCGTCCAAGCTCGTGGAGAACTCTCCAGGTACTGTTGCGCCATGATGCAAACCAAATGGGAATACTGAGCTCGAATACAGCGGTTTTTCGTGCAATATCTTCTGTTGGAAGTGGCCATTCATGAACCCGAATGGAGATAGATTCGATTTGTTTGTTCAGTGAACACCTTGGGCAATCCCGCGGAAGGTGAACGTATTCATCATCGCCATTGTAATCATAATAATGCGACATTTGTTGCTCTTGTTCGTGTAGGCGTTCGTATTGAGCACTTAATCTCTCCCATTCCGCTTGCTTTGCTGCTCTAATTGCATTGGCAGACTGCTCAATTCTGCATTCGAGCATTTGGTGTTCCTCGGAGCTGTTGAAAAATTGAACACCAAAGCAATTTGGTGCTGGGTCACAGAAGATGCTAGGGTTGGTTTTGTCCGATTCCTTATGCCGCACATTTATGTACTGCTCGACCTCCCTCGCCCGTTTCATTTGACCGATCTTGGGAAGTAGTAGAGGTTCGAGGAAGTTATCGGGGATTCCAGGAGAGAACCTCTTCATCAGGGGACAGAGTCGTAGAGCCATTTTGTCTAGCACTACCCACAGTTCCAACATTACAAGAATCATAACTGACGTGGCTTGTGGGTTGGAGATGTACGTCGACTTTGCGAGGGAAAAGTACTGCGCAATGGTATTTTCAAGTTCACGACACGCTGCTTCATGTTTCGAAGCAGGTTGATTGATGAACCAGGACTGTAGGTGCCCATCAACCCATTGCTCAAATTCACTGAGAGCCATGATCGACCCGATCTTCGGAATGGGCAAGTCATTGCTCCATTTTAAGTTGGATGTGTGAGTTCGACAGAACTTTGTGGGCTTTACTTGATTAGGCGACGAACGCATCGCCGCTTGAAGATATTCCTTGCAATGAAGCAGTGATTGGTGAACATCATCTTGCGAAGATGACGATGGAATCAGCGGAATCCTCACACGGTTGGTTATTTTGATCTGCTTTTTAATAGACATCAATCTGTCAAGCAGATCCTTGCTTGCGGAGTGTGCACGGTTGGCAACAAATGAAAAGACTTCATCTTTATCCTCCAGCTTGTAGATCCGCCGGCCAATCCGAGCACGCATGATTTCATAGCAATCCGCAAGTTCATGGGAGGCTACGGACGGATTTTGTCTTGCCGCCAGTGTTGCCATGAAGTACAGAATGAAGTTTTTGTAATGAAGGCGCCCTTCCGTTTCATTGAAGCATCGCCGAAGAACCAACTGCAGAGCGACTCGGATGACGAGCCAAGCTGGAGACCGCCTCCATGGTAATAAAGCAGACTTCCAGTTTACCTCGTCTCGCACACATTTTAAAACCCTTTTTTCTTCATGGTGTGTACCAAGTGCCAGAAGTTGTGTCATCAAGCCTTCTGTCACCAGGCCAGGATGGGTTGTGTTCCGGATTTCGTCCACTTCAATTCCCGCTTTTTTGCTTTTCGGCAGCATCTCAGGCACTTCCTCGGATGCTAATTGAGATATTTCGGTGGCCAAATAGGAGCAGAATGTCGGATCAGACAGCTTGTCTGCCGAGATAGCTACACCAACTCCGGGGAATCGACGTATGAGCCCACCAGAGGAGGACAGTATTGATCCATCCTCCGATGACACCTCAAATGCGTCGACGAGAACACTGTCTTTTTCTGCATCGTAAAAGGCGACCCATCCGCAGTTCTGGGCTCTGATGTGACATGCAATAGCCCCTAGTTAGGTCAGCGTTTTCTCGACCGGGGCCGTCTGGAATGTGCTAGGGGAGAAAGATCTAACGAGAACACAACCCACTTACTGGTAAATTTAAGGTTCGAAAGAGCTTCTTCTAAGCCACTCTGCAAAATTCCCTGCTCGGTATGCAACTTCATCCAGGTAAACAACATACTCAAAGCTAGGTCCCATCGCTGCTGGGACTCGGGGCTGACATTCTGAATGAAATCTTGCAGCACATCTCTCACAGCCACGATCAGGCGGCTCTCCAGCTGAACTAGGTCATGTTCAGCCTCCTGTGGGAGTTTGATAGGGAAGAATATGTGATGGAAGATGAAGGTAGACAGAGCATGATCGAGGTCCATGGCGTGTTAGAACACGTTCAGATGCCAAATATGTGCACGGTATGGGTGAAAACAATAAGTGATAGGTTAATTATGGATAGCAGCAAGTTTGCTTGAGATGAAGAAATGTATGGCAAGTTGGGTGGGATACAAAAGAATATGAGAAGGTGGATCTGGCAGTGCAGAAGTACGCAAACTATCCGCTGCTCAAGGCGGAAAATGACTTCAGAATTTCTAGCGGTGACAATCCATATGCTACATGAACTTCCATGATAGTAGTATAGTTTCGATACCTATTTGGGAGAGGGGATTGGTAATATGCCCCTCCTTGGAAGGAGGGGTCTCTTGATCAGAATCCCTGTAGTATGACGGTCATAACACAGTATTGCGGCCCAAAAGGTATTCCCAAAATTCTGCATGTCCTACTGTTCTAGACAAAGCGTATTGGCTGCCAATACGTATTAGGAGGGTATTATACGGAGTAGATATAAAAACATTGGGTTTTTCTTTTCTCGTATTATCTATATCTTATTATTTCAAGGTACCTTTTATATCTAAGTTTACTACTAAAGGTACTTAGGTGCTTTGATTTACCTATATTTTACTATACTACTACTTTTTTAATTATATTATATTTAATCGGACCTGGATTCGAATCCGCGACGATTGTATTTTCTAAGATCTAACCATTAGATTATCTAGCTACTATTTATAGACAGATATTACCCCTCTATCTAATTATGTACTAGTTATTGCAGTGGGGAAAATCGGAATCCCTCGTTTAGTGGCCTTACCTTATCCTTCAGGTAGAGAAAAGCGAGTGCCCGGTTGTCAAGTACAGTTTTGGAGAGAGAGGAACCTAATCAGATCACCACTCCAGAAATGAGAAGCAAGTGGCGATATGTTTGTGCATTAGGCGATTGTATACTATGTGTGGTCTATGTGATCCCTATGCTTACTAGCTGACCGTCCTGGATGGTTGGTATTGTTGTGTCATTCTCGTCTTGCCTGCATGGCCAGGCTGCCCATCGTGCATTTCCCTCTTCATTATATATTATACTAAGAAAAATAATACTGGTCCTCACCGGATTTTTTTCCTTTTATACTAGTCTAATTTTGCTCTCTACTATAAAAAAAAAATCAGGTTACTAAGGTATTCTATAGGTATTAGAAGTATTTGCCGCTACTTTCTATCATACACCCACATGAATAGTGGATCCGCTTATTCCCATCCTCCCTGCCTTTTCTCTTTTATACATTAGGGTCGGCACCCGGATTTTTGTTTGGTTTTGGTTTTGATTTTGTTTTTGGGGGGTTGTATTTTGTTACGTTGGTTTGTATATTAGTCCGTTTCATGGGAAGTTTCTATTATTTGAAAGAATTGAGATCAAATTCTCCATCTTGCCGCCTTTTTGGATCTCTTACTAGTGTCTGTATATGAAGACGAAACCACGATGTTGTTCAAAAAAGTACCGTGCCACTCATACGCTGCAACGGACTTTTACCTTGCGGCTTCTGCCAGCGGACCAGGTTTGCCTGCAGACACGAATACGTCCGGAAACAGCGCGGTCCAAAATATGGTGGAAAAAAGATAGAAGCAGTAAGGGCAGCTCAATCACATTTCAATGGAGATATTAATAGCTCTTGCCAATCAGGTGAAGATCTCGTATATCTAGAAATTTCTAAGGAGTGCATATAGAGTAACGGGATATTATATACGATAGGATCAAGTTTCTGACCGGCGTCAAGAATTCGCATATAGGGCCACGTCCACTTCATCATGTTGGTCTTGTCAACCAAACACAAGACTTACGACCATACCATGATATGGCACCATGAAGCTATCCATATTAATTCGAGTACCACCAATATTAGAGATAATTCAATGATAAAAACGGTATTTGAATGCTAGACAACCACATAATCCAATTGGGTCGTGCCGAAGTAACCGAGAAATTGCTAAGGGGAGATATAGCGAGCAAATATCTCTGAAGTAAAGTATGTTTTTCATGAGACTTAAAACGTCAGTTTCACCCTCTTTCAAATAGTCTCCGTAACGTGGACTGTGATTCTGCCTTCGGCTTTGATTTTACCTTCGGCTTTAATGGACAGAAAAAAGCATTTGCCATATTAAGAAGATAAGGCGAGGAAAATTCCTCAAGCCAGCGCTTCATATAGCTTGCGATCTCTTCCTTTCTTCCTCAGGAAGGTCGAAGCCTCGGCAGCTGATACAGCACCAGCACTCCGAAGTACAGTGGCCCTTGCCTTTCTCCCCTTTAGAGAGATGCCTCCTCCGTGCACAGCATCCACACCCCCGGCTACAACATCCGCCTCGATCCGAGCAATCCTGAACCATTTCTTCACACATAAACCATATACCATCATCATCATCCTTTATGCTATCATAAACGGCTCTCCAAGTCGGTCTAAGCATGGACACCGCTCGGTAAAGGCCTTGCTCTTTTTTTGGACGTTGTCTTTTTACCTTTTCGAGCTGTTCATCTGCTTCTCTAACTTCAAGTTGAGTTCTATCGGGGTCGGGATCGGGATCGATAGCTATGGCCTTTTGTAAAGCTATAGCTCTATGGTTTAGCGTTTCCTCGCGCTGCGTCTGTTCACGCAGAGCGTGCTCGGCAATAAATAACTCGATAGCAAGGCGCTACTTGAGCTCGCCAAAATCGTTTCTTAACCTGGTAGGGGGTGACGAGTAATGAAAATATGCCCCCGGAAAGTCCCATATTTCTTTCAAAATAACGGATTAATACAGCAAAAGAATATGTGAAGGTTGAGGAGACTCGCGAAACAAAAGTCCGCCAGTCCTCTCATACGATCCATGACTGTACGGGTCATCGTGATGTTGTTTGCCAGTTACGGAGCGGCCAGCTATATAAGCAGGTCCTCTCTACAAGTGTGCCATGGGAACATAACTCTCTCATTGATCACTATTCCCTATATACACGACGACATACACTCATACTTCGATATGCGCTAGTCCCAACATGGCGCACTACTGTGAGTGGGGTCTAGTCCTTTCCTTGATTCTCTGTATACGTGAGCCTTCGCCATGCGATCTTTACCATCCATGGATGTTGATAGATATTCGTTTACCTCTCTCTCCCTGTATCATTGATCTATCACGTCTTCTACCGACGGTTAGGAGACCGCACGTCATTGTGTCGCCATTGCTAGCGACGTTTCCAGACCACATGTTTGGTGACAAATAAGCCATGACTGAAGTCAAAGGTCATACAGAAAAGTCGTTTCGCAAATTAATTTTCTCTTTTTCGGCCGTTTGCCTATAAAAATTAACGACCGTGAGAAGACAGAGATCTGAGAAGACTAACTGGATCACGTCGTTTTGAATGACAGAAGCCGCAAACACGGCCGAGTATTCTTGTTGTAGTTAATCTTAGGGGGTTCATGCAATGAGCAAATTTTGATCCGAAATGGCCATTCCCGTTAACTCATATCAGAGAATGATTCGATTGTCAGATGTTTATTCTTACCTCAGTGTCCAACAAGAAGTTGTCGGCAGTTTGTAGCCTCAGCAACCAGACTTTCTCCGCAAGATGAGCGGCCCGGGGTAAGTCCGGAGTTAAAAACTGTGGGGAAGGATGTTCGTTATCATGGAGAATTGGAGCTGAGAATAGGAGGTGAACATCGACACCGATTCCACACATATCAAGGTTGTTCAGGGTGGGTTAATCGTATAAGGAAAAGCAGGAACAAAGCAAAGCTGTGGGTCTAAAACCCCTGCTGATTTGGCCATGAGAATAAGGCTGACTGCAGTACGACGATGAGCTGCACTTGACGTTGACATCGGGATAGCCTCCCGCTTACAACATTGCCATCAAATTTTAAAGCGGATAAAGTCCAAGCAGGGAATGATGAAATCCCCAAGCCGTGTGAGCGCCTTCAAAACGGGCTTGTGGGGAGAATGTGGGAGAGGCGGGAAAGACTTACTCCGCCGTGGCCATGAAGCAAAACGCAAGACATGGTCGGCAGCATCACCCGGGCATTGCACCGTTGGATATTTTATCTTTAAAGGGACTCTTTGTGCCATTCTTCGCTGCTTTTCCTGCTATTCTTCCTTTGGTATATTTTAGTTCCTTGTCGTGTTAACACCCATTACTATATATCTTCTTCGCACACCACCGATAAAATGACAACAGCACCTCAAGATTTACAAATCGCCATTCTGGGCGCCGGAATGGGCGGTTTGACTTCCGCTTTGGCTCTGGCGCAGCAGGGATTTAAGAACATTGATGTTTATGAAAGCGCAACTGACCTCGGCTTTGTTGGCGCTGGTATTCAATTAGCACCGAACATGGCCCGCATTTTGGATAGACTCGGTGTCTGGAAGGGCATTGAGGCCGAGGCTGTGAATATTGAGGACACATCAGTTCGTGGTATGTTGCGATTTCCCAACCAAACAATGTAATGCGATCTAATCTATGTCTGCAGACGGCGCAACGGACACTCAACACGCATATGTGGATCTGCGGTACATTGAAAAGACATATGGATATAAGCACATGGTTGGCCATCGTGCATCACTATCCAATGGACTATACAATGGCTGCAAGCAACATCCCGAAATCAAGTTCCACTTCGGAGTCAGCGCAGATGACGTGGACTCTTTCGGTCCTCGGCCATCATTCACAGCTACCCCCCGCGCCGAGGGAGCTGCTCCGTTCAAGGTCGAGTGCGATGTGCTTCTCGCCGCAGACGGTATTAAGAGTGCCACCCGCGTGGAGATGATGAAGCGGGTGGGTGCCGACGTTGGCGTCAAGGACACCCACCAAGCCGCGTATCGAATCATGATCCACAAGGAGCAAATCAAAGACGACCCCGAGCTTTTAGCCCTCATCAACAGCAACCGTGTGACCCGCTGGATTGGCGAAAAACGTCATATTATCGCCTACCCCGTCTCTAACAATACCATCTACAACCTCTCCACCACCCAGCCCGACAGCCACTTCGCATCTGCGACAAACGCTACCTATACCACCAAGGGCTCCAAGCCTGCCATGATGGACGTCTTCTCTGACTTCTGCCCCATGGTCCAGCGCCTGCTAGATTACGTTCCCGAGGGCGAGGTCTGCGAGTGGAAGCTGCGCGTCCACGACCCGCTCCCGACTTGGGTTCTCGACTCTGTCGCCTTGGTTGGTGATGCTTGCCACCCTACCCTACCGCACTTGGCTCAGGGTGCTGCCCAGGCGATTGAAGACGGAGCTGTTCTCGGTGTGGTTCTTTCTAAACTCCCTGATACCACTCCCCAGTCTATCAACAAGGCTCTCCGTGTTTACGAGAGAGTCCGCAAGAGCCGTGCTGAGGCTTTGGTTGACATGGCTACCGCTTCTGGTCGTGCCCTGCACTTGGGTGAAGGTGCTGCCAAGGAGGAGCGTGACAAGCAGTTTGCTGCCCTCCGCGCTGGCAAGGGTCCTGTGCCTGATAAGTGGGCTGATGCCGATGTGCAGCGTGAGATCTACGGCTTTGACTGCGCTAAAGTCGCTGCGGATGATTTCGATGAATACTTTCAGAAGATGTAAGCTCGTTCTTTATATTTTTACTGGATTTGGCACATGTGTTTGCATGGGCTTTTTGTATACTTATGGCCTTCGGACCACACATGAAAATAAATGAGACTATCATTAGTCGTATCTTGCTACCATTGCTGAAACCCAGGGGCCGATTTCCAATCCTCGCATTAAATACCATATGACGTTGATCATAGTATACTGCCCATACTTGTGTATAGCAAACACAGCCTTCATTACACCAACAACAATCCCTTTGCGTTTTTCTACTAAGCCAGATAATACTTCATACTGTATCCCGCTGTGTTTTTTTCTTTCATATTCACCACGTCCAGCCGTTGGCATCTTTGATCCAATCCGCCGTTCCGGGTGGTGTTCCTTCCCAGTAGAACGGGCTATCGGAGGGTTGGATTAATCCGTATTGGAAGTAGTTAACATCATCCCACTGTTGAGGTTCGTCAAATGGAGATGCGGATTTAAACCCGCAGATGTGCCTAGAGATAGTTAGATCATAGTCCATAGATAATCTTGCATAGACATACATTTGACCACTGGACTTGTCATAAATGATTTTCGACGGACCAGCCATACATGGCATGTACCCGCACGGCAAAAACCTTCTGCTCTCTGTTAGCCCAATATTTCGCAGTGGTCACTAGATAATCAATCATACTCATAGACTTGACGAAATTTATCGCGGATGGCTTGGCGATCGGCAAAGGATAGCCTCCAGAATCCGGTCAAGTTAAGAGACTCGCCGGGCACTTTTTCCCATAGAATATACGTGATGTATCCCCCAGGAACACCCTCATCGTGGTCTTGCTGGCGCTGTTGATAGCCTAGCAGTCGGGGAACAACGTCACAACCTAGCTCTGTGAATTTCCGGAAAGCAATCAGTTCTGAGTGATCGGGAGGGGTGTCGACGGCCTGGCTAGCCCGTATGGCGGCTCTTTTCGTTTCAGTTCCAGCTATAGGAACCTGTTGGTAGATACGCAAAAATGCACGCCTGTTATCGTCTTCTTCACTGGCAGGTCGGCATAGGAACTTTCCGGCGGTATCTGAGGGCCCGAGCTCCGCGGCGATGTCTTCGTCTGTCAGGCAATTCGAGTCCTCGTCGAGCTTCTCAAGTATCATCCATGTCTGGGCAGGGAAGTTGAATGGTGGCTCTGCAACGGCATCAAACGTGACCTGTGTTCCTTCGAGATCGGTGAGATATTCCATTGATGAATCCATGGCAGGCAGCTTGAATGGGGATAATGGGGGTAGTGACTGCAGTCTGCAGGTCGACCAAGAAAGTTTAATTTCTCCGGCTCTCCCACGTCCACTATTTTTCTTTCGGCTATACGGTTTCCAGTGTCTCGTTCGAGTGCTGCAACCTTTTTTGTGATAAGCACCGTAAAGGCTACATTCCATCTAGAATGTCTGGAAACACTTAGATAAGATATCTACCTAACATTCGCCATTTACCCTCTAGAGAAACTCCTAGGATCGTATAAAATAATGTTGTATCAAAAAAATAAGTACAAAATTGAGATAAAGAGACAAGAGATTATCAATAACCTTTGTACTATCATGTATGGCACGAACGACATTTACCTCTACCTTCCGCGTCTGCATGCGATCGCAAATGCCGCTGCAACTTGTCCTTTCGACCATATGCCTTTCCACATTGTGGAGAGGGACACTTGAACGCATCAGGGAATATGTGCTTGTCCTTGATATGCCGCCACAACGATATCACATGAGTGAACGGGAGTGTGTATGTGCAACCTTCCCAACCACATGTGACAGGACCAGTGCTGCTCCTTTGGAAGATTGATTGATTAGATAAACACAGATATGGGATAGGGGTAGAGATCTGTATCGGAAGAACTCACTTGGCGTTGGGTTTAGAGCGACGCCTACGAGACGTTCGGTCATCAGTCGGACTGCCCTCACAGGGTGTCTCATTCAATGGTTCTCCCGCTGGGAGCGAAAAGAGCCCCTGCTGATAGCCATCCAAAGCAGAGCTGTCACAGTCCATCCAGGCACTATTCGTTGTGTTCTCTGCTCCGAATGGGGAGGCGTTGTCTCTAACAGATCCAGTAAGAGACTCGATGTTGGCTTGTGCCGATGTAATTGGCATGTTTAGGTCGAAGTCATTCAAGGCCCATGGAAGACCATAGACAGAACTTTGAAATGGGAGGTCCTGTTCGAGATAGTGAAGTGTGCCTTGGGGTGTATTTTGAGCATAGGCTATACTGTGAGGTACACCATAATTCTCAACAGGGAAAGATTCGAGATGGTCGTTGGAAGAAGCGTGTGTCATGACGAAAGGGATTGACAAAAAGCAAATGAATCAAGCCACAAAGACAATGAGAAGTCGATATAGAGAGAGCTTTGGAAGATGGGTATATTCCAAAGAGAGATCATGTCCAAGTTCTAGGAGCTGGGAAGGGTTTAAATAAGTAAGTTTTAATACTCGTAATTCGAAGAAAGTAGCCCTGACAAAGTAGCCCAGACAGCATGCAAGTAGATGCAGGTAAACAGTAACGACCCCAAAAACTTGAGTCTGAGGCGATAAGTTTATTCCCCGATTAGGTGAATTTGGGATACGGGAGGGGCCCGCAGGCAGCGGGAGGGCCCCACGGCCATTGGCCGGCGTCCGAAGGACAGCGAATCAGAGATCGCGTTATTCCGATAGGGACCGTACCGGGTAACGGTACGTGTACTGGCAGTGTACTGCCACCCTTGTAAGGGCGGTCAGATGTTGACCGCCACCCAAGACGGAAGATCTTGGCAAAAGGCCGTGAGGCAGGTAAGATTACCCGATGGGGAGATTCTTGGCAGTCAGCCAAATGACGCAATGTCATGTGTATACACGTGAGCAGATTGCTCACGGTCCTGGCGGTAGACACTGGGTATGTATGCCCAGTCCCCAATATAAATAGGGCGGGGTCCCCGCAACGTACAGTGTACGTTTTTATCTTCCTTAAATATTTTGTGTACAAAAATTGAACATTATTGTTCCAGTATGGAAAGTGCCGACCGTCAGTCGCCCCTCGCACCTGTTAAGGTTGAGAATCAAGAAGATCTGGAAGATCTAAGCGATAGATTGTCCAGGCTACCTGGACCAGAGTATATTTCGACTCGCAGTGGAGCGGGAAACCAGAAGGTCCATTATCTTACTGGCGAGAAGTCGTCGACTCCCGCGAATGAAATCTTCGGAACGAACAGCTGGAGTTGCAGCGTGGTGTCTGTCACTACAGACGAACTGAATGTCACGCCTTCTTCAATCAGTATGATGGTCACAGCAGTGGTCAGAGTGACTTGTTTGTATCTAAACAAGTATGGGCAATTTGCTTCATATGAAGATGTTGGCACGGAGTATGGAGAAGGATCTCTGAAACAGAAAAAAGACGTCGTGGACAGGACTAAGAAGGGTGCAGTCACGGACGCACGCAAACGTGCGCTCGGTCAATTTGGAAATGCACTCGGGTTGTTCCTTAAAGATAAGGATGCAGTCAGGGCTGCGATGCGGCAGCAGGTTGAGCAGCCGGCGTACAATATGCATCGCAAGAGTACGTCAGTGTCGCGGATGGTTACACCCGCGTCTTCTTTTCGGTCTGGGTTCGATCGAATGAGCCATCAATCTTCACCGAAACGGAGGGCTGTAGAGTCCGATATTAGTATGGAGGATAGAGCGAGGCTTGCTCAGATTGTAGTAAGTACCGACTGGGATGATTTTGGAATGGAATGAAGTGATTTTTTTACTCAAATGTGTGTTGCTCCAAAAAGTTGACTTTGTTTTTAATAGAAACAGTATCTTAGTTTATGAAATATATTGTTGTGTTGATTATAAGTTGGTGACAGTGTAACTGCTGGTAAGCAAATATATATATATATTTGAGGATACTTCATGTTTGGGGGGGCGAAGCCCGATGATTACGAAAAGGCCTCCCATTCAGGGGATGGGAGATTTACACAACAAACTTTCAAAGTTTGTAAAGGATACTTTGTCTTTGAAGCGTGCGCTGCGTGAAAATCACGCTGTTTTGGCGGGCGAGTTCGCGCGCAGTTATATGATTGGGCAAGAGTCGCCTAATCAACTTGAAATAATCACGTTCCACGATGGTAGTGGGCTTGGTTACCAAGCTCAAAAGATAATTGACACTTTTTGCGATAGCGAAGGATATACAAGATTGAGTGGTGAAGTGAAGCAAGCTGAAAGCTACGAGGTAGGTTCGTAAACATTATGCGGTATGCAGTGCTGACTGGAAATAGCATTACAGGTGTAGCCGTCAAGACGGGAACGTCGTTATAGTGTATTCTTTTCATCGTGCGCAGGTTCACGATCCCTTATCAGATTTATTGAGTCTGGGTCATTCGTTATGCCTTGGCTGTGTTATATCTTGGGACAAGGTGTATTGTGCATACCCTTGGGGTGTTTCTATGGATAGTCAGCTGGTGCGGACGTCTTCATTTGGAGCTGCGAAGCGGCGTCAGTTGCGAAGTTGGTTTGACACCCACTTTCCTCATATTTCGCCGGGGATTTGCTTTGCGAGGCGGACTGGTGAACAGTATTGGTGGAGTCTTGTTCATATAGTATAGTGGATAAGTCACTTAATTTAAATGAATTTTGTGAAAATGATGCTGATGGGATTGGTTACATGTCGTCGACATGTGGATATATATATATATAACACTTGGAGTGTTGATGGTTTAATTTTGGGGGGCCCCAGGCTTTGCCTGGGGGGGCGAAGCCCGATCATTTACAGAGAAGTGTGTTACGCTGAACCCAAGGTAATGTTCAATTTGATTTAATTGAGATCCTTCTTGGTTTGGGGCCCCAGGCTCTGCCTGGGGGGGCGAAGCCCGATCCTTACAGAGTAACTGGATTGAGTATACGTCTTTTTACGTTTTGTTTTATCATGACTGTGAGCTTTCGGAGGGGGTTGATCATTTAAGGTCAAAATAAAAAAAGAACAGAACACGAGCTCCTATCTAGTCTCCCGGGTATAGAATTGGTCCATACCAGTATTCACCCCAAGCGTGGGTCTCACTGCATCTGACCACTCCAAGTATAACGGAAGTACTGGTAATTTTGTGGTGACCTTGTACTCATCTATAGATAGGCACTTTTGGTTAATATCACCCTCCCAACAGTGCTTTTGGCATAACTCACACAAGCCGCAGGTCAGGATATTTGACCACCTTTTCGTGGTCCGTTCTCGCTCAGCCTTCTTCCTTTTTTGTGATATTCATAGGCCAACGTGTCATTTATATCTCTAGGCTTTTCACACCATCCTTGTCTACATATATCTCTTATTAGCGAATCACACGGTCTAACAGAAAGAAAAGGGGGAACATACCTATTGTGAGGCGCTAGGTAGATCTTGAAAGAAGGAATAACTGAGATAGAGAAGGGAAGAAGAAGCAAGTTGCAAAGTCGAAGTAGCTAGCTTATATAGCTGACCCCTTTGCAAACAAACTGATCTCTATAACTCTTATTGGATTTCTCTGAATTTTATCTATATATAGCTCAATAAGTGACGATTAGTCAGTATAATACCTCTCAGAAGTTGAAAGATAAGTGAGAGTAAACTGATTTATTTTGAATATTCCCTAAGGGATACGTACCACAGATCGGAGACAGCCCAACCGGAGGTTTGTTGCGGAACTCAAGGTTGCTCAGTGAATGTTTCAACTTGAGCATAACTTGGACATCACTGAGATTCAAAGGAGAAATTGCAACCGTCGGTAGCTCGGACTGATCTCCTTGAATTGTTGATGCGAGAACTGCAATTGACGCCTTTAGCTGGGAGAAGGAGAGCTTGTGCGCTTGATCTTGTAAGTCGAGGATCACGTTCATTATTCTTTGTTAGGTCGTCGCCTTTTGCTTGAAAACATTATAGGATGGTGTCTTAGTATCACAGGCCACAAGAGCAGGGATCTGATAGTTAGGTCAAAGATAGGAGCGAGGACAAGAAGGACGAGCCGAGTTGTGAACACTTGAGACTTGAGTTTAAGAAAGGGAAAAAAAGAAAGAGATGTCAGATGCAAGGTTGTGTTGCAGAGCTCAGATATTAGAAATTGGTAAAAGAAGATAAAAGAAGGAGGAATGCCTGGAGTGAAGAATCTATGTACTGAAGCTCTAACTTACTTCCTAAATAGGTTTAGTAGCTAATTCACAAGCGGGGTTACATGCCTGAGAAATCAGTCCGCTTTTTATGTACGGAGTACAGATCTATCCGACTGGGTGCGTTGAAGCAGCGCCATGGTGTTCGCTCCATAATTCTGATACTTTAGATAAATGCCTTTCCCGGCAGTATGTCTACGGCGTGATTTATCGAATCCCCAGGCTAATGTGACTGGCCACAGACTCCATCACCATTCCGCCTCGCCCGTCGCAACCCATCCACGCGCCGCAGTGGCCCTCAGTTCGCCTCCACACCCCGGTTTCTACTATCACAAAGTGTCGCACAGAAGGAAGATGATGATCTTGATCTCATAGATGATGACGGGCCATCTTCAACGCGTAAAGTCGCGAGTAACCTGCCTGTTACCCAAACTGCCCCCGGCTCGCGTCAACAACGCGACGTGATTGAGGACTCTGATGATGCCGCAGGCATAGGAGATGTGCAAACCGGAGGGAGAGATGCGGACGAACTACCAGACGATGCCATAAACAGCACTCCCCCCGAAGAAGCAGAGACTCCGGGAATCCTGGACGCTGAGTTCGACGCGCTGTTTTCGCCGGTCAGGGATGGGAATAAACGGCGTCGTGTAGAGGGGGTGGCACCCTCCCATCGAAGAAATCTGACACATATCGATCCAATATTGTCATCACCACCCGAATCCGTGGATCCTCCAGCCGATCCCATCGCTTTATCTGATAAAAGCAGGCAAAGCACTACGGCATGGGACATGGGTATGGAGAGAAATCCCGCACCGAGTGCATGTCTATTTGCACAAGCCGCATCGACCCCAAGCAATATGAAAACACCATTCCGCAGTCGTCCTCGATTTATGCTTTCCTCGGCGGCGAGGCCTCCCAGCAGCCAGTCCGCGCCCAGATTCAAACTAGACGAACCAGGCATATCGCCGTCTGAGAGACGAAAACCGGTTTTTGTTTTGCCTCGCTCGCCGTCGCCGAATCCGGATGCAGAGGATATCCCTGCACCCTTCTCTCCTTCCTCGCGCACACTGCATCGCCGTGGTCGAAACCGAGCCGGTGTGTCCAATTACATCCCTGGCGGAATGGCCGCTGAGGCACGCGGTTGGATCTTAGAAATGGGGACGAAACGTGACCAGCTTCCAAAACCTCCCTTGGGCCAGGCCTCAGACTCGCCGGAAAAGCCGAATGCATATCTCCTAACTGCGCGTGTTATTCATGTCAGCCAGTCATCTATGAGTGGCTGTGGCTCTCTGTCCTTTCTTCAAGCGGAACTACTTACTGGGAATCATATACAAGGGAGAAATCCTGATCCTGTCTTGAATATCATGATTATGGGAACTTCCCGATCTAAATCCGTCGTGCGTCAAAATCCCTCGCGTTCTGATGCAATTACAACACCCCAACTGCGAAAAGGGGATTTAGTGGGGATTCACAAAGGGCTCAACTGGAGTTTGGAGCTCGGGAATGACTCCTACGAACGTCGGTCACCTGGTCAGGTATCTGGTTACGTTTCGGAGCGTGGTCCATCTGACAATGGCGCATCTCTAGAGACAAAAGAGGGCTGGCTCATAGCCATGGAATGGGACCTCATTGGAGCAGCTGAATGACTAACGGCGATTTATATCGGTATAAGGGAGGTGTATCATTTCCCTTCCATTATATTTCATAGACTTACATACAAGTTCTTATCATGGCTTATGATTTATGTCCCAACAACATAAAGTTCCCTTGGTCCATGTGAAACACCCAAATCTCAACGACCAACATTTTTCCAGGCAAAAGAGATGATTTAGGTTCATCCAACAATAAACAACCCGATATCGGAATTGTAATGACGGTATGCAGAACTCCTCGTGGAGGGAAATGCTCAACAAGTTCGCTTTACTATTCCACCAGTTCTGTTTACCGTCTTATTTGGAAGTCTAGCCCAGAAATTTCATATATTTCGAACAGTAGAAGTAGGATAGGTGAACCTTGGAAATGCTGGATTTGTACTCCGTACGGGGTACAGAGTACATCACTGATTCATTCTTCTCTTGTTGAAATGAGCAATGGCGATTTCGAAGTTCGGGACAAGCGTGGAACATAAACAAATCAGGAGCAGCGTAACAAATTGGGTATATTCTATATGCAATTGCAAGATGAATCCAATGCAACTTTTAGTCCGCCACAGCCTTAAGGGCATCTGTAGCCACATTGCATCCCCACCGGACTAGTTTTAGTTCCTCGGGAGACACGATATCACTCTTTGCGACAACCTTTCGCACAAAAAAGATAAGGCCCTTGGCAATGTGCGGTGCCTCCTTGACACGTAGGAAGATTTGCATCAAAGCCGCTTCATTCTTCTCAGGCTCATCTGGCGTGGACCTCTTGGATTTCTTCTTCGTCTTGGACTTTTGAGATTGTTGAATGATGCTGATGATCAAGACTTCAACAAACGTCTTAGTCTTGGGCTGCAGATAGGCGAAGTTGAGATTCTTCAAAATGCTCAATGTCAAGCTGCCGTCCATGATGAGGGCGCTGAACATCTTGGCCAGATTGACCACGGACTTCATGCTAACACCGTTTTCTTCATCGTCCGGATCGAAATCGTTGTCTTCGTCTTCGTCAATATCGCCTCGCTCACCCATCTTCTTGAACATATTCCAAAGAGCAAACATAAAGGACACTTTGATGCGTCGACCCTGTTCACCGCAAATCCGACGCGCAATCAGAGAATAGTAGGGGTTATAGGCCTCCTCCTCCATGGCACAGTGCAAGAGAACACGGGGGATTTCAAACTCTTGTGCCCGCTTAAGACGGAGTTTCATGAGTCGGACATTCGCATCTTGGAAGTCATTGGCAGACATGATAGCAACAAAAATCGACCGACGAACGTCTGTGTTCATGCGGTGAGCTCGGGCGAGGACTCCAAAGTCAGGTTCGCCGTCACTGTCATCATCCTCGACCTGAGGTTGGGGCATTTGTACACCAGCCATCTCTCGCTGTGCTGTCACAAGGGGATCATCCTTCCAGCTTGCGCCGACCAACCACCACTTGCCCTTCTTAGAGGAGTTGTGGATATCTTCACGGGAAATGTTAATAGGTTCGGATGCGCGAATCGTCCGCGAGTTGTTTAGGGAACCCAAAATCTTGCGCATTTTGGTAATATGTTCTGTGGTGATACCTGCACCAGCTGCAGCTGAAGCCTTCGAGCGGTTGTTTTTCAAATCCGTGATCAGGTCGATCATGAACTTTGTTCGAACAGACAGACGGTCCTCGCCGACTTTTGTGATGGCAGGCTGAATGAGCAATACGATATCCTTGAGTGCAGATGGGTCATCGAGTCGGAGTTGAGGGCCAGAATCTGCGACATGTTAGATGGCTAGTAGCTTTATCGTGGGCTAGGTATATCACTTACTCCGAATCACCTTAAGCAAGAGTTCGGTGTTCGATTCCGTGATCTCCTGCACGAAAAGACGAACGTAGTCAAACATCAAGGAAGAACCGATGACGTGGAAGTTGTAAAGTTGCGAGAGAAGAGAGACCAAGTTAGTAGCTTCTTTTCCCTGGAACTTTCCACGCTCGTCGCCATCAGCATCCAACGTTTCGACAACAGTTTGGATAATCTCCGCGCCAACGTCCATTCCCATGAGCTTGTACAATGCCGCAATGAAACCAGCATGCAAAATGAGAAAGGTGTCCTGAAGGGCAGCCCTCTCACAAATCAGACCCATTAGCAGGCTGATCAAGGTAGATGTGACGTGTTGGCGGGGGTAATCGCGGTAAAGCTTCTCAAATTCGGCAACAATCGAGAGCATATTGGCCTCGGACAACTTGTTGAGATGTCCCTGGGCCTGGCGCTTGAGACGAGTGAGAGATTCGCTTTCCGGGTCGGAGCGACCTCGTAATGAAGGTGGGATATACTTCTGAGCGGTGGGTTCGGGTTTCGTGACCGGGGCGATATATGGGTTTTCTTTCTTTTTTGGTTCTTTGCGTTCTTCCTCGTCGAAACCATCAAAATCACTGCCTTCGGCGTCATCGCCTCCAAAAATTTCGTCGTCGAGATCGAAATCCTCAGCGCTATCCATTTCACTGTCGTCTTTTTCGAGTTGTTGGGCTTGCAAGCTCTTGGCCTTGAGTCTCTTACTTCGTAGCCATTCATCGGCTTCTCGTTTGCGCTTTTTGCTCTCGTCCTCTGAGCCATCGCCGCCGCCACCCAGATCCCCTAGCAACTCGTCTAGTCCATCCTCCTCAAAGGCCTTTGGTAGTTTACCTCCTTTCTTGAGGCCAAGCTTTTTCTCCAATGCAGCAATCTCAGCATCGTCTTGCGCCAATTTAGACTTGACCGATCCTGGGATGTGGGCTTCGGTTTCTTTGGGTTCATCCTCGAAGATGTCATCTTCAGAATCGTCTTCAGACTCATCTTCGGACTCATCTTCAGACTCGTCATCTTCATCTTCATCCTCGTCCTCATTGAGGTCGATTTCTGACCCGAACCCGGACTCGGACTCGGACTCTGAGTCTTGCTTGACTGCTGCTTTCTTCAGAATAGATTTGGGCTTCTTCGCGGCGTCTTTCGTGGATTTGGACTTTGTCTGCACACTGGGACCCTCGTCGAGATCCATATCATCGAGATCCTCGTCCTCGTCGCTTTCCTCCTGATCCTGCTGTCGAGGTTTCTGCTGAAGTCGCTGCTGCGGATGCTCGAAGGTCTTCTTGTTCGGCGGGGCTGCATGTCGAGATTTCTTCTGCGTACGCTCATTTTGGCGGCGTTCTTTGCGCGAGGCAGGTCCATTGAGGCGGCGCTTCTTGTCACCGTAGACATCGCGGATTCCGAGCTCGGATCGCAGATCCCGAGGCAAGGCCGTCGTATTATGCCGAGGGCGGGGTATTTTGGGCATCTTGGTCCTCTGAGATGTTTCGTCTGCTCTTGAAGAGTTCAAATGTCTCTATCAGGTACGCCGGGCGGTAGACAACTTTTTTCACTTTTCTGCTGCCCCAAAACAAAGGCGGAGAGGCACCCACAGCGGAGTTTCTCCCCCACTGTGAGTTGTGCCCAGCTGTCAACTGTATATTGATCATCTGCTCCAGCTTTCGGATCATTTAATTATCGCGCGGCTCATAAAAGATCTCTAAATATGGCCCCACATTTGGGACACGACGAGGTAAATATTGATATTGGTGTTTACCTGACCGCTACACCTCCGCGCATGCGACCACGACCACCAGTTCCGAGCTATATCGCTAACACCGATCATCTTTAGTTCTTCAAATCTCTTGCAGATCTGCTCTCCAAAACCTCCCAAAATCTTCATGGCTCGGTCAATCTCACTCAAAAACCTCTCATCGATGTGCCCGGCGCCACTACCACAAACTCCCAACCATCTATCCTCATCCGAGCAACTGATGGAAACACCAATACACCGAACCCCAAGAATGCAAGCGAGGCAACCAAGATCAGCATGAAAAGGGCATCAAAGGTCAAGCTCTCGACGATTGTCAGCCCCGATGATATTGAGGCCTTCTACGTTCGCTATGCCGAGGTCTGCAAGACAGGAATGACTGGGTTGAAGAAGCGAGATCGCCGAGGCCGCAAGGCCAAGACCAAGGGCGGAGCTGCTAAGGTCACAAAAGCATAGATTTGCTCTTCGGTCTATTTCCCAAATGGCATCTTCGTCTTTGTGTACTTGGACCTGGCAAGCGAGGTGTGTCATGGCTTCGTTTTCTCATGCATTAGCTGGCGTTCGATGGTGGTTCTGGCTTCTTCTTCTCGCTTTTTCAATGCGAATTTCCTATCAAGTGTACATATTCCCCTACGCTTGTGGCTCACGGGCGTGTCTGTTTATACGAGTCCTGTGGGACGGGAAAAGAAATGAACGGCTTATAGCATTACAGTTGGGCATGCCCCTATTCGTAGGTTTCATCTCTGACGACTTCGGTCAGATTCAGTAGAGGGTCAATGGCGTTGGATGGAATAGAACCGTCTGGAAATTGAAAGAGCGTATTTGTGTCAATTAATTATTCGTTTCTGACATGACCCCGGATTTCACCTCAATGATACACGTAACGCTAGAATACAGAAGTTCAGTAGAATACAAACCATGTCATATATCCACCCATGAGTCGTGCAAAATCAGCGCCAAATATCATAACAAGAGAAACATTAAGATGGTGTAAAGAGGGAGGAATACAAAGAGTAAGCATTAAACCGAGCGTAGGATGACGAAGATCCAGAAGAAGAAAAAAAGAGCAAGCAAATTAAAAGGGGGCATTTCAACCACCCAACTAGTCCAGATCCCAAGGGTCGAGTTTTCTGAAGAGTTCAGCATCCTCATATTCCGAGGAAGTTTGAGGTTCCAGTGGAAAGCTGAAGTCATCCTCTGTGGCTGGATCCTTCTTTTTTGGCTGAGAATGAGAATTTGGTTCACTCGGTGGGGAGCTGATAGTCGGCTGAATGGTTGGGTAGATGACAATGCGCGCAGCGATATGAAGGAGAATGACAAAAAGATAGGCCGGGGGGATCAATACTAAGGTGATAGCCTTGGAAATAAATGATGAGCCATCACTAGATGGCTGGTACAATGCCGAAGAATGAGGCATAGGGGAAACGTCACGCTCTCTTGTGGCTTTTGCCCGGCGCCGGAACTCGGAACTCATGTGGTCGAGATCAGTGTTCAAAGCAGCGACCTTGGCACGAATGTTTGGCCGCGGTTCCGTGTCCGCAGATACATCCGTAAAACGACTGGGTCGGTGTCCATTGTTTGTAGGGGCCATTGAGGGTGAGGTGTCTGCGAACGCATCTGCGAAGCGCCTAGGCACATTATTCGAGCTTATGCTATGCATTGATGGAGGATGAAGCAAGCTGGTTGGATTGGGAACGTTGTCGCTTTGAGGAATACCGAGTGTTGGGGGCTGTGGCGTCTTACACTGATCCGCTGACGCTTCCAATCCAGAAATAATGTGCTTTATGCTCGAAAGGTTGGAAATCTCTTCTGATTCAGGCAAATCGGGGCCTCCCACAGATGTAGGATGAGTAGAGACTGAATCCGGCGATTGAGGCTCAGCAGAATGGAATGACTCGGGACTGGACGCAAAGGATGCATCATGGTCGACCTCCAGTGTGAGCTTGGCAGTGGGTTGCACGCGTTGAACTTCTTCGACATTCACGAGATTGTCTTCCAGCACTGCCTTAGTCCCCACTGCACTGGTAGTTTCAGCACGGAATACAACTTCGTCTGAAGTTTCAGCCGCCAACACTGCGTCAGTCTCAATTGGGATGCTGGGCTCGGCTTCAACTGCAGATTCCTTGAAGGGTTCGGCTGGTGATATAGCTTCTAACACGAGTTCAGACTTGGTCTCAAGCTCCGCTTCGGCTTTGATTTCAGAATCTAGGACAGCTTCGGATTCGGGTCCGGCTTCAACTCCACTATCGGCTACAAACTCAGGTTCGAGTTGGTCTGTAACCTTGAGCTCATGATCAATTTGAAGTGCAGCATCAGTACTAGATGCGCATTCTGGCTTGAGCAAAGGATCAATATCGTATTCATCGTCTGCGCCTGACGTAGCCTCAAACTTTGCAAGCAGGCTAGTGAAAGTTTGCGGTACTTCAGTCACCGACCGCCTAGGAGGCCCTTGGTATGGAGAAGGACTCAAAGCCTCAACGGGAGAGGATGCCCGATCGTCGGGAATAGTCTCCAAAATTGTACTGCTCGCTTTGTTTGAAGTGAAACAACTGTCATCGGTTAGGTCTCCGTCGGTGTCATCCCCGGCACTGGCGGAATCGAGACAATCCGACCTTATTGAAGAGGGTGATGGTGTCTCTCGTGGAGGTTCTAGGACGGTCGGTACTCTTTCTCTCTGATCTTTCGGTTGCCAAGCCTTTTTGCGCCGAGGTGCCATTGCGTCGTTCGGGAGCTCAACGCTGAAAGAGCGTTTGAAAGGGCATGGAGTGACTTCATATCGAAGCACTGTTGGCAATGCGATCTTCAGATCCCGCACCAAACTCCGGTGCTCTTCTGTCTCGTATGGTATTTCGATGCGATAGTATGTAAGAGGGCGAATGCGTAGAACAAACTTCGATACCCCGTCGACACACCAACACTGCGAATTCTTCAGAATTGCGTGGACAACATTTCCACATTTCAGAAACGCTGTCGAGCCATGGACCTTCTCTAACCTCAGTGGCGCTGTTGCGACCGTTCGCTCAGTTGCAGAGCGCCAAGGGAGTGTCTCGATAGTATCGACCGGGTAGTCGAAGTCGGACGGCGTAGAACTGGATGGGATAGGGGCGAGGGCTCTTGGGGAGAAATGAACGATTTTCGCGGATGGGTGATAGAAAATTACATGTTCGGGGGTATTCGGCACGCTCGCGCGACGTCGCGCGAGAGGATTTAATTTGGTTGGAAGGGTGGCAGAGCGGCGTAGAGAGTGTAGCTCACTTGGAGACTCGGGCATGGTTCATGGATGCGATCAATAAGGGGCAAAGGGGATATTAATGTACAAACATGTTTGTACAGGATACCAATGTGAGAAGCCAGGTATCCGATGCAGGAGACGCAGGAGATGGGGCTTATCTGCAGTTGCGCGGCCTATTGCGCGGGGAGATGCACTGTTGCCTTAGGCCGAGATCAGGTGATCATGACGCAGCTTTCAATGCCAGCTGAGCAGGCACCCACAGTTATTTTTGGTCTCATTTTCAAGAATGCGTTGTTGCTAGATTCTTAACTGTTTCGACACTTCTGGGGTTATACGTGGTGGTATTTACTTGGTTCTTCCACAGCATTGAAAGCGACGATGTCGAACTTCGAGCCGAACGCTGTGATCCGCGGCTTTCAGCTCACAATAGTAGGCAGTATGTCACCCCATGTGTTTACCCCGAACGTCCAGGGGAATTAGGTTGGAATACCTTGGCGGATTCCAGGCTACACAAGAAATTCTATCAACGTTGGAGTCGGCTATGCCAAAACATTGATCAGGTGCTTGTGCTGCATTGAACCAGCCACATCCTGTCATTTGCCTTGGAATGATCCCCTGGATGGGAACGCGTTCTAGGCCATTACTAACTGAGGGTTGCAGCTGTTCGTGCATTAGGAAACCCTGAACTATTCAAGTACGACCATTTCCGCCAAGCAGCTCTTGCGATAGCCATCGGCATCGTTATCCAATTGATCATTCAGATTCCAGTATGTTTCTATACTGCCCCGCACGGAGGGTTTTCGCTGACTTGAACTCAAGATCCTCAGCGTGAAATTCTCTATATACCTCGTATCATGGGTGATCAACCTTGAACAGGCAGTCTGGGACGAAAAGCTTCTCAGTGGGTTGGAATTTATGTCCAAGTCTGTCCTACAGGTGCCATTCTTGCTCATGACCTTGATGCGATATGTGACGCCCACGCTAGATGAAATGTACATTCTCTTAGCAACCAACTTATTGATACTTCGCTGACCGTCTCACTAGTTTCATGCAGTCCATTCAATGGGTGGACACTACATACATCCAGAAACATAAATCCGAAGACCCCCGTCACCTCCGCTCTCTATACTACCCCAATCTTGTCCAGTACTCTGCCAAAGGTGGCTCCAGCGTTTCTCGGCCAATTGCCAAAGCACTGAAGTCATTCTTCAACCGCTATGCAAAGAAGATTGGTATAATGCTTGGTGTCTATCTTCTTTCGATGGTTGCGATCATCGGTCGGTTTGTTATGCCTGCAGCAAGTTTCTACACATTGCGAAGCCACATCGGCTCCACCCCCGCGGCTGTCATTTTTGGCATAGGGTTGATTCTGCCGAAGCATTACATTGTCACTTTTCTTCACACCTACTTTGCTTCGCGCAGTCTGATGCGTGAGCTTGTAAGTCAAGTTACCCTTCCGCACTGGAATTATCCTAACAGTCTCTAGCTCGAACCCTACTTTTGGCGCATCAAGTTCACCCCCGACCAAAAGCGCCGGTGGTTCAGCGATCGAGAAGGTGTTCTCTTTGGCTTTGCCTTTGCTTTCACGGTTGCTCTGCGTATCCCGTACATTGGTGTGCTGATGTATGGCGTTGCTGAGGCATCTACAGCGTACCTTGTCACCAAGATAACCGACCCGCCTCCACCTCCTGCTGAGAGTACAGGTTTCGCGGAAAGCCAGATTACCTGGAAGAACAAGCATGATTTCTTGCGCTTATCTCTCGATAATCTTGACAAACTCAATGTCGACACGGACGAGCCAGATCAGAAGGAACCTATCTCTCCTGGAAAGAGGTTTTCTTAAGAGCTGTCAGCACTAAGACTTCACGGCAAGTATTTTTCGAGCATATATGGCCTTGCGATTGCACAGACACCATCAATTATTAGCATATAAGGCGACCATCCCCGCAATCTTGCCCTCCGAAATAGGCCTTATTTACAAAAATACATTTCATCTCCAATTGTCCCTGAGGGGTACATAAGTACAAGCTTATCAGACCCCCCGAGGTCGGGGTGATCTGCGAGATAAAGCGATAAGCCAGTTCTCCAACGCCTCACGTAACTGTTATTCACGCCAACATGTCAATGGACCGGGTGTCTGCGGGGCAAGACCTTATCGTAAGAGGGGCCGGGATATGGCAGTCTATTTAAGGGTCCCAGCTTGTCCAAAGCCCGATATTATACTCTTGTTAGCCTACAGCCACTGCCTCAACCACATCGAACAACTAACAAACCCTTGGATAAAAGCAAATATGGGTATCAAGGGAATCCGTACTGCTCTAAAGGTCGACCTCGACAAGCCTGCGTGGGAACAACCCGGCTTACATGTATGTTCTTGCGTTCTTGAAGTCGTAAGATATTGCTAAGTTCCTTATAGAACAGATGGCATCCAGATGGTATGTCCCTTGATCATATTCCCATTAGAGACATGCATGCTAATCCCACGTCCAGTTCCGGCTCATGGAAAAATCGCCAACAATGAAGTCGTCAAGATCGAATGTCTCGATTGGACCGGAGGCCAGATCGGAAACAACGACTCAGCAGACGATATCAGGAATGTAGATCTAACCCAAATCCATTACCTCTCTGGTCCATTCGACATCGAAACCGCGGAGCCTGGCGATGTCTTGCTCGTCGAGATCCAGGATGTCCAGCCATTCGAAGACCAGCCATGGGGATTCACCGGGATATTCCACAAAGAGAATGGAGGAGGTTTCCTAGACCGACTGTATCCCGAGGCGTATGTTAATTATATGTAATATCATAACATGTATCCATGCTAACGGCATCGCAGAGCAAAGGCGATCTGGGACTTTGAAGGAATCTTCTGCTCATCCCGGCATATTCCGCACGTTCGGTTTGCGGGACTGATTCACCCCGGAATACTGGGATGTGCTCCCTCGGCCGAAGTTCTGGCTGAATGGAATCGTCGAGAGGGCGAACTCATTGCAGCCAATACTATTGCGGATCAAATTGTCGCTCAACCACCGAATCCCCAGAATGCCCATGCAGGCAGTGCTATTGATGACGTGAAGAGCAAGATCGCGAATGAGGGTGCTCGAACCATCCCAGTGAGAGATGACAATATACCCAAAAACCGAACCAAAACTCACACGTTCACTAGGGCCGCCCCGAGCACGGAGGTAACTGCGATATCAAGAACCTCTCCCGGGGATCGAAAGTCTACCTTCCCGTGCACGTCCCCGGTGCCAAATTCTCCGTCGGAGACCTGCACTTCTCGCAAGGCGATGGCGAGATCTCATTCTGCGGGGCGATTGAAATGGCCGGTGTGATCACATTGAAGTTCACCGTCATCAAAGACGGCATGGCGAAACTAGCCATGAAGTCACCAATATTCCACGCAGGACCTGTAGAGCCGCAGTTCGGCCCTGGGCGATACCTGACGTTCGAGGGATTCTCTGTCGACGAGCATGGCAAGCAGCATTTCCTGGATGCGACAGTCGCCTATAGACAGACCTGTCTCCGGGTTATGGAGTATCTCCGGCGCTATGGCTATAGTGATTATCAGATATATTTGCTGCTCAGCTGCGCGCCGGTGCAGGGGCATATTGCCGGCATTGTGGATATTCCGAATGCTTGTACTACGCTTTCGGTGCCGATGGATATCTTTGATTTCGATATTCGGCCTGAGGCGGATGTGGTCAAGCTGGAGATGGGAACTTGCGCTTTTGAGTCCAAGTAGGATGGGAATGAAGGGAGAAGTTGGATATATAAGTTTGGTTTAGTTGGATATTTCAATCGATCTGTTTATATGTGATTGTTCTTGGCTTTTCCAATATTTGTCCACCTGGCCTCCAATCAGAAGGTTCTGTGTAGTCTGCCAGTCACGGTTGACTACGATATCTGGTTGCCACCTAAATCAGCCCCAACTGCTCCGGTGTGTCTCAAAGATAAAACGTCCGATAGTGGATATCTGCATTGCTCATTGCCTGATTTTTGAAATCCGAGCAGAAAATGAAGAGAAAGGACTTGAAACGCCTAAGGCGATACTAGGCGTGATCCAAAACATATGATCGACAAGACTGAAGCAGTAGCCAATATATTCTGAAACACAGGCTAATGCTTATCATTAGTATAGCGGGTCGCCTAGACCTGGTTGCAATGCTCCGTCTAGAAAATATGAGTGCGTTACTACCAGGTCATACTTGGAAATATATAATTTTATACTTTTGGGGCAACTTTTATCCCCGATGATTTGAGTAATCCTACACCTGAGCCTAACGTGCTATGCGACAGGAGTCTACTATGTAAAAAGAAGTTACAGTATGGACTTCGCACAAGAGCAAGGCAAATTGCTTGAATGATGTGATATCATACATCATGGGTCATTGTTGAACGAGAAGACCACGTCGTGAATCGTGATGGAACAAAAGAAAGGCCGGGATGAATCAATTTCAAACCGTTTAAGAGAAGAACTTCTTGGCAGCCGCCTTGTCCTTGGCCTCCCGGTCCTTGACAGCCTTCTTGACCTTGGCGATCTCGTTGATAATACCAGCATCGCCCGGAGCCAGCTTCTCTGCCTCGTGCAGATCCTTCAGCGCAGCATCCTCCTCCTTCAGACCCTCGTGGGCAACAGCGCGGCGGTAGTAAGCCTTGGCCCGATCAGCATCCTTAACCTTAGCCTCATCGGCGACTTGGAGCGCATATGTGGCCCAGTTCTGAGCCTGGCGGTACTTCTGGAGCTTGTTACCAAGCAGGGAAGAGTTGGAGTGCAGGGTGAATCGGAGTGCCTTCATCTGCTCGCCCAGCTCCTTGGGGTCATTGTCTGCGGGATCGGGGAACTCATTCAGATAGCGCAGACCCTTCTGGTACTTGTCGAGACCCAGGTTGAGATCGCCACTCTTGAAAGCAGCGTTTCCGAAACCCTTGAGGTCGGAAGCGATCTTGAAGCAGAGAGGCGCAGTAAGCTCCTCGCCCTGGTGGTCCTCGGTGAAGTCCTCGTATGGGTCGCCCGTCGCGTCCGCCTGGCGCTTGGCCGCGTTCTCGTAGTCCTCGCCGGTAAGCTCGCCGCAGTTCACGATGGTCACGTCCTGGATGGGCTTGTCGGACTGGGTCTTCATATTCTCGATCTTGCGAATTACGTTCTTGCCGTTGATGACCTCACCGAACACGACGTGCTTGCCATCAAGGTGGGGAGTGGGAACGGTGGTGACGAAGAATTGACTGCCGTTGGTGCCGGGGCCGGAGTTGGCCATGGAGAGCAGGAAGGGGCGGTCATGCTTGAGGTCGAAATTCTCGTCGGGGAACTTTTCGCCGTAAATCGACTCGCCGCCGGTGCCGTTGAACGCGGTGAAGTCACCACCCTGAATCATGAACTGCTTGATCACACGGTGGAAAATTGAGCCTAGATCGGGACACCGCGGTTAGTGGGCGTCAGCGCGATGGGAGCGGGGTATTGTAGACGTACCTTTGTAGGTCAATTCCTTGCCCTGGGTGCCAATGCCCTTCTCGCCGGTACACAAAGCTCGGAAGTTGTCCGCGGTCTTGGGGACGACTGTTGCTGTTAGTCAGGTCCGAAATGTCAAGGGAGAAAATCATGTCGTACCATCGTTGAACTGTGCAACACCCGGATGTTAGATGCAATCCAGACTCGGCATATAGAGGATGCGGGCAACTTACCAGCTCAAAGGCAACCCGGCTAGGCTTGCCGTCACCGATTTGAATGTCAAAGAAGACACGAGAGCCTACGAGCTTGTCAGCGACTCGACTCAATTATTGCATCCGCGGGCAGATGGACCCCGCACTGAACGTACGCTGAGGTTTCGCCATGACTGTGGAGTTTCGGGGAAGAAATTTCAAAGGTGAAAAAGAATACGAGAGAGAAATGAAGGTGATATGGTAGAGAAGTGGAGGAGAGAGAAGTCGGCGTTGTGGGGGAGTCCGGCGCTTGTGGTTCAGGAAGCTTCCATTGACCCCAACTATATTTGGACCACGGGATTGTATAGAAGTTGCATTGGGGGTATCTGCTAACGTTTAAGTACAAAGCATTACTCTAATCTCTATTAATCTTCCTTTGTTTCTCTCCTTCTTTTTTTTCACTGCAGCAATTCTGGGGGAATTTGGAATTCAAAAGATCCCTTGATGTCCTGTTTATCCTTGTCGTCATTTTTCTGCTCCTTGGGTTCCTTTTTGGGAAGATTGGTATTGATTTCGATTGTGACCTAGAATGAAACCAAGTCAGTATATAATCAATGAAGGCGAGGAAAGGAACTGGAAGGTCAAAATGTACCGCCGCGTCCTCGCTGCAGTAGTTCACACCCACCGGCCCGTCGTTCTTCAATTCGACCTCCATCATGGCTTGGAAGACACCATTTTTGACCCGGTCTGGAGTATAACCTTCCCGCATCTTGTCATAAAAGAAGTCATAGATTCTGCGTGCAGCTTCAGGGCCAGCTGCATCATGAAAGTCGGGTTTGTTGCCTTTCTTCATTTTTGCATAGAGGGTGAATTGGGAGACTAGTCATGTTCAGCAGTGGTCTGGAGAGTAAGATGAAGAGCCATACCACATAGTACTTCTCCCTCAATCTCCTGAACATTCTTTTTCCACTGTGATATGTCAATTGCCGGTCTCACACCTGATAGCCATTGACTTACTTGTACCCCATTCTCATCGGGCCAGAACTTGGCCTTCAGTATCTTTTTCACGATATTCTCTGCTTCCTTCTCGGTATCCTCTTTGCCAACGCCAGCAAATACAAGAAGGCCCTTGCCAATAGAGGAGACTAGCTCCGAATCGACTGTCACGGATGCCGATTTGACTCTTTGGATGATGACTGAACGGGGTGAGTTGATTTGTATATAGTATAGGTACAGAGATCCTCACCTTTCATCTTGATTTCCAACAGATCTTGTATGTGTCAAAATGAGAGACAGCTTCTAAAGCCGGGGTACGCAGTTGCGGTAGATAAGGCTGGTGATAGCGCTGGCAGCAAATGCGTGGTATTGCCAAAATGAGCTCGTTTGACGCAGTTTGTCAGCGCGACTGGTTTCTTTGTGGTAAATTGTGTTCTTTCCCACTGAGAAATTGAAATGCGACGAGCGACTTGTGTGTCTAACGCCCACAATCCCCCTCGCGCCGCCCTCACGTTTGCCTCCGCCCGTGACCGCCTACCTATTAGAGCATCCACGAAGCTTTCCACTTAAACGCGGAGAGGTATTCCATGGACTTCCGAGCCTGTGTCCCTCTTACTGTCAAACAAACCCTTCTTCCCACAATTCTTCCTTCACCAACTACCTCAATTTCGTACTTGTGACCATTTCGGTCGAAAGCGCATCATCTCCCCGTTCCGACCGCATTAATCCGACGCCAGGACGGCACAGTCCACCACCGGGTTCACAATGGCAGCCCGAAAAACACAACAGGAAATTGAAAAAACCTTCAAGAAGGTCTCCGAAGGGATACAAACGTTTGAAGGCATTTACGAGAAGATCCGCCAGGCTACGAATCCTACGCAACGGGATAAGCTCGAAGACCACCTCAAGCGCGAGATCAAGAAGCTTCAAAGATTCCGTGATCAGATCAAGTCATGGGCTGCTGGGAACGAGGTCAAAGATAAAGCCCCACTCATGGAGCAGCGCAAAGCGATTGAAGTGGTATGTCTGGGTTTCCTATCTTGGTCCCCCGCAGAGTCCAATGGTTGAGGACAGCAAGCTAACATTGTCGGTAGTGCATGGAACAATTCAAAGCCGTCGAAAAGGAAATGAAGACGAAAGCATATTCCAAGGAAGGTCTCTCGGCAGCTTCGCGACTTGACCCCAAGGAGAAGGAGAGAGTCGAGTGTTCCGAGTTTCTCTCCACCATGGTTGACGAGCTTCAGCTGAAGATCGAGGCCTTGGAAGCAGAGGAGGAAACACTTCATGCACAAATGAAGAAAGGGAAGAAGGATACGAAGAAGGCAGATCGACTGGCCGACATCTCCCATATTACGGAACGACATAAATGGCACGTCAACAAGTTGGAATTCCTCAATCGTTCTTTACAGAACGGCAACCTGGACGTGGGTGCGGTACAAGATCTCAAGGAAAGTATCAAATATTACGTCGAAGAAGGCGGCAGTCTTGACTACTCCGGCGAAGATGAAACACTCTACGACGATCTAAATATCGGCGAGGAGATCGAGGCACAATTTGGCATGGGCGGCGAAGGTGATCGTGTATCATCACAAGACGCGCAATCAATCCAAGACGAAGAGCCCGAACCGAAACCCAAGGTCAAGCAAGAAGCGCCAGCAGCCCGAAGACCGTCCACACAGATGAAATCCCCGCTTCCTGTTCTTGCTACCCTCCACCCCTCTGCTTCCTCGAGTGCTCCGGGCATGAAGCCTGCTCCCCTTCCGACCCGTCCCCCTGGTGAAACCCTCAAGTATGCCTCTGCCGCTGCCGCTGCCGCAGCAAGTGACAAAAGTGGTGTTGGCATTCTCCCTCTCCCACCCCCACCGGGTTTCAGCCCGGCTCTGTCCGTGGCACTACCTATCTCCAAGTCTTCCACTGCTTCGCCCAGTGTGGCGTCAGTACAGCCTGTTATGAAGTCAATAATCCCACCCACTGTAGCCGCCGTTACAGAAGAGCTCGCTGGGCACGTCCGACCCAAGGTCCCTGTGAGTGCAAGTGTCTTATCGCCCGCGCCTGCAAAGGCGGAGACATCAACGAACGGTAAACTAGAGACAGAAGAAACCGAAAGTGAGGAATCGATCTACCACCTGCCCCCCGGTCTCCAGGACCTGCTCCAATCATTTGAGGTGACCAAGTCCCGTGCGTCGGCCAACCCGTCGCCGTCGGTCCAGCGCCTTCTCGCTACCTCATTGACGACCTGTCCCGAGGCTGGCGATGCCGAAAAGCCACGTCACTACAAGCCGCAGAACCCCTACAGCACTGCGCTCTACTATCCACAGGAACCTCTTCCAATATTTGATGACCCTCGGTTGTACGATACCGGGAGAATCGACACGGATACCCTCTTCTACCTTTTCTACTACCGCCAAGGGACGTACCAGCAATATCTCGCGGCCAAGGCGCTGCGCAACCAGAGCTGGCGCTTCCACAAGCAGTATCAAACCTGGTTCCAGCGTCACGAGGAGCCGAAGAACATTACCGAGGAGTTTGAACAAGGCACCTATCGCTTCTTCGACTACGAAAGCACATGGTCAGTTAAAGAATCCGACTGATTTCGTTTTGCTCACCCACTTGACGAGCTCACCACTTACGAATAACAACAGGATGAATCGGCGCAAGGCTGATTTCAAGTTTGTGTACAAATACCTCGAGGACGAGTTATGAGGCGTCTTTGGTTTTTTTTTTTTTTTACTCGTGAGCCACCCATTCGGGTCTCCAAGTGCAGATGATTGCTTTTCACCCTGGATTCGTTTACACTATCGGTGGCTTTGCGGCTATGGTTCGATAGACTGGATGGTTGAGGCTATGGCGGGTACTCTGGAAACTGTGGGGTCTCGGTGGGCGTGTTTTCTCTTCTTTTACTGTTTTCGCAGGACTGGCATCAATGAGTGCAATGAATGGGCCTCGGTGATACGGGAGTTTCGTGTTATTTCCAAGGTTATCAATTGTTCGAATACAATGAATCCTTAAGTCAAGCATATTACAGAAGTAGGCAAGTGGCTCAGCCAAGTAACCAAGTAGCCAAGTCCAGTGCATAGCATGCTTATGCGCAGTCTGCCTTGCAGGTACGGGTACGGGCCAGGCCCTGGATCAGCAGATATCATAAGTACCTAATTCCATACCCCGGGAACTCCGTATGATCGTCCGGGGTTATCGTATTTGCTCGTGGACACGTAGGTCTGCAGGTCTACGGAGTACTGTTTCCCATCCCGGGACAATAATGCAGGAGATATGCAAGTGCATGCAAGCCAATAGCGAAAAAAATATATCAGTATAAGCCCGAGATGCGACAAAAACCGGAAATCGGAAAAAGGAAAAAGGAAAAAGGCAACGGGGCTCATAGAAGCCAAGTCCAAGGTTGCCCAACAACACGACCGGAAGCAATGTCATGTATCCCCGACTGAGAATAAATCGAATAAAGAAAATCAAAAGAGCGACATATGACGAATCATTTCGCTGGGGCTAGTTACGGAGTACTCCGTAACTATACATTACGGGTTGCATGCATGGGCTCTTTCAGCTCGAGCGCGGGATTTGTCCTTTCTAGAAGCCGGGGATATGCGAACGCTAGTCAGTAGATGCTACGTCAGGGCTGTGCGCGACCGCGACATCATCGGTCGATCTCTGACCCCGGATTGGAGGGGTTTGGGAATTGTGGGAATATTAGACGACCAAGTTCTCCGTGGAGATGGAGAATGGAGATGTTCGGGTTAAGGCTGGATCTTGATCCGGTGATGTAATTGGCACGATTGTGCCGTTGTGCCGATATACGTCAATACCAGGTTGGATGTCTGGAGTTGGGCAGTCGAAGTGGAGTTGAGCTGGTTGAGTTGAGTTGAAGTGGACTTTGATATTGATATTGAAGTTGATATTGAATTGATATTGCTCTGAGTCTCTGACTTCAGCCCGAATACAATTACTTCCAACACAAAGCACTACATCATGCAACACATGAAACGGAAACAAAACAAAACAAAACAAAACAAAACAAAACAAAACAAAACCAAAAAAACATGTCAGACACGAGTTCTTGGCACGCTAGAATGACACTAGAACACACAGAAGACACACGGAAGACGCACAGAACCCGCCAACGGCCAATCATGAGAGGATCGGCGTGAGGGGGAAACTCTCTGGGCACCCAACTGCTTATCGCAGCCAACTAACTGACCTCGTTGGCTTCGACACCGGGTCCTCCGCCAATCACCGTTGGTTACGTGAAATGAGAGGGGGGGGGAAGGACACGCTAGAAGGGCCGTGGAATATTCGGCGTCAGCAAAAGATCAGCAAATCCCCGAGGCTGAGTGGTGTCGTCCAGTCTGCTTCGAGAAGGTTTCTAGAAGTTGTTAGTGTCCCGTGTTGGCCAATACCCTAACACCCCCTGCCATGCAGTTTCGTGTTGGGCACATAAAAGGGCTGATGTCTCCATTAACGGGGGGAAATTATTTTGCATTTGAATAAATACTGGGCCAAATCAATTTTAACCTTTACAACATAATTAGTTTACCTCTTACAATGGTAGGTGACTTGACTTTAGTTCGCATGGCAGATTTTAGACTAACCCTCTCTCTCTCTCTATAAGACTGCAATTCCAATTCCCACCCATCGCTCCCTCTCCTCCCCGATCAACATCAACATGCAGTCCCCATTCAACTACCCAGACTCCTACTCTTCCTCCTACTCCTCCTCACCGGGCAGCATGGACTTCTTCTTCTACGGCGGCCAGCCCGTCTACGATTCCCTCTGCGACCTCGACGCAACCAGTCCCTTCCCTATGCAAGAGGTCACCCCAGAGCTATACAACGTCACCAGCTCACCCTACACCTACCAAACCCCACACGATTACCCGGTCTTTGACCGACCCACCATGCCCCAGAGCACACCCAGCAGCTGTGGCAGCAGCTACAGCAGTAGCTATAGCAGCAGCTTCACCTTCCCCTCCGAAGACATCGCGCTACCAACCTACCCCATCAGCGAATACGAATCCAACGCGGAATCGCCAGCGCCGGCATCCAAGTAAGCCGACCATCCATCTACCGTCGCGCGTGCTGTCGCCTTGAACCAACTAACATCTCCCCACCAGACCAGCTAAGCCCTTTGGCTGCGACAACTGCGGCAAGTCCTTCACCCGCTTCGCAGACTTGAAGCGCCACCAGTCCAGCGTCCACTATCCCGTCTTCCGCAATTGCCCCGTCGAGCACTGCTCGCGGAAGGGTAGCAATGGCTTCCCGCGCCAGGACCACCTCGTCGAGCACCTGCGCTCGTACCACCACATGGACGTGCCGAAGCGCGGTGCCTGCAAGCGCTCTGCGAAGCAAATCTCATGAGTGTGATGCCTTCTGCATTCTTTTTTTCTTTTTTTCTTTCTTCTTGCGCTGTTTCCTACCTTTTACCTTCTGGCCCTCGGGCTTGTTTACGATATGATATCATGACTGTATTTCCTTTTCTTTTCTGTTTTGCTTATTTCCCATTCCCACTCCTGTTTTTCCTTTTTAGATCGCATTCTGGTTATGAATCGGTCTTGTATAGAAGATGCGCATCGCTTCTTCGGATTATGTTTTTGTTTTTGTATTTTTCGAGCTGATCGCTCATGTGTTTTAGATTCTAGATCAGATGGCTTAGATGTGTTATGTTTAGGTGGGATGGTTCAATGAATGGCGACGATTACGATATACTATTTTTTTTTCTTCATTGGCCTGGACGGCTTTTCCTATCTACCTAGCATTTCCCCTTTCTTTGCTAGTGAATTTCCCCTAAAGTACGTGTGCTGCAGTAGTCGCTCGGACTAACCGGACTAAGTAGGTCCTACATCTCTAGGGTTGTATACTCCACTCTGTGATAGTAGCTGCAGCTTCGTATTTGTTTTTCTAAATACGAGATATCGAGCATCCTAATATCCCTAGAATACAAAGAAACTAAATAGAAAAAGCAAAGAAAAACTCGATTGAAATTCAGATTTGTCTTTTCTTTGTCCTTTGTACACCTAAAATGCATGCCCTAAATGTAACTAGTCTACTCCGTACTATTAATTAATTAATCCAAAATAATCCCTACATGCAGGTACCAAGAGTTCATTTCATAACGCAAAAGCAAATTAAATCCCAGCCCCATCCTCCAAAACATTATTTCCCCGATGATACAAATCCCAAGCCCGACAATTCCTCTCCAGACCATCCCCAAACCCCCTCCAATCCGCACCAGCCCCACCAACAGCACGACCCCCCAAAAACCCCTCAATCTCCTCCCCCCGTTCAACAAACTGCAACGCAAACCCCTGATCAAGATGCCACCCAATATGACAATGCATCAGCCACGCGCCCGGATTATCCGACCGGAACGCAAGAACCAAATACCCCAAACCGGGCAGCAGCGCCGTATCACGTTTCGGTAGTGCGCCGGCCGCGAAGTCGAGATTCAGACCGGTGCTCGTACCCTGATCCCGGGCTGTAGATTTAGCGTAAAATTTAGAAGTAGACGTGGAGCCATCCCAGGACCCATGTCCCTGCGCAACAACCAAAAAATCATGTCCGTGCAGGTGGATCGGATGTGCAATATCCATACTCGTTTCGATAACGACAAGAACCCACGAATCTGCCTGTGGAATTGCTATCACAGCCGGTTTATCGGCTATGCTGCTTTCGGCGCTGAAATTGCGCAGCGTGGGCTGGGCCCATTTCCCTTGCATCGAGGTGCTGTTTAGGTACCAGCGGTAGACGGTGTGGCTCGTTAGCGCGGCGGTTGCGGAGAGGGTTTCGTTGTAGAAGGAGTCTTCTGCTGTGAGGATGAGGGGTGTTGAGATTATCGGGGTAAGGTTTGAGGCGGGTTCGTCTTCGCAGGTGTCTGTTAGGTTGTAGGCTGCTGTTGTTGGAAGGTTTGGTTGGTTTGGTTTGTCAGTATGGGTGTAGTAGATTATGCCGCGGATGTTGTCCGCGTTGCTGTTCGCTGAGCAGGAGAGTTGTGGGACGGCGCGGAGCCAGAAGGATTTGGCTGTTGAGGCTTGGTCTGCGTGCACTATTACATCGTAGCGCTGTCCTTTTCGATTGGTTAGATGTATCCTTCGGTTGGTTCGTTGGTATGAAGGGAAAGCTTACCAATCGCCAGGCTCACGGCTGTGGTATTATACGGCTGTATAGGAACCAGATCCATAGCAATGACCGTGAGAATGTGGTGATCAATGCTAAACTTGAAGTGCGTATCGCAGGCGACATTCGTCACACGGAGCCGATACGACTTCCCGGGCGTGAACGAGGTGTTGAAACGGTACCCCGTCTGACTCGGGTCACTGTCATTCCCAAAGACATTGACGCCGTTGATGAGGGCATTGTCCAGCACCGGCGACCCGACTGTCTCTGCTCCGTGCCAGAGCTGGTCGACTGTGTTGATATCCCAGTCGGAGAGCTGTATGACGCCTTTATCTTCGTCGTAGTTACTACTAGCCGGCCCGTGGATGATCAGACCTCCGTACACGCCCTCCCAGGTCTGCAAACCTATGTGCGAATGGTACCATGTTGTGCCGTATTGTGTTGCGCGCCATCGATAGGTCATTGTATATCCCGGTGGGACGGGGCACTGCGTGACGGAGACTACCCCGTCCATGGGGTTTGTGTAGTGTTGGCGGAGGCCGTGGATATGTAGACTTGTGCCGTTGTGGACGGTGTTGGGGAGGCTGTTGCGGAGGTGGATGACTACCTCGTCGCCCCAGTTGACTTCGAGGGTTGGGCCTGGTAGGGAGCCGTTGATGGTTAGGTCCCATCTTGATCGGCCGTCTGGTGCTAGTGTTGCTTGGTCTATATCGAGCCAGAACTCTCGCGTGACGCCGGTCTCTGGTGTTGTTTTTGTGTAGTCGGTGTATAGATCGTGTTCACACCATTGATGTCTGGTTGTAGGTGTATTCCCGGCGCATGCACTAGAAACAGGAGGGACTGGATGTTTCAGCAAAGACCCGCGACTTGGAGAGACATCTGGAGGGTGCAAGAAACCGGGTGTTGTGCTTATCGCTGGAAGTATAAAACAGCACAGTGTGTATAGTAGATATCGCCGCATACTCGCAAGATACCTATCGAACAACTGGCCTATAGTTCTGGTGCATTTGCATCGCCAATCCTATGAACTATCACCAAGCTTCAACTACTTCCTACAAAGTGACATTGGTTCAGTATATAGACCTCTATGAAAAGGTCAAACCACCTCGTGTGCTCTGGACTGCATATTCGGTTGAAACTCGAACGTGTCCAAGCCGGCGTAACCTGGTCTCTGTGAGTCGGGTCCGGGGTTGAATCCGGCAAACACTAGACGGAAAGCTGCAGATATACCAGTCAAAAGCATATCGCAGGGTCCACTGTTCACTCCATTACGCAGTTATCACTAGCCTCAGCCCTCGGAGCCAACCGGAAATTGGCTAGTGGTTCTAAGCATTTGGAACTGACCCAGGTTCGTCTGGATTATAATCATCTGACAAAGAGCTGCTGGGGATTGTCACGCTATTGGAGTCATTCCACATCGAAATATCGATATCTAGGCCTTGCCGCTTTTTGCGCACTGAGTAAAACTGAGCACGACCCTTAGTATTACATAATCATAAATGAGCATCACCTGGTCGTTACATAAGCTGGATGACAAGAGGCGCTAAAAATTAGCGGTCCCATTCTAACATTCGACCAGCTGTAAGCCCGCACCGAAGTGATCGAAGTCTAGCTTTTAAGCGCTCTACCGGCACTTTTTACTCCTATAACTGCGTTCGAGATGCCTAGAACTTTGGTCACTGAAATTGCCGGTGAATCGGAGGAAAGCCAAAGCCTCAGGGAACAACCGAATAAAAAAGTGTGGATTCTCACCAAGGGTTCTGATACTTGTCGGCGCTTCGTTGGGATCAGAGGGCTCGGTAAGGGAAAAGGACTCACGCTAGGATGTTACGTACACTGGCCACGCCATTAGATTTAGACGATGCAGTCGGAGCTAAAGTACAACAAAATCATGAAGCAATGTCCGAGACCCTTACAATTCCATCGAATCGCCCGAGGAAGTTATGATTAGTGACTCTGAATCGGAACATGAACACCCCAGAACAGATTACCAAACCCAGAACCCCCATTGAGCAGAGTATACTATAGAGCTGGAGCAGCTACCCATAACTGTTTCATCCACGAGCGGCAAGAAGAAGAGACTTGAAAAGCTAGTTAATATATCTCCATTATTGGCGAACAAGGCACCAAACATACACATCTTCTACGTATCCACGTATCCTCATTAACAGACACAGCGGTTGTACATATGATATATCTACTACGGATACATTATGTGTTGGCTATCAATGACTTATGAATTAGCAGGCAGTTTAGCATTAGTAAAGCTGGCAGACTTTCTATCTCCCACACACTTTGAGAAATCGACAATACCCAAAGGCTGTCTCTTATGCTGGCGGCTAGGAAATAGTGCCTGTGCATCATGATTAAACATTATAGTGCTAAGTTTAGAGCAAAGAACTTATCGTGTGACTGGACAAGTTTGGATAAATAGTTGGGCCAACTGTTCCCTGTCAATTTACCATTCTAAATTTTATATTGGTCCATGGACCACCATTTCTGTTCTCATAAATGTAGTGAGTATTTATTTTTTTTGCGAAGCGGATGCCTAAGCACATGCAGTATTATAAGAACGAACGTATTGCCTAAGTATGCGAAGCTGCCCAATCAGACGTGGAGGCGATCAAGCAAGGCAAGCCAATGCATGGGAATAACACACCAGTATATGCGTCAAACTAATAGAAGGTCGACAGCAATTAATCCGCCCATCATTGTACACGTCACTTTGACGATATTTCTGCTTCTATTTCCTTCTATCATGATCGCGTTCCAAAAGTTCTCTACAGTATGTATTGCAGCTCAGACACGTTGCAATTCACTCCCGACCCCTGCCAATGTGTTGGCACCAACGGAGGGGCTAATTAGAGATTAACTGAATGCACGAATCTGTGGCTTATTATGCACCTATTCCCCCCTTTGAACACTCAAGCGAACTAGTCGCGATTTGGGGCTTATTACAAGTTGTCGCAAGCGGACGAAATCCCACGGAAAAAGCTGCTTTGCAGGACTTATATTTTGGCACTTCGTGGTGTTGTCTTGAGCATTGCTGAAGAAAAAAAGTCAGCACGCGGAGACAACGAACAGCCTATATCGGGGTTCCTGATTCCTATTACTTCGTTTTACCAGAGCTTGTCAACGATCTCGAAGTCCCCTTTTATACCTTTATGTCCCACAAGTTATCTTTTGAACCTTTTTTGGGGCACTCACCAATTCAAATTTGTCTACGCTCGATTTGAAGGTAAACCAAACCTCACTTGCCCTTGTCTTTTGTTTTTATATCCCATTCCAATATTTGCTTAAAGACTGCCCGTGCCCAGTAACACCTAACCTGATTGCTAATTGATTCCTTGGTCAGAGGCTATCACTTTACGTGCACCCTTTGGTTAGAGCAGTTTTTTTTTTTGCGAAGCATAATCCAATCAATTCGAAATGACAGACACGCGGGACAAGATTGTGAATATCGATGCAGCTGGTGATATCATTCTAGTTGTTGGACCTGAAAAGCTGAGGCTCCGCGTGAAGTCAATTTTCCTCAAGGCAGCCTCGAAACTACCAGGTACTATCTTAGGGCCAGACTGGAAGGAAAATCATATACTCGTCACGGGTCTTCCCGTGGAAATAATACTGCCCGAAGAGAATGCGATGGCGCTGAGATGTATTTGTGCAATTTTGCACCATCAGAACAGATTGCTACCTCAGGTCATGGCTGTAAATGATGTTCTTAGAATTGCTGTCGCAGCGAACAAATTCGGCGTTGTTGACGCTTTAACTTTTGCCAGTGAATTCTGGCTATCTCCTGTTAATAAGGGAGCCAGTGATCTTATTGTTCTTGCGGCCGCAGCGAGCTTGTTTAAGAACGCACAAGCATTCAGAGATATTACAAAGGCCCTGGTTCTCAACTACGGTGACTCTTACCTTGCCCTTTTGAGCGAAGATGTCAGGTCAATTTTGGGCGACAGAGTGTTCTGTAAGTTTCAACCGATGTGAAATGACCCACCTGTGACTGACCATTCAATTTAGGTCTGCTAGAAGAGCAAAGGGGCTTCGCGAGGCTGAAGTTGGGAGAGATTCTGATTGGAGGGATCAATGCTCTTGGGTGTGTCCACAGATGTGGATGGACAAGCAAATACGCATTTGCCTACATAAAACTACTCGAGGCACAGAATCTTTGGCCGACTTCCTTGTTTGTCGTCGCCGAGGCTATCGAGCGAGCAAATAGGATGCCCGATCCAATTCCAGAGGAATCAAGTGTTGAATGCAGATATGGATACAAGCATTTTGTGCCTGAATATCGAATGTCCATTCGCTATGGTTTGGATGATTTGACGAGTCGGATTGGGATCTGTCTACACTGTTTTCATTCTAACCAAGCGGGTCCGGCTTTTTGCCAGATGGCACATGAGCATCAGAACTTACCCGACCAATATTAGAAAGCTACACACGCGTTCGAAATCAGTTTCACCTCATACACGTAGATCCTCTTTTCTTGCCTCGGAAAAGGCTAGGGAGTATTCATCCCAGATGACAATTAGTATTATAAGCAAAAGTCACATGATTTATGACTTTGTACTTTACTTGAAATACCAATACGATCGAAACGGAGCCTTCCATGCGACCATGCGGCCGTGCATATAACAAGGGCTGGATTTGCGCATTCGCCACTACGCCAGAAAATCAGAAGAGCTTCTGATCTAGTTCAGGTTGATAGGGGCTGAACCGGTAACTTGTCCGAGTTGTGGAAGCCAGACGTAAAGGTTCAGATGCTGTGTGATATGGAACTGGTGTAGATCAGGAACCAAGCCGCACCGTCGGAATTAGCTCCGAAGTGCCTATACGGACGGCCAAGTTCATTGGAAATCAACTTGGAATTAAAACATTACCATGTCTATAATACCTAAAAGGGAACGGCCAGGCTAAGCCTAGGCTGCCTGATAGTTCCCAACATCCACTCTCCAAAGTAACCCTTACTGGATTCGCCGAACCGAGCGCCGCTTGTCGCGCTCCGTCGGGCTCTTTGCATGTTGGTGCATGCATCGTCACATGAATTACCTAGGTATGGCGTGAATTGGTAAGTTTTAGCCACCGCACCATACCAAACGAGCGGGCACAGCCTAAGTCGCAGTAAGAGATATGTGGACCAAATTTGACAGCCGGGTTTGCCTGCACTCACCTTGAACGTCTAGTGACAGCAAGGATGCATACATACATACTTAGATCACTTGGCGCTAGCGTTCAAGTAATTTGTAGGTTTGGCTGCAGTAGAATCATGGCTTTTGTGACTCCGTGTGACTAAAAGCACCAATACCCCCATACCCTGCAACCGTCTTTTGCACTGCTATAATTATGTCCCCCATGTACACTGCTAATTCGTCTTCTAGCATCGTTTCATCAGGCTTCTTTTCATCCCCTGGAGTATCTATCAAAAATGGCACGAAAATCTAAAAATTGGACTGAGGCTCTCCTCGAGAAGGCGATTGGTGACTCTATTTATAGTCGTCATCTACAAAACCAGCCGATCAATCGAGAAGCGATCAAGAAAAAATATTTGGGAAAGAGCCCGAATCATGCTGATTTTATCAGGGCATTTGTGGACAGGTAAGTACAGCGCTGTTACCTATATATACAGTTCCTAAAGAGAGCCTAAGCTATGCGAATGAACTCGATTTGTTGTCGAGAAGCAACAATCAAATCGAAACCTCAGGATCAGCTCAAGTCCAAAACATACCACTGTCCGCTCCCACTCTTTCACAGCGGTCCCGTCTCCAAGGTCAGGGCCAGCATCCTCTATCATCCGGTATATCTCAGAAAATATTAGAGGGACGGTACAACATAAATGGCCTTGGCTAACGCGCTCTATATAGGTACAGGTCAACAGTCTCAGAGCCACCTCGATGCAGGCCTCGATAACTATGAGGCGGCGAACTCGGTCATCGACAATGATATTGGCCGCATAGTCAATATCCGTCTACAAGGTAGAGCTTTCTCTTCCATCCTTTTTGTGTCTGACTTTGCGGTATTCTAAAGTTCTAATAGAATTCAAGGACCACCTTGCCGGCGATCTCCATGCGAGGGAAACGGGGGCCTCTCCGTCCTTCCCCTCCCTAGAGGCACAGTGTCAATTCCTGAGCTCCAGTGAAGAACAAAGGGAAGAAGCAATGGATGCTATACTTAATGAGCATGCCATCCTGGTATCTCCCTTGTTAGAAAAGTTCGGATATTTTCTCCCTTCTCAATGTATGCTGCTCGGAAACATTGTCAGAGGGAATGAATCCCCAGATTGCAGAATAATGTTGAATGCGAATATTCCATTCTCTGCCTTTATCTGCGGCGTGCAAGGGAGTGGCAAGTCGCACACCACTGCTTGCATGATCGGTATGTTTCGAATTCTACCCATAGGGCACCAGTCATTGATATTACCTTAGAAAATTGCTCTATGAGGCTGCCAGCATTGGGAACCCTAAACCAGTCTATATCGACTCTTGTGCTGCAGTTTGACGAGTATACATCAATAACGAGCTCGCAGCCCAGCGAAGCCGCCTTCCTAGCTAGTGTTCTACCGCAATATGCTCATGCACCGCCGGTCCCACTGCGCGTCCTAGTCTCTCCCACAAACATTTCTAATCTCAGGGGCATGTACTCCCAGATTCCCAATATCGAGATTCGACCGTTCAAACTTCAACCTAAGCACCTCAACATAAGCATGATGCTTTCGCTTATGTCTGTTTCTCAATCTGGCAGTCTCCCCCTCTACATGGCACAGGTTACTCGGATCCTTCGGGAAATGGCGATGGAGAGCGGCGGCTACTTCGATTATTCTGACTTCCGGGGCCGTCTGAACGCACTCAAACTTGACCGTTCTCAGACTCCTTTTCTATATCAAAGATTAGACCTGCTTGACTCTTATCTCGACCTTGCTGGCACGGACACAAGTGACTACTTTATTGACGGCGGTGTCACTATCCTGGACTTGTCGTGCCCTTTCGTCGACCAAAGCACTGCTTGCATTCTATTCCGTATCGCCATCGACTTGTTCCTCTACGCTCACCCTTCCCGAGGGAAGATGATCGTGGCCGATGAGGCCCATAAGGTGAATTGTTCATATTGAAGTATCCTGGTTATTATTCATTAACATCAGCGGGCAGTATATGGCCGACACCCTCGCTGCAAAGGCGCTTACCGAGACTTTCCTTACCATTATCCGCCAGCAGCGACACTTGGGTGTGCGTATAATTATTTCCACTCAAGAGCCGACGATCTCGCCCCAGCTGATCGACCTCTGCTCGTTGACCGTAATCCACCGATTTACGAGCCCTCAATGGTACAAGACGATCGAAAAGCATGTTCCGATGGGTGGTGAAATAGCTCCACATCAGGCCGACAGTGCTAAAAAAGGTCTCTCTCGAATTGCCAGGCTCCGAACTGGCGAGGCGATTGTGTTCGCTCCATCAGCGCATCTCGTTGGAGAGGACGGCAATATCATGAATTTCCAAAATGAACCCTTCAAGGTTATGATTAGGAAAAGGATTACATGGGATAGTGGACGGAGCATTGTTTGCATTCGCTAGGTCGCATATGTACCATGTCAATGCACCACCAGCTTTTATTGTCACACCATTACTTGATATATCCAAGTTTCCCACATAGTCTCAATTAACGGGAAAAGAAATTCACCATACGCACTGTGGAATGTACTGTGGAGAGATACGGTAGCCAGTTGTATCACATATGAGGTGGGTAGTCTCCGTGCTAGAAATAAGGAAAGAACGTTTGCTGTTCAACGCTTAGTTAGTAGCGTATTTAAAGACTGGCTATTGGCGGCGTCTCGATGTACCCCTTTCTTTTTACAGAGCGCTGATTTAATTCAATACAATATGAAAATAGATCTGCAAACTTGCTATCACGTACGAATCCCTTCCTCCTCACCGTGTCCCGAAAGCAACAGTTCGCCTTTTCTTGCTCTTTCGAAAGGAAACGTGACTATTGCAAGAGATTTCTGAGCTCTTGCGAGCCTTTTGGAAACTTCAGGATCTCTTCCGGTGCCAGTGTTTCTAAAGCAAAAAGATTTTGCCGCTTCATATCCTCATAAAGAATATGATTGAAAGCTTGCTCGGCTGCCTTGCTAATCTCCCGAAGAAGACTTCCTTGCGATTCTTCGAGGACCTTCACAAAAGTTTCAAATGCCTCATCCGACGGAGCAAGAATACTTGCATGGTCAGTTTACATTTCGCCACGATTTCATAGTGATATAGACTCACATTTTTTCGATAATCACAGGGCCCGCCACGTCACCGGACCGATCGAAATGAAGTATGCTTAGAACAGCATCCCCAAAGCAGTCCGCTAGAATGTGTAGGCGTTGTCCAAATTTTCGAAATCCCAACATTTTTCGGCGCTTGCTCTTGTAAACAGCTGAGTTAGGCTCCAGGTCTGGGAAAACATCCCTCATCATTTCGTTGACGACTTTAGCCACTTCCATCTTCCTCGGATTGCCTCTTGCTCTCGGCTGGCCAATGAGCTCATCCTTGGACGCTAACTCTATGAATTTTGAGGTGCGCTCCACCGGACTGCAGGTGCATCGGTAGAAATGCAGGATATGGTTACATCGCAAGATCTGGAGAAATGCCGCGTTGTCTTGAATTTCGCCGATGATTTCGAAGCGTTCGTGAATGGTCAGCTCACGTGATACCCATCTTCGCCTTTGAACGATAGGGCCTTGGTCCCCCAGCTCTCTCGTGTATTTTAGGGCCGCCCGAAGAGTAACAAGTGATTGAGAGCCACCAACCAGAATTAAAAAGGTACTTAGACTGGAAAAGATCTCTGAACCGAGACTCAGTATCTTGTCCTCAATTTTGGGCCTGAAATAAGTATCTCCGGGGGGCGGCAAACCCAGAGCCCGAGTCAATTCAGCTTCTCGACACAGTGATGATCGGAATTCAATATCAACACATCTAGACTTTCTCTTTTGTACTTCCATACCACTAGCGTTTTCTCGCTTGCGTGGGAAATGCTGACTTGAGGACCGTTGGTTCGCGGGCTGGCCTGAGAAGCCATCTGGCTGGTACAAGTCAACGCTAATAGAGAGGTGATCGTACATTCTGCGAGGAAGAGCATGCTGTTCAGCTTGTTCAGGCGGGATTTCTACCTCATGGGGTCTTCCATGGTGCATTTCTTGATACGCAATAGGATGACAAATCCCAAGGACCTGCCTCTCTAACGCCCGTTGGCCTGGGTCGTCAGCTAAAGGAGACTGCGAACGCGAGTCGGTGAAAGAAAGTCCATCTGGAAGGATATCTTTCAATAATCCATTCTCATTGTAAAGTCTTTCATAGTTAGACAAACCCCCTAGATCCGGAGTGGTCGGAAAATCCGGCCAAGGGGGAATATCTTGACTCCAGATTTCGCTAGTCTGGGCAGAATCACTCTCCACCAAGGAAGGCAAAAGCAGCGGATTTCTCTGCTCGTCTTTGAATATTTCCATTAAGTTGAGCTGGTCAAGGTGCTCGTCTAGGACGCTGTGCGCAATTAGGGATTTATTCCTGGGGTTACTAGAGTAGACCTACCCTAGAGAGTAAAGTCCCTTGGCCACGGACATGAAACATTTTTTCCTGAGGTATATAGCTCCGATGAGGGCGCTTGTCGCTATAGCAAGAACGCCGGACGAGCGAGCACCAGTCCGACAATCAAATTTCAAGTGCTTGTCGATGCCAGTACGCTTTGCAATGTCTGCACGGTGTTGGATACCGTTGACACGGGATTTGAGCTTCGATGTAAAATCTCGAGGGTGTCAGTTTGGGAAGACTCGCAACAGATTGTCAATGGATACCTCGAGATAACGTAATAAAGGCAATGCTGGAATCAATCAAGAACCCGGTCGCCGCCAAGCCCAATTGGGATAATTTTCTGTTTCCATCCGGGAGAAGTTCGTCTACTCCAGCAGCGGTTAGCGCAACGTCTATGTCCGACTCGGTTAATTCTGGACAAGCGACTAGCTTTCGAATGAATTCCACAGAATCCTTGCTCATGTCGAGTGTACGAATAATAAGATAAAGAAGATGATTGTGATAAGGTGCCAGATGTAACGGTTATTGAATTAGGCAAAGGCGAGGTTTGGCATCAGTTGTTCATTATGTATAGAAATATGGCCATATTGGCGAAAGGAAAATGTGTCATCCCCAGCAAACCGTGAATCTGGCCGACTAGACACTCTTGCATAGAACAGCGCATATCCACGTCGCAGAACGTGATTGGTTATTCTCGGAGGAAGTTTGGCACCGGGAGTGCAGATTTGATGTATCATATGCATCGTGATCACATATCGCGCGCGAAAAGCAGACCATAAGTAACAAACTGCATTCGACCCCAGAAGATTAAAAAATCGTAACTGCCAGCAGTCAGAGGCATCGAATCACTCCTGTTGCCGCATATTGGACTTATCCACGTTTTCTCAAATATGGTCGATCTTCAGCCACGTAGCTATCAGCTGGAAATGTTCGAAATGAGCATGGAAAAAAACATCATAGCAGTGGTAAGACTTGTCTTCTATGCCTATATATCGAGCCCTCACATTGACGTTCCAACATTCAGATGCCGACGGGTTGTGGAAAGACATACATGTATAATTTAGACGACAACCTCCCGGTAACATAGAAGTTGATAATGGGGTTTAGAGTTAGCATGCGGATCATAGCAGAGCTGGAACGATACCTTGAGAACCAGGTAAATCAATTTTCCAATTGCAAATAATAGCTGTCATTAAACATCAGCTACCTTAGATAGTCTGGTTTTAGTACTAACTAACGAAAATTGTGTGTAGTCAGCAACTGACGTATGGATATTTCGCGTCACATGCTGTCCTTGCCAATGCGCTCATTTATGGCTTTGTGACAGAAAAACGGTGGTAATGCGAGTGTATACGTGGCAGAATAATCTCAATAACATCTCTCACTCTCTAAGATGACACTAGTCCGGGAAAATGACAATCTTGTGGACAATAACTCAGTAATCAAGAACAAACAAAATGAAATGAGTGAGTATGTTTTCGCCAGAAAAACCAAACTTGTCAATTACGTGACCCATCTGTATCAAGGATGAACAAATGACGGTATTCATTCCAGATTCTGACAGTTTATAATCCTGCAATCAACCATAGACCTCCGGCTCGCTATAGAGTCAACCTGGCAATCAATTAGTAAATCAGTCATATGTATTGGTTGGGGAGACAAACATTTCTAGCCGGATAGCCCAGTCCTCCCCAGATTGGGAGCAGTGCCCAGCTCTACACCCCTCACAAAGCTGACTGTTATGAGGACCTCTTCTTTCGTGGGAGAATGGAGGCCTCTCTACCCGAATTCCGTTCCATTGTTTAATCCAGTAAACGATTCTCTCGGCGTATGACTGATCCAAAACCGGCCGGCTCAGCGAGCTGCAAGCTTTGCAGCGTTGGTGGTATACCCTGGCATTGTACTTTTGCTCTGGATAAAGACGAATTGTGACAGCGATCTTGTTGCTAGACCATCCTTTGGACTTGCATGCTCTTTGGTTGCACACAAAACGGCCCATAATATTTGTGTCACGCATTCGAGTGCATTTCGTCTCATCATCTTCCTCGAAAAACTGATAATGAAGATCTACCTCGGCTAGCAAGCTCGACACCTCATCGTGAAGATCTTGATACATCGAACATGTCGTAATAGACATTTTTTTCTTGGTCCGAGGCGGGGCAGTTGAGGCCAAAGCCGCAGCAGGAGAAGCCCTGCGGTCCGATTCAATTAAGAGCTCCTCGCGCCACCGTCGGCGAAACAATTCGAGCTCGTCAGTATCGCCCATGACCGGGATTCATAGGCTCACTCTAGGTACAGACAAAGAGCGGTAATAGATGATGCATGCATATCAAAAGACTGTGGAAGACCGGAAGGAGGCGTAGATTTATACTAATGACTGAACGAGCGGTGATAAGCTTATACAAGCAGACTTACATTACGTGCACTACACTAAGATTTGTAGACGTACATATATATCTAAAATCGAATATTACAGACTGACGCACACAGCTCGTGACCCAGTCATCTGCCTCGATGCAAAGTAAGCACTACGAACTCACGGCTGAAAAATATCAAGACAGGCCTATTGTAAGCGCCGTTATAGATGCGCAGGTAGTATAAAGGGTAAGATGAAACTCAAATCTATGGAACAGATTATCAGCCAGGCAACGTTGTGAGGATTCATCCAATGAATAACATAACAAGAAAACATCTGAATACGACAGGGCTGATTCCAAAACAGTACGCAAAATTTTCCTCCTCATTCAAAGGCTCGTCATCCATACATGAGAGGATGACTGATCTAGGGCTGTCTAGTAAAGTGCTTGAGAGATACCGAGCAGATGTGATTCCATGCTGGACGCTCAGGTTGCTGATCTAGTTCCTAATTGAATTAAAACACTACTCTGTTTATACTACCGAAAAAGGAAAAGCGCACATTGGGAGATTCTTCAATAGCCGGTCAAAGCTACCGGTAAACAGGGGTAGTTGGGACATTGCGTCAATTGGTGCCACGTCAGAAAATGGCAATTGCCTCGCAATATACATATGATCCCAAAATATTATTGGGTTTATCGCACCATCCGCGGGAAATTTTTCGCATATTGCATACTTAACATGCCACACAACATTGCCTTACGTGTAATATAGAATATTCCCGTATCTTCCAAAGTACGTGGATACAGGAGTATATTGACCAGATTGTGGCTAATCTTTCTTCGCTCGTTGAAGGGAAGGCAGAAGCGCTGGGATATCGGGACGTCTTTAGGGAGCACCCAAAGTAGGTATTGTCGAATCCTAATAATTTACTTATTATGCTTCAAACGGTTGTGACAGTGGATGTACGTAATGTAGCCAAAGCATCTCCGATGGGTAAGGATTAGCTACGTTCTATGCAAGAGTTCCAAGAATTCTTCCCTATCTATTGCACGTGATTGCATGTATCTCAACATGCAGCCAGTAATGGTGGTATTACCTACCTTCTGTACACCACGCATGGCCATACAAAGGTAGGATGGTTGCATAAGAATACTGACCCCTTGCGGTTTCAGTACCCCAGAAATAGCTCGAGCAACCTGTTTAGTCAGGCGCTCCTGAATATGGAGTCTGTGAGAGAACATCTCAGCCAAACGGGCCAGTTTAGAGAGACCGAGGAAGTGACGATCGCGGATGTAACCGAACCGATGTGCATCTGCCTCACATGGTCAGTGTTGTATGGCAGAGCTGAACGTAGAAGCTTGTACCTTTTTAGTGAAAGGAACAATATGGTGGGAAAAACATCTATATCCTTTACAATAACCAGCTCGTCGTGATTCTCATGGAAAACAGCCCCTTTGACCAGGTCTAAAATATTGTGTTGAGCAAATACGATGTATTAACTATACCACTAGACCACTACAAAAACCAAGGTAATTGTTAGGGGTCTAATGGGTTCATATTCTGGTTGACATATTGCCCTCGTATTCCTTGGTGCAATAGCGCATGGCCCTGGCATATCGCTCTGGAGTGTCGCCTAGGCCTTCCCGCTCCGGATCTTCACCACCGTACATAGAGGTACCCAGGTAGGAGATTCAGACCGAATCCATAAATCAGTTTCAGGATATATACAGCCTGAACCATCAACACCAACTCAGGAACACCTCTAATCTTCACAAAAGGAAAAACTCACTTAGCCCCCAAATCCACAAACTCCTTAAAACAAACCCCCCTAACCTTCCCATCCAAAAAAACAACCCCCTCCTCCTCAAGCCTAAGCCTCTTCTCCTCGCAAAACCCACCACCACCTTTATGCCGATCAACCTTCCACTCCCCTTTATACCCACCCAACGACCCATCCGCTGCAAGAACCCGATGGCACGGCACCCCCGGCGCAAAGGGGTTACTGCGCATCGCGTTCCCGACCGCCCGCGCACTGGATCCTAGATACGTCGCCATCGCCGAGTACGTGGTCCACCGACCCGGCGGGACGGAGAGGAGCGTGCGGTACACGCGCCGGCGGTAGGGGGTTAGCGTTGGGTGCAGGGATATGCGGTGGAGATATTTTTTGGTTTGCGCTGTGGGTAATGTGGGTTGAGGAGAGTTGTGGGGTTGGGGGTCTTGCTCGTCTGGGGTTGGATCTGCGGGTTGGGCGGAGAGGGACATGATTATGCGACCCTTTCGTATACAACGTAGGATGTTGGTAGATTTTTTATATGTTGTTATCCGCTTGGGTTTTGGGTTGCAGGCCTTTTTTGGATCTTTATTTTGTTTTGTATTTAGCCGGGAACGGTGCGACGCGACGCGTTGGGATTGTGCTACTTACCACGTGAGTGTTGATGCGAAGAGATGTGGTAGGGACTTGTGTTGATAATGAATATTTGGAGAGAGAGAAATAGTCAGAGGGGAAAAAAGGCTGTAAGCTCGAACTGTAGAGTTGATGGATGTTGTTCTCGAAGTGGCCAATCAGAGTGGTTCGGTCAATAACATCTTTCTTTCATGATCTTTTGATATTCTAGGGATAAGATACACAGTCTAAAGCCATACATCCATCTAATTTATTAGTTGGTTATTCATCAAACATCAAACATCACCAAACACCACATCATCAAGTCCTCCCTCATCTAAGCGTGATCTACATGTTCCGCTCCTGCAGCATTATCACCAGCCTTGGAAGCCGCAACAGCCGCAGCAACAGAAAGAGGCTTTCCAGTCTCCGGGTCCAACAGACTGCCCTTGGGACCGAGAGACTGGACCATGCCTGGGTTCTCTGCCTTGAGGCGCGCAAAGGTCTTCTCTGCATCCCAGGTCCAGGGCGTCTTGGCCGCGAATAGTAGATCCATGTCCTCTAGCGTGCGCTGGTTGCTTTCTGGGTATAGAGCCCACACCATGGGAATGGCGAGGGCGTTACTGGCGGCGAAGACGTAAAGTGTCTTTTCGCCAATGGCGCTGAACATGACGGGACATAGTAGAGTCTTAACGTTCCGTCAGCATATCGGTCTTGTATTCATTTAAAGGCGTTCACTCACCAGCCATCCATTTCCAATACTCCATCCGACAACTCCAAAGGCGTTTCCACGTGCACGAACGGCCAGGGGGAAGATTTCAGCCGGGTAGACCCTATGGATCAGGAGTTAGTATTGAATAAAAAGGTCACAGGATGGTTTCCTACCAAGGGACTGTGAGCCACGAAGCTCCGAATGCAGAGGTAAAGATGAAAATCATCGAAGCCGCGGCAGCACCATACGAGGATGCCTTGCCCATATCACCAGCTGCCTTGTTGTCGATAGCGAGACGGGAAAATCCACCCGCAAGGAACATGGCAATACCCTGGACAGCCGCGCCCCAATACAAAGTCCACCGACGACCGATGCGGTCAAGAGTAAAGACACAGATTAGCGTAGCAAACTAGACATGCGCATTAGCACAACTCAGTCTTGTCTCAACCTTGAAACATACCATGTAGAAAATATTGTTCAGTCCACTAATCCATTGACTCTTCATCGAATCAAACCCGGAAATGCCAAAGATGGTCGGTGCGTAGACAGTAACTCCTGCGATACCAACCCATTCCTGCATGACCTGTAGCCAAATGACCAACTGTACACGACGGCCGATGTGGAGGTCTCCCGATTTGTACCCAACAAGCATAGACAGATATGAGTCGCCATGATTCATTGTCCGCTCCAGCTCTGCGATGCTTTGGATGTCCTGGAACTCGGCTTCTGCTCGGAGGAGGTCCTCTCCGCTAGATCCACGTAGACGCTGGAGAATGTAGCGAGCCTCTTCCTCCCGGCCGACCTTGACGAGCCATCGAGGTGACTCGGGGAAGAACCAGACAGCCCCAAAGAGACCTAGGAGGAAGATGATCTGGAATGCGATGGGGAATCTCCAGCGGAAGGCTGACTCTCCGTTGTCAATGAAAGACAGGCCACTATCGGATATTAGAAAGACATCGCATAAACGGAGGGATTTACGTACAACTCCAACCAATAAGCCAGGACAACACCGAAAATATTCAATGTGAATTCAATAGCAATGAATTGTCCGCGCGAAGTATGTTCAGCCGTCTCGGTAGCCCAGACAGGAACGATAGCATTCAAAATGCCGGTTCCAATACCATTGACGAAACGCGCTGCGAAAGTTAGTCCAAGTCTGCATCTACTGAACCCTATTTCCCTTACCGCAAATCATCCAATTATGGTTCTGTGCCGAACACTGTAGAGCTGCGCCCAGGATAGCCCATAGAGAACCAGCTGCAATGGTCTTGATTCTTCCCGTCCGGTCTCCGAGCCAGCCACCGAACAATGCGCCAAAAAGCGTTCCCAAATAGTAGACAGACACAATGCCACCTTGCAGCAGGGAATTCGTGACCACCGGGGTGACCTCGCCGTCCACTATCTCCGTATGACCGAATCCCATGAGATCAATATAATCCTTTGCGTTGTTGACACCGGCCATCATTCCTTGGTCGTATCCGAAGAACAAAATAGACAGAGCAGCCACGCAGTTGATCCCGATGAGAAGCTGGCGCTTCTCCAGTCTATGGACGACATTCCACGAGGGGATTTTGTCACACATTTTGAACGCAGTCGAGAGGGATGAATCGAGTGTTCAAGGTTTGTCGCATTAAAGATACAGTTGTATAGACCGAGATAGGAACAAAGAGCAGAAAAGATAAGCAGACCCTTGCCCGTGGGGTAAAATGAGATCAAAAGTGCGGAGAGAAAAAAAAAAGAGACGATCCCCCGAGGTTTTTAAAGCTTTTGCATGCATCCCGTACTTCCTGGTCACATAGACGGCACTACTCCGAATCACCAATAGACGATGATGCCCAACACCTCCTCCCCGGGATCGACCGAAAAGCAGCCCTGAAAAGCAAGGAGTGTCATTTCGAATTCGGTTATATTCCGGTGGAACATGGGGAACGCGAGATAGCAAACCAGTCACCAGCGCCGATACAACATGGGCCTCCCCCCACCAGCGTGCGAAAACCGGGGTTCAGGGCCAGAATGCGGGCTCGGCCAGTACCTACCGCGTGTGGTACGACTGCCATGGCGGGGCGAAGTCTGGGGGCTTTTACCCGATTGATGTTGTACTGACATCGGCAATCCGAAGAAAGCCATTGTTCTTCTGTACGTCCCGGTAAGTTTGCGTTGGGCTCGGGCTAGACTCGGTCCGGAAAGGAAAGTACGAACCGATGGGCGCTACATAGTCCGTGAAGGAAGTTGGGAAATTATCCGCTCTGAACAATTATCCGATGCCACGGCTTTCTGTGACCTCCGCATTTTCCCTCGAGTGGGTCGGCGGGGATGGTCCTGGCATGCCGCTTTTGGGCGCTCAGAGTATTTCTCAGTCCAGTCTGGGATTTTGGCTTTGGTGGCGTGGGAGGCTCGCCTATGATTGGATGTCATCTACAACAGTTGTACGAGAGATCCATCAGCCCCCGGTTTGCCTAAATCGGGATTAGCGTGTTTTGGCGCTCGGCCAGGTCCACTTATATAGATTGGTCTCCCTGACGACCTTGTACTAGCATTCACGGGGATTAGACCGAAAATGCGGAGGAATGATGTCAGAAGTTCTCATATCTTGTCCCATTTCCTAGATCCCTAAGCATACGTATATACAACTTTTGTTAGGCACATGGTAAAGTATGATAGTTCAGCTCGGTATTCAGTCCGGCCTCGGGTTCCAAGGTTTAGTTGTTCGGGAATAGATCTTGGCCCGGTTCACCAGCCAGTAAGCATTTTTAAAGGCATCTGGGTTGTACCTGACCCAATCGTTGCGGCCGTCGGCCAGACCGTCGGCCAGACTGGCGCAGGTCTCACCCTTTGAGAATTATCTAGAAGCTTCTGTAGAAGTTAGTGAATGCGCTTTCACTGTAATTTAGATAGAACTCACAGCCTCCGAAGAAACTGATGTTAAAAAAAAATACAATTGCTTTTGAACCCCTCGGCAATGTTGCAGGTATTGCCCTCGGAGTGAGCGAAGGGACGGCCGGCTTTCGCCACATCCAGGTCCGCAACGCCGGTATTAATCACCGCCTAGCCCCGGCGGTGTGGGGAAATAAGTAGAAAATTTGTAGAAAGGCTTGCTTATATGACATAAATGCCGACTCTGTTAGTGTTGGAGGCAGCGCCGTAGTTCTTGGCCGTGGTGGCCTGATAACAACCCAGCTAGCTAATTTGCTGTCGGCTCGGACCCGGAACATCCATTTTATAGCAGATATCGCATCCACTCAACTGAGCTAGGCCAGCCAGCAATGTCGGCAATGGAAAAACCGATGAAAACGGTCATTAGGAAGGACCCTGATCCAATCCGCGTACTTGGAGACTGCGGCGTTGCTAACAGTTTCGGCGCCCATATACTTGAGAAAAAGCACTAGAAAATGTGAGATTGAACCGAGCAAAGAAGTCGGTGCTATCGTACACTTTGGTCTGGAAGTATGAGGCACACAGGAACCACCGAGAGAAGGGCTCCAATGCCGATGGCTGCCGTAATAAGGGAGAATCGTGGAAAAAGAGAATTGACTGTTCTCGACTACAACACAAAACACATTGTTATAGCCAATTAAGACGAATCCAACTGCAACTTCTAACGAGTCTGTTATAGTAGCATCTTGTTCCTGCCTCCCATTAGGAACCTCATTTGGGAATAGATATGTACTTCTCGGGGAGGAGTATTGCAACATCGTTGGTTAAGTTCGTGTCTGTGTATTGAATCGCGATTCACGAACAATAACTAAATCGAACTATCGCACCGGAGCTCAAGAAGGAAAAGAGAATACGGAAAAGCTGAAGTCCGGGGACTCAGCTGTTTGTGCATCCATATAACCGGGTGTGATTCGATTGCTTCCGAGATTCGTCTATCCTTGTACACAGCCGTTGTCTCGGTTCTTCCTTTCTAGAAAGCGGAAAGTTTGCGCGGAAGCCAACTCCGCGGCCCCGGAATCGCTTTGTCTCCGCAAATCTTGATTTGCCAAGATGTCATTCTTCTCCGCAAACAATGTCTTTGTGATGAGAGATGACATCATTTATACTTCTAATGCTCCGGTGTGAGTCTATTCCAATGATGATAGCTCGAAAGTACATGCTGACCTATAGCTGAAGTATATATGACCATGAGCACAAGCATCGTCATGTTGTCTTCGAGATATAGTATTGCGATCGATATGTACAAGTACTTTGAACACTCGAGTCTCTAATCTACACGAGAATGTTTGAGTAAATATAGAATTCAAGGCCATAAGAAAGAAGAAAAGAATACTTATCGCAAGCAAGTCGTTCCTGGCATCTATGAACACAAGGACGGTTGTACATATGGTTGCATGAACTAAATAGTGGCAAGAGCAAGGCACCTGATATAAGGCTGAGTTCAGGTCGATGCCGGTCCCGGGATTGACGACAAACTCTAATTGGTTGACTTCCCTGCACCGGGCAAGTATCAAAACCATCGGGATATTTCATCAAACGCATCTTCCACGGTTCTACCACATGGTCAGTTAAATCCCCGACCTCATGAATCAAATGGACAAAGGCAACATGGCGCAAGAGCGCGGTGACGAGGTTGAGACCAAAACACCCGATCCGTCAACCCAGCATGGAGACACGCGCCTGGAAGGATATTCCCAGTTCACAGTAGCCCAGAAGCGGGCCATTGTCGCCATGGGATCCTTGGCCAGTTTCTTCTCACCCTTGTCTTCCAGCATATATCTGCCTGCCTTGACTACTATCGCGAATTCCCTGAATATCTCCGTCTCACAGGTGAACCTGACAGTCACTACTTACCTGGTAAGTCGACGAAATATAATCTTGTTAAAGAGACCCACAACTGATAAACTTTATCTCTAGATTATGCAGGGAGTGGCACCTATGTTGATCGCAGGATTCTCGGATACTGCCGGCCGTCGTCCCGCTTATATCATTTGCTTCACAATTTACCTTGCAGCCAACCTGGGACTAGGTCTCCAAAACAGCTATGCTGCCCTGCTGGTCCTCAGATGTCTCCAGAGTGCAGGGAGCAGCGGGACTGTGGCCCTGGCGAACGGTTTGGTCGCAGACATGATCACATCCGCGGAGCGAGGCTCATATATCGCCTTTGCTTCAGTCGGAAGCATGTTAGGTCCTTCTTTGTCGCCCATCATTGGCGGCCTTCTCAGTCAGTATACTAACTGGCACTGGATCTTCTGGTTTCTGCTCATCTTCGGTGGCGTGTTCTTCCTCATCCTCGGTCTATTCCTACCGGAAACTTGTCGAAAGGTCGTTGGAGACGGGTCCATCCCACCGCCCCCTTTGAGTAACTCTGTGGCAGATATTATCCGGCATCGCACGCGCAGACAGAAGGGTCTCTTGCCTGACCCGGACAAGGAAGCTGAGGTGCGGAAGAACTACTCCCTTCGATTCCCGTCACCAGTCCCGACTATGAAGGTTGTCCTGGATATCGAGACGTCAGTGGTCCTGATCACCACAGGATTGATGTTTGCTGGTTTCTATGCTGTCATGACCGGTGCGTCGACTTCCTTCCACAAGATCTATCACTTCAACGACCTCCATGCTGCATTGATGTACCTCCCCATCGGCGGAGGAGGGGTGCTTTCAGCCTTCACAACCGGCCGACTGGTCGACTGGAACTACCGCCGCCATGCAAAACGTGCTGGTCTCACCATCGTCAAGAATGTGCGTGCGGACATTCGCAACTTCAACATCGAGCGCGCGAGACTGGAAGTCGCACTCCCGCTTTACTATATTAGCAATGTGTCGATGCTGACCTACGGCTGGGTGCTGGGTCACAAGGTCAACCTTGCCGCTCCTATCATTCTTTTGTTCATTACCGGATGGTCGATCATTGGTACCTCCCAAGTGCTGAATGCCTTGATGGTCGATCTCTGGCCGGGCAAGTCGGCGGCCGCGACTGCAGCGAACAATCTATTCCGGTGTGAGCTGGGTGCCGCGGCGTCAGCAGCAATCAGCCCTATGCGCTCTGCCATGGGCGAGGGCTGGGCGTACACCACACTTGCTTTGATCTCTATTGCTGTTTCTCCTTGCTTGTGGATAGTGGCGGCTAGTGGAATCAAGTGGCGACAGAAGAGAAATCGAAAGGAGGAGGAGAAATCGTCTTGTGGACAGGACTAAATCTGTCTTGATATGTTGCACGAGCTCATGAACTCACGAATCGGTCGAGAGGATACATCTGGGATATGGTTTTGAACTTTGTTTCTCAATTCCTCGCTTACTTACAAATTAACGGTGTATAACCTTCGCTTCAATCGAGAAGCTTTCATTGTCTATGCCATGTAGCTTTGTATCAGTCTGAATGTCTCTTTCCATGGCTTCTTATTGCCATGTACGAATACCCATTGTTGAGGATGGTTATTCTCCGGGATGTGCCATTTCTCTTCCAGCACCTTACCAGCGCATGGATGGGTATTGTAAACTGCAAGGATATAGAAAACAAGTCGTGAAAAATTAAGGGCTGGTTGGAAAGAGCGCCAAGAAGCACTGGAGGAGAACTTCATTTTTATATCACGGTACCCGGTTCAATTGGGACCCGCATCTCTTGAAATGTGGGTTCTCGCATAAAGGGATCAACGTCAGAACACAATTCTCAACCCGTGCGAAGAGTTATGGTCTGCGTTACGGACAATCCATTGGATTCGTGTGCGCTTATAATTGCGGCGGAGCCCGCCGAGACTGCTTGCCGATAGAATGATCCGCGGGTAGGCAAAAGAATCTCTGGGGAATCGCCGCTAACTCTTTCAGCCCTTAGGGAGTGGCTTATCAAATTGCGTTCCCCGGAGTAGTCCTCTCCAGGGCGGACAGAAGGAGACGGTACCATGACCCGAGTCAAACCACCAATACCTGGGGTTTTGTCATTCAAAGAAGACTTGACGACTGTTGCAGGTCCTACCGAATGTTCCTTTCTCCTAGCATCGTATTAAGTTCAATCAAAATGTCTGGGCGATTCCTATGTCAGATATTCTGCCCGCAGAATCATCGGGAACGGATCCCGAGATCATCCGTCAAGGTGCCGGCCCGTCTTACCGCCTTGGTAATACGGGCCAGCTTTGCGGCATGGTCCGTAGTAGGCGGTGAGGCCAAGCAATACCGCAAAAGCTCAGTCATTTCCCGTGCTCTAAACCACCACCCTATTTGCGCACTCCCAACAACTCCAATCCGCCTACATCGAGGATTGAATTTATATCTAAAGACTACTAATCTTTTCGTCCCTTCTTTTCGTTATGTTCCGCGCCGTCTTGCCCCGGGCTTCGCCCCGGTCTGCCTTCCGCCATGCCGGCTCCAGGGCTATTCCCAACAATTTCGTTACTCCCATGATCTTCATTGGCCACTCAAAACGTGGTTTCGCTTCTGAAGCAGGTAAGTCGATGCTCACATCGCCATCACGGAGTTCCCGGAGTACCCGGAGAGGTTCTGTTTTCTTGCCGGACGCGATTGCTGATATCCGCTTTCCCGAGCAATAGATCACGACCTGGTCATCATCGGTGGTGGTGTCGCCGGTTACGTTGCTGCTATCAAGGCCGGTCAAGAGGGTCTCAAGGTAAGAACCACTTCTCGCTAGGCTTTCCAATTTTTGATTAGGTCGGTCTTGCCGTCGCAATCCGCATACTAACTGAACACCCTGGCAGACCGCATGTATCGAGAAGCGCGGAACACTCGGCGGTACCTGTTTGAACGTCGGCTGTATCCCTTCTAAGTCTCTCCTCAACAACTCCCATCTCTACCACCAGGTCCTTCACGATACCAAGAAGCGTGGTATTGACGTTGGCGATGTCAAGCTCAACCTTACCCAGATGATGAAGGCCAAGGACACAGCTGTTGAAGGCCTGACTAAGGGTGTTGAGTTCCTGCTGAAGAAGAACGGCGCCGAGTACATCAAGGGTACCGGTTCTTTTGTTGATGCCAACACTGTTAAGGTCGTCCTCAACGACGGTGGTGAGAAGACCCTGCGTGCTAAGAACATCATCATCGCCACCGGCTCTGAAGCCACCGGCTTCCCCGGTTTGAACATTGATGAGAAGCGCATTGTCTCAAGCACTGGTGCTTTGGCTCTCGCCGAGGTCCCCAAGAAGATGACCGTCATCGGCGGTGGTATCATCGGTCTTGAGATGGTATGTATTAACTACGGAATGAGTTTCGAATGCTAGATCGTGCTAACATTGTGGTATAGGCTTCCGTATGGTCCCGTCTCGGCGCTGAGGTCACTGTTGTTGAGTTCCTCGGCCAGATCGGTGGCCCCGGCATGGACGCCGAGATCTCCAAGCAGGCCCAGAAGATCCTTGGCAAGCAGGGTATTAAATTCAAGACCAACACCAAGGTCATGTCCGGCGATGACAGTGGTTCTACTATTTCCCTCAAAGTTGAGGCTGCCAAGGGTGGCAAGGAGGAGACATTGGACGCCGACGTTGTCCTGGTCGCTATTGGCCGTCGTCCCTACACCGATGGCCTGAACTTGGAGCAGGTTGGAATCGAGAAGGATGAGCGTGGCCGCCTGATTATCGACCAGGAGTACCGCACGAAGCTTCCCCACGTCCGTGTCATTGGTGACTGCACCTTCGGTCCCATGCTGGCCCACAAGGCCGAGGAGGAGGCCGTTGCCGCCATCGAATATATCAAGACCGGCTACGGCCACGTCAACTACGCTGCCATCCCCAGCGTCATGTACACCCACCCCGAGGTCGCTTGGGTTGGCCAGACTGAGGCTGAGATTAAGGCTTCCGGTGTCAAGTACAATGTCGGTACCTTCCCCTTCAGCGCCAACTCCCGCGCCAAGACCAACCTCGACACCGAGGGTCTTGTTAAGTTCATCGCCGATGCCGAGACCGACCGCATTCTCGGTGTCCACATCATCGGCCCCGGTGCCGGTGAGATGATTGCTGAGGCCACCCTCGCCATCGAGTACGGTGCTTCCTCCGAGGACATTGCCCGCACTTGCCACGCCCACCCCACTCTCTCCGAAGCCTTCAAGGAGGCTGCCATGGCCACCTACTCTAAGGCCATTCACTTCTAAATCTTCAGATCTCATATATCCTATCACCATGTACCACTTTTAGCTAACCTAGACTAGCTCGGCTAGCAAAACACATCATCCATGTAATCTTCTTCTTGTTTTCGTGAAATACACATGCTGCACAGCTCGAAAGGACCGTTGCAATTGACTATAGTAATGTGCACTTATGTGGTGGAATTTATTGCGTCTAGCCCGATATTTGTCCCAGGCCCAGTCCTACTCGCAGACCTTATTGTCCACCCAAGCAAGTAAGTAGAGATCACTCGGAAATACGTTTACGTATGCGTCTATTTATGGATTTATGTTCTTTGTCTTTGTACATTTCCGCTCCATGTCTCCAAACCATTGAGTCTTCAAGAACAGTTCTCGCATTTCCTTCAGACCCTTGTTCTCGGCCACAACAACCGAAGGAACATCCTCGACTGCTAGGGATTAAATATTCCAACAATCTCGGTCTACCCGCAGATCATCGCAAATCATGCGACTGAAGCAAGTTGCTCCACGGAGTAAATATATCTGGATTCACTCGGTTGATGGTTGATATATATCCGACAAGTATGAGTGTATTTTACTCTGTTTTGTTTTGTTAATATGCCTTGGCACTCTGATATAGTTTCTTGTTCGAACCAAAAATGATTGGAACGAGATGCCAATTCCACCAACTGTTTTCATTTCTAACATTTCTAGGATATAAAGACAAGGAAAAAAAAAAGAAAAGAATCAAAAAAGAAACTCCGATAGGGGGAATCGAACCCCCGGCTGCCGTGTGAGAGACGGCGATGTTAGCCACTACACCATATCGGATGAGGACTGCGAATTACTCTCTTAGGTTTAGTTTGGACCCCTTAGGTTTAGCGCTCTTTGTCCTTATGCCTCCCCGTGCGTGGTTCTATATAGTCCCCATGCTCTCCCCCCCTCCATCCAACAGCCCCAATTTTCTTTTTCGCCTTCTTTCTCCTACCCCTCGCAGTTGAGGCATTTTCGCCATTGACCCGGATCACTGAGCTCCTAAGCTCCGCCACCCCTGTTTCCCGTGTGACTCTTTGCCTCTTCTGCGATCCTGCGAATGCAATCCGAGCTGCCTTTCATCCGGCCCTGTTTCCCCCTAGCCCCGACCATGCCGCTCGAAATGAGACAACAGTTTCATTTAGTATGACGCTAGCCTAAAGGCTCACACCTCCGATGTCTATCGGCTGGTCTATAGTTTGTAGATGGTTTATCAATATATTTTATATTATTAAGCTACGCGCATACAGGCGCATTCGCCCTACACCCTTTCAGGAGAATCATCCCTATGCAGCGGGACTGCAAATCTGTTTCGGCCCAGCACTCCGTGCGAGAGCCTTATAGACCCTAGCTAATAGCGCTTAGCTCAATTTAGAACCGAGTTCCACCGGATCGGATTACTTAGTTTAATAGACTAATCAGATTGTCTCAGCCCTAATTCGTCAGCCGGTTTGCTCAGCGCAGTTATAGGACTAGATAAGGGCATTGAACTTTGAAAAAGGTGTTTAGTGACTCGTCCACATGGCTACCTAGATCCATGGAAGTCTACGTGTTCCAAGGTTTCAAGGCTTGATTACAGTATATCTTTACCAGTCAGAGAACTGTCAACTTGTCAATGTCCCATATCGAAAGCTCTGGAATGGAGCAGCAACCAATAAATCCAGCAGGGTGCGGATGGTAAACTTATCCTGTCGGCTTCCCAAGTTCTATGGGTCTGAGCGTATCTGACGACGCTAGCTAATATGGATGCAGCTGCAGTAATATGCTTTTCCTGCCGACACCGCTTGGTGAAACCTTGTCTGTTCCCTTCGAATATTCATCCCCTAGATTGGTTCCTATCACAGTTCTTTTCAGGCATGTCCCCACGTGGTAAAAACAGGCTGTCGATCCCTTCAAACGTTCTTCCTTTCCGCCCAAGGCCGACAAGGCTCCATTACGTCCATCTCAGAGGAGTGCTAGCACCAAAGCAGCTCTTCCATCTCAGAGAATGTTGACAAGAACAACATCATTCAATAAAACTCTCTAGTTCCCAATGCATATCAGGAATATCTGCCCGGTGTTTGGCAACTTCATAGCAGCGAGAATTCAATTCAAATCAGCACCGCTCCAAGTTTGATTGGAGAAGCTGCGCTCAGTGGCTCTTGGGTTATATGAGAAGGAATATCTAAGGAGCATACTTGTACGCAGAGTATCCAAAGTGCACATTGGAACAGTGCGTGAATAGTTCATAAAGATTCACACCAGTAGGACCATTGGTGGTATTCTTTAAACCCCAGCCGTCTGTAAAGATTTCTAGAGGGCTCTCAATAACCGCATCGCACGTAAGGCATCACGCCCCGGGTGGCTTCACTTGTAAGTACTATTTTATTTGGCCTGAGTCTACCATGGTAATCACTCATTTGACGAAATTCTCAATTCTATTCTATTCCGGTGTTGAAGCCTTGATTGTGAAGAGAGAACCGTACTGGAGACTCTCCCACCAGATAAATGACTATACCTCATAAGCTTATTCCTCACGCTGTCAGACTTCATCGCCTGGATCAGAATGCTAAGTTCTTCAAGTCCGGGGACCTTTTCCAACTCCCAATCCTAGTGAATTTCCGAAGAGCTACTGCGTCGAGGGCCCCGAGAGCCCGGTCTGTGGTTCGCAATTCCTTTTTTTCCACGGTGCGGTCTTCTGTCTCCTTCGCACGCTTCTTTTCATGGATCCACCATCCTGACAACGGCTGTATGGAGTCAAGTGCAGCTTCCTCAGTCGGAGGAGAAATGCTATAAACGATCGGTTCCAGCTGGCCGCTTGCGTTGTATTGAAACACACCACTGTCGTTGTGATCTCTAGTACCATCCAACATCGCTCCGCTGGATGTGGCTTGGATACCGATCAGTCCAGCTAACATCACAGCGTCATAAACTACCCCATTGTCGTCGATAGTAACCGGCACGGAGGCGAAACCAGACGGGACATCATCTGTATCGATGCGACGTGACAAAACAGCATCCAACCCCCATTCAGTGTTCTGTGTCTGGAAATTTGGGGAGGAGGAGGAATGGATGGATTCCGCGCATAATAACTTTCCATCTTCACCCCAGAAACAGAAAGCTGAAATCCAGCCACATAAATAGTCTGGTCCACTGCCCATAGAGTGCTTGTGGGCACATCTGCTCCAGAAACTCAGTACATCAGGTGAGTTTGGAGTGTCAAAAGAAGCAACGAAATGATTCAGGATCGGCCGAAGAAGCTGAGCAAACCGTGCAGGCTCGTCCCCTAGCTGATATAGCTTCTCAAGTTTCTTCAAAATATTTTCCCAGTCCTTTCGCTCGCCTAACAATGTGACAGACGGAATTCCGCATGTCAATGAAACTTTGAACGAAAAGTACTTCTGTAGAGCGCCCATCATCAAAATAGCTGCGACCACATTGTCGGATTCTGTTGAGGTGCTAAAGTCTGGCATGATCCAGGTTCGTAACTCCTCGTCCACCACACTTTTCTCAATCAGCCTGGTCATTCGTAAGGCCAACGCACCAAAGTCAGCGGAGTGGATAGTTCCCACTTCAATGACTTCAAGAGCTTTTTGTCCCTCGTGTGAAACGAAAAAAGATCGCAGCTCCTCTGCATGTGCGTTCACAAAGAAACTGAGTTGTGTCAGAATGGAGAACCACACATCTTCGGGCCGTATTATCAGGTTATGGTGATCGCTGTAGGCTAGAAACACGGCCCAGACGAAGCCATGTCGAGAGGCAGAGACATGAGACGTGCGAAAAAGACTTGGCTGAAACGAACTCTGTATCAATTTCCGGCTGCGCTCATGGTCCTTCGGACATGAGCGTTTGAATAGCTCTTCAGCAGTGGATACCTTCGGGGTTTCCCATTTGCGAGGGCAATGGGCCGCCGTGGTAAGGGTGATGGGCATATTGTTCTGGGAAAGCTTTGACCAAGTGTCGAGAGACGATGTTGGTAGAAAAAATCACCTGCAAAAGGAATGTAGATATTTAATGGCGCATCGCTCTTTATATCCATGGATTTTGCCTCCCACCGAGAAGTCGAGGGGCTGTGAGACTGCACAACGAGCCTTTAGAACGACGCTGACTGGGGGGCACAGCCGACCTTGATCGCTGGGCACAAATGCACGCCTCATACATAACCCCGGCTCCAAGTTTCTGACTGCCCCCACTACTGAAAGTTTGGGGTTACAATATCCACCCGGATTCCAAGGATATTGGGCCTGGGTGGTGATCTGCGGCCATTGACTATAAAATATCCACTTACGTAGAAGAAGGGGGTGGTGGAAATACCCGGGTGTTGTGGTGAAACGGGCGAAACCCCGCACTTTCAGCCTCAAGAGGAATGAGTTGGCAGCGATGCCCAATACCCTCGTTGACTAACTCCAAGCCGATGCTGCAGCCGGTATTAAAATATTGGTATTGTAACTTTGTTGACATGGTGCCCCAATTAGATCAGAAATCTCGACTTGTTCTATGCTGATTTGGCTGTTACATACTGTAAACTTTCAGGGATTTCGATCCAAAAAGCGTACCCAGAGACATACATATTTAAGCGTTACAAAAAGGACTTACGATGAGTTCCTTATTCACTCATCATTCATAGGCCGTCCAATCAACCAAAGCTCGTCCTATTCGGAACTGCACTCTTACAGCTTCAAACTAGAACATCGGGAGCGGTGCCATCCTGTCAATACGCAAGGCACTGTTCGCTACATCACAAATATCTTACTATGGACTATTTCCTGACCCAACAGGAGAGGCAGCAATACGGGGATGCAATACAGTATATCCCTTGGTTTGGCGGAAATCATGACTCGGCTCAAAGATACCCTGTGGTTCCATTCAGGGAGTACCTTGAGGTACGCAACTGTCTGCCGGCGCGGAATGTTATCGAATGGATCCTCTCCGATCCAGACGAAGCACTACCCATGGTTCAGTCCTGGTTGTTCTTCGGTGTGATTGAATCTGCTTTGTTCGATTCCTTCTCAGCGAGTCTGAGGGATACTCCTCAAGGAAAGGTCATTGACACGAAGATTCTCAGGGGTCTGAAAGTCTCCTGGGAGTTGCGGCTGAGTGGGGTCGGATGGCCAATTTCACAGTGGCGAGATCAGTGGGACGACACGCGTGTGAAAGCGGAAGCCATCCTGTTTGGACTGGGAGCGCTGGCAAAAAGCAGTTTATCCGGCGAAGTGTCTCTTCCCGAAAGCACGGAAACTGCGCTTGACCATATAGTTCGGGGATCGCTGCTTTTGCTCGAGCATATGATTTCTATCGCGCCCCCAGTGCTGTATGAGAGGAGGCCGATGCAAACCCTCATGTCTATGCGAACACCAGGCATGGAGGAGCAGCTGCGCGGTCGATTGCTGAGTCAAGGATGGTGTCCATCCATGTATAATACCTTCGGCTCAATATCCGGAAGTTTACACCTTCTCGAATATGCTTGCATCTTCCCTGCCACAGACGGGCCGACTGAGAGACACGAGGCGTGTTCGGAAGAGAGGTGCATAGGCCACAACTTGGATGTGGATACCGCGAAGGCCAAGCATCGCCAGCCGGACTGTAAGTGTGAAAGTGTGGCCCCGGGTCTCCATCAAATTATTGCCGCGGTCGACGGTGGTGGCTTTCCGGTGATTGATATGCGACGTTTACAGTTAGCTCTCATGCCCGGTATTTCCGACTCACAGAGGGATCGCATGAGATATAGCGCGGTGAGCAAATATCAGGAAGGAATGAAATTCGCTGCCATCTCCCATGTCTGGTCCGACGGTCTGATGGGAACCTCGGAAACGGGCCTTCCAGGGTGCCAGATTCAGCATCTCGCTGGTCTCGCCTGTGCCTCGGCACAGAGCTCTTTGCATTCTGAATCCGCTCAGGTGCCATGGTACCTCTGGATCGATGCGTTATGTATTCCAGCGGATTCACGGTTGCGGAAAATGGCCATTACCAAGATGAGACAGGTGTATTCTGAAGCTTCGATGACTATCGTACTGGACAATGGCTTGTATAGCACTCCGGACAACCTGACTGGGTTCTCGATTATGTTTCGGCTTATGACCTGTGCCTGGTCACGGCGCTTGTGGACCTTGCAAGAAGCCATTCTATCAAAAAGCCTGTATATCTTGTTTCCTGCAGGTCTCGCGGAGGTTTCATCACTTTTTCGGGATGTACTAGACGGAACAGACGAACCAATTGACGATGAAAGGCTACATGGCCTGTCGCAATTGACAGGGCTCTCTTTTGACGAGGTCCAGCGGTTAGATCAGAGCTGCCGCACGCGACCCTCCAACAGCATCGAGACACTTATGCTGCGAGAGTTCCGGAGTCTTCCCTCCCTTACGAACGTGGAGTTTCGCATGAAACAGGTCTCTCAGATGCTGTGCCTACGCGATTCCTCGAGGCCGGAAGACGAACTGCTTGCGATTGCTCCTCTTCTCGGAGTCGACGTCTCCCAGCTTGTTCACATGTCCGGCGAGGATCGAGTGAAGAATTTCTGGCTGCAACTTGGCACTGTTCCCAAGGACGTGGTTCTGCTGGAATACCCCAAGTTGTCAACTCCTGGATTCAGATGTCTTCCGCGAGCCATGCTGGGACAGAAACTCCAGGAGCCGATGCACTGGGGCCGGGATGTCCTGATCACCGATCAGGGTGTCCGCGGTAGATATTGGGTTTACCAGTGGTCAAAGGACTCCGGATCGACGCAATCTGACACTCATGGTTCTGTTGTTGACATGGAGGCTGATCAAGTGATTGATTTCAAGGTGCATGATTATGAGCCAAATCGAGACTCCGTGTCTATAGACGCCCTCCTTCTTCTCGATCTACCAGCTCACTACTCAGAAGTCCGGAGCCGATCATTTCGGGGCCTGGGCTTGTGTTCGTCTGGTTTTTTTCACGAAGGATGTGAAATATTCAGGCCGGGGAGGATACTGTACTGCTATGCCGCTCCGCCCTTGACCGACTGGGACGGCAAAGATTGCGTGTTTGCCGCGGGAAAAATCGTCGAAATCATCATTGGCTGAGCCTTCACTTCTCGTTTCTCAAGATGGGGAGTTGATAAACCCATCACCACTATCAAAGATAGTGCGATACTGCCAGTCTCATCTGATATAAAATCTCTGGTTCTCTACGTCCCTGGATCTACCAAGTTTGTAGGGACCGCACTACGAAGCGGTATGAGTGCCAGGGTCCCAACCCCCTGTAAGCCCCCTTTGGGAAGTAGTTTAGTGCCCGAGTGCCTGAAATGGTTCCGCCTATGGTAGCCTACCACACCGCTCTTTATGGCGAATTATAAATGATCAGTACGTCGATATGATGCTATTCCTACCGTAGAAATGCATGTATCGCCTGTTTCCTTAGTGGTTTACTATGCTAAGCCCTCCAAGTTCATAATTGCGGCTATTCAGGTACATACAAATGCATAAATCTCCAGTATTCTAGATGTTTTACTCTCTTAAGTTTTAAACGAGGTGATAGACACGTCTCCTACGATCCAAAAAAAACGGAGAGGCAAAGGCAATGAATGAGTAGTCTGCGACAAAGTACGCTCATGGGTCTTTTGAATGTTGGATGCTGCCCAACCGGCCAAGAATGCATAAGTTCCTCCGAAACGGATGGCTCGCTAACATAGCTGAATAAAGAACTGTCATTTTCGCGCGTTTTGTAAACTCCATAGAACATATCAGTACTAATCCATAACCACTTTGAATTCTATCAAAGATCCAAAATATGTAATCACAAATTCTCTTTCATCTACGCGTACGATAATTGTTTTAGGCGAATTCGCTGAGATTGCTGAACTCATAGTTCATGGCAATTAGCCCTAATTTCAATTGCCTTGCCTTCATAGTAAATGCGTCCATTCTTTACCTCGAAGTTTGGCCCGTCCTTAGTACAGGAAAATCGATATACGTTTATTGGTGGGTTTATATAGTGATCCACTGCGTGAAAACTCTATACTACCTATCCAAAGCTTCAACATGCCCAGATATACTCCTAGAATTAGGCAATTCTAATCATCCATTATTGCATACAAACATTTGCTCCCTGCCGTTAGTATCTAGTGGATCATTTATATGCTGTATTACTTGCTTTCAACCTTGTAACTCAACAGAACTGATTGTCAGCCTAGGTCCACGGTCATATAATTTTTACGAGCAAATCACTTGCCCAGGTAGTCACTTCATGCAAAGATATAGGCGCGATGCCTTGTGTGGAGCAATGAATCAGCTTTTCGTTGGAACATCAACTGGAAGGATTTTGGCATCAGTCCTCTCCGACGCAGTACGAAAGCTTTCCACCCGTTCGCAGACAAAGGTGTCAACGCCGTTGACGGGGACGACTAGGGCTGTATGAAAATACCTGTACTGAGGAGGTTGAATTGGTCGGTGGGTGGCGAACGTTTAGAGAAGTGGGCTTTATGTCCGAGCTCCGAGTCCGAGAGCAAGATGGGACAGCACTACGGGCGACTAAGTGTGCCATCGGAACATAGCTCTCTCATTGGACAATAGCTCACCGTCATCAACCACCGCCTTCTCAGAGCAGGCCCTTCGCTTTCGCCCAATTCCAGGATTTGTGTCGAGGGCTCTGTTATTCATCCTCCTTCGTACAATTACACCATGACTATGATTAATTACCAGACACACTTTATAAATTCAATACTTACCACTACTTAGCATTTAAATGCAATTTTCAGAATTGGAATATCTCTATTATTGGTAGTGGTGGTGGAAGCCATTTGCATTATGTACTCTATAGTGATCTCTGAATAGCTTCATCTATATGGAGTGCTCCGTACCAATTTCTACACCATAATTACGAGGGATCTGGACGGCCTGCGGCCGCCGGATAGTCATTTCAGAGCAAAATGACTGATTCTAACTTCTAATGCTACGCAAAGTGTGACTGTAGAAGCTCTGGGGAAGACAATGATGGTTCGTTCATTCTCTAGGCATGGACCCTCGGGACATGTCCGTTAGGCCTAGTCTATTTATTCTGCCAAAGTTAGCCGACAATACTTCACGTGACATAGTTTCAATGATTTTGGAGCCCATAGGATAAAAATACCCGATCACGTGATATACATACACGAGGTTATGATTTAATTGCTTCGCTTCGCTCCGCAATAATTAGTTACCTGGCGCATTCATTTAATTCAATGCTGTCTACTATCCAGCATTTAAATACAGTTTTGAAATTGGAAGTCTTCGTTATTGGTGTATCTCCGAATAGCTTCATATTGACGGATCCGGTAAGCTTTCAGAGTAGTATACTTCATAATTCAAGTATAAATAGATTAACTAGTTATTTAACTAAATAGTCATGAAGCATTAATTTTCAATTATTGCGGAGCTAAGCGAAGCAATTATAGAATGAATTTAAATTTAACTAGATTAGGACTAGCGCATTGTCCTTTCATTTCCTACCGGCAAATATTCAGGCATGGTATTCGGGTATAATGATGCATGTCTACGCTTCAATATTACTAATAGTTAGTTTCCGACGTACTCCGTACTCCGTACTCCGTTCGAGTAGTTGTAAAAAGAGAGAAAAAGAGAGAATGAGAGAGTAGACACAGAAGTGGGAGAGCCTGATTACACAGCTGGGGGCGGATCTAAAATACTGCTTGGCAATATTATCCGATGAGGGGGTTATATTCCGATGGCACTTAGTCGCCCGTACAGCACCTCACTTCAGCAGCTTGCCGACCCCGAGCTTTCCCTCTGACCTTTCCAACATCATTGATGTCCGTTGACCGCGCATTCAATACCTGCAATTTGGACTGTCGTCAAGATGGCTGAGGACCAGAGCTTTGGCAGTACCCGGTTAGCATCTTCACCCGCTCGTCGGAGCCGCCGACCTGTGCAATCCTGCGACCCGTGCCGCCGCCGAAAAGTACGTTGCGATCTTAAATCGCCATGTTCAGCCTGTCAAGTCTCCAGAAAATCGGTGACGTGCACATATCAAGGAGATCAGCAGCAACCCAGTCTCGCCCTGGAAGACCGTGGAAGCGAGGGCAATACTGTCCAACAACAAGTTTCTCGCTCACTCAGCATTGCCCCAAATAACAACATCGATCACCCTGCAAAGAGGCAACGAACAACGAATGAATCTGAGCGAATTCGGAGCGTAGAGCGACGTGTACAGCAGCTTGAGCACTCGGTTGTACCAGAAGTCGATCCCCAGCAGCACAGCCTCAGCAGCAGCAGCAACAATCATCTCACGCTGCTGGCATTGTCTGATCGCCTCCAACACGTCGAGCAGCGGCTTGCTGAGCTCTCCCAAGCTCGTCCTGCGCCTTCAGCTGTCACGGGCGATAAGTCTCTAACAATTCCGTCTGTCATCCCTCGACTTCGTCACAACCAGAAGAAGGTAAAACTATTTCCTTCAAGCCACTGGCTGCACAATGCTGAGAAGGTATCGTTGAAGCACCTTTCTAATGAACACCTTGACTGGTTGAACATTGGCTGATGTGTCAATAGTTCAGAGTCAGCCATGTTGGAGACAGTGACGTTGAATTGACCTTCGTGGATACCAAGGCCGAGCTGGCCGATTCCGTGAATGAGATACGCAACTTGCGACTCACGATGAAAAATGAGCAGGCACCGCAGATGGATGACCCCGTTCCTCAACTTTTGAGTACAATGCCGACTCGTTCCATCTGTGACCGACTAGTGAATCACTACATGCGGACTTTCGAGTTGATCTATCGTTGTTTTCACATTCCCACATTCTGGGCAGAATACGAACAATACTTCAGCCAGCCGCAGCCTGTAGTTACAAACTTTGCAATCAAGTTGGGTTTGGTGTTGGCCATTGGAAGCGTCTTCAGCAACGACGACGACAAAGTTCTACAGCGCTCGCGGCGTACTTGGATACAAGCTGCTCAATACTGGATGGTTGGACCGTCAGAGAAAAATACCAACAATCTTGATGGAATTCAAATTTTCTGTCTTCTATTGGTTTCGCGGCAGATAACATTAGTCGGCCGTTCACCGTGGCTGTCGGAAAGTGGTCTACTTCGGGTGGCTATGGCTATGGGCCTGCATCGAGATCCACAACTGTTTTCTCTGTCTCCTTTTCAAGCCGGGATACGAAGCAGGCTTTGGACAACAGTCCTAGAGCTCGTAATCCATGGTTCCATGGACAGTTCCATCCCTTTGCTTCTTTCTTCAAACGATTTTGACGATCATATGCCTCTTAATGTCAGCGATGCTGATTTAGATTCAGCCAGCAAAGAGTCTCCATCTCCAGAACCGTTGACAAGCTATACGGAATCGTCGATACAAATTCTCATGCGTCAGTCCCTGCCGATACGACTTGAAGTTGTCAGGGCGGTCCAAAACGAGCGATTAGAGCACTCATACGAAATGGCCATTGAGCTAGCTACGAAACTTCAGACAGTTTGCCGTACTCTTGCAAGCTATTGTCGATCGCATTGGTCGCAATTCCTAAGCATGCATCACGCTTTCCTTGATATGCAGATTCGTCGGTATATTCTGGTTCTGCATCGGCCTTTCATGCTACAAGCGCAAAAGGATCCCCGCTTCTATTTTTCCCGGAGGGTTTGTCAGGAGTCTGCAATGATTATCGCCACTTATGCCGAGCGACTTCAGCTACCTACAGACTCTCTTGACGATCTTTCCAAGTTGATGGTGATGAGCACAGGGTCATTTCGCGGACCTTTGAGCCTGGACGTAATTTCAGTCTTGGGCTTGGAGGTTGTGTCTCAGCTGGAGGAAACGGGTTTTGGTCCGTTATCTGCTTCGATTGGTCTCAACCACACATTGGTCCTTGATCCTCTCGCTGAACTGGCGCGCGGCCAGCGAGCGCCCATCATCCGACTTTTGGAACACATCAACGAACAATTACTGCAGATCGTAAAGTTGGGCCATCCTACGTTGAAACGCTACATCTTTCTTGCTGGCATTCTTTCCCAGATACACGCCATGGAACGCGGCCAACCCATTTTGTCTGCTGTGCTGAACACTGCAAAAGACAGCATGAAGGAGTGTTACGATGTACTACAGTCCTACAGGGCCGCCAACACTCCCCGAGAAGTGTCGCAAGACGTGATCGATAATGAGCTTCTTAACGGCCTGGATTTTGGCGCAATGGTGAGTACAAATTACCAAATATGCGCCTCTTACATAGCACTACTGACTGAAGTCAGGACTCCGACTACTTGGACTTTTCGGCCTTTTTGGTTCCAACTATTTGATAGAGCAAGTCCACAGGACGATTTACGTTGCGAAATGAAGATCGTGATTAATTGAGGTTAATTCTTTCTATTCTGTTCTATGTCCGATCGTCTGTCTCGGAGGGGTTTGCTTACAAAGGTGAGGTATGAGCTGTTGCTTGAAGCAACACTTGTGATGCATTGTGCACTTTGTCCAGACTATCTGAGCGCCACGCTGAAAATCCATCAGGCCGCACGAGGAGAAGACAAGCATCCCAAATTCGGAACGCATGAGTCTCATTCATCAAACAAAGGCTCGTTAAAGGAATACTGTGCTGCCGTGCTGCTTCTTCAAAACTGGCCAGTGCGATGGGCACCTGAAATTGGTCTCCGGCTGCTACTGCTTCTTTCTGCAGAAACGCGACCATGGTGAAGCCTTTCCCGAATCTATCGGAAATGGCGCTGCCGTCAGAAAAAGCCACATGCGGTACCCGCGAACCAGGAAAGCTAGTTGGGATGTAGTTGCGTGAGTCGAACTGTGATGCTGCCTTTTCAACATCCACCTGCTCGCTCAGTACTGCCAGACTCGACTCGTAGCGGTGTCCGATTTCAACGCCGAAGCTCTGATTATGGTCATCGTTTTGCTGAATGTACTGATTGATTTCCTCACGCAGGGCTATGCCGCGCTCATCCATGGATTCGATGACGACCGGATCCAATTTTACAGCTGTTGAAAGCCCCATAATTTTCATCATGTGGATTTTGCGCCAGTGTTGCATCAGCGCTGCCACAGGACGACGTTCCTGTTCGTATGTCTTCATCAAGTGAGTGCCACCCCAGCCTTGAATAGTGGCTGGGAGTCTCCAGCCAAGATCCCAAGCATCAGCAAGGCCCATATTCATTCCGTAGCCGCCCAAAGGAATTGTCTGATGACAAGCATCTCCGGCAAGGAAGACGCGCTGATGATTTCCGCTCCACGTTTCGGCGAGAACTACTGTCGGCGTGAAGATGGAGGTTGCAGTTACTTCATCAATAGAAATCGGGTTGGGTGAGCCCATACCGCCAAGGAACTGGGCGACTGTCTTCTCGACGGTTAAATCGGCTGCATTGTAGTCAGAGCCTAAATAATCGTGGACTGTCCAGGTCTCCTTTCCGTCTTGCGCGATTATGGCGCCGCCGACAGAGCCGTTATTGGTTATAGGGTCCGTGGGAAGAAAGGTATGCCAAAATCGGCCCTAGCGACACTATTTACCCTGAATTCCCTAGTTATATAGAGTCTAATCTGAGAATTTTCGACTACAAAACTGACCTGTCTGAGAGCTTTCGACCACATGGATATACGCTAATATTATTTGGGAATTTCGGACCATAAGGACGACAATCTTCAAAGTTGAATATCTTCGTCAGGCGGTAAGATAAAAATAGTCATTAGAGTACTCTCTTCCTCTATCTTCTATGAAAAGAAAGCGCCAGAACAATAGTTTTTCAACGATACCTAACAGTCCCAATTTGCCTTATAGAATCTTGAGTAAGTCGAAGCCCACCCCAACGTCTTATATCCATTGCTTCCGTCACCACCGCCCGAGCCGTCGAAGTATGCCTGTTGACTACTGAACCTAGGAAATAGCTGATTGTTGAGGCTGACTGGCATCATGGCTGATAACTGCAAAATGCTAATGGTATGGCGTCCGTCGAACGTTCGTCGGTTGCTGCCTGGATTCTTGCTGCCGCTCATGTCCGCACGATGCACATTGTTGAGGATTTTGACGTGGCTCATTCGAGTCTCTGATAGATGTCAGTTGATAATTCTCGACTTGACCATAGTGTCTTGGGAGTACCGACTTACCGAAGAAGCTTCTTCGCGACGAAGTAGCCAACAGTGCCGAACAGACCGATCTTGAGAAGCGCCATCCCTCTTCTGGGTCCGTATGCTCGCAGCGGAAAGTTGGCTCGAGCAAAGACTTGTCTGGCATGAAATCGACTGAATCGGCGAGGAGGATAGTCCATGATTTGTTGTTGAATGATTCCTTAAAACCTCGCAGGTGGACGACGAATGTTTATAGGTAAAAACATCCAAGCCGAGTCCGGAACTCCGAGGCCGATCGGGGTCGGCTTTCCTTTTGAATAGCTCGGCCGCGGACTCGGCCTCGGGTGTGCAGCAGCGCCTTTGCGTATATCACCAACGAACAGCATCGGACGTCCGATCTTTTACTCGACATCGGGCATTGCTAGCTACAGCATGTATATCCGACCTCCTTTCATACGCAGAACTTGGCCTCGTGCCAGAGGTATATAGTACTGGCCATATTCTTTAGAATCGGACTCGTTATTCCAATCGACATCACAAGCACAACTATCTTTTGCGCGCCCTATCAAGCACCCCACAGCAACTATGCACGACGACCGTACCGCTGAGCTCGAAAAGGGCAGTCCAACCTCTTCGAGACCATCGAGTCCAGCGGAGCCCAAGCCTCAAGCATCTAGCCCACCAGCAGCACCTGAAGGAGGCATAAATGCCTTCTTATCGCTACTCGGAGGCTCCTTGGGTCTTTTCATCTCATTTGGATGGGTCAATTGCATTGCTCTGTTCCAAGCTGAATATCAGACCAACCAGTTGAAAACCTATAGCAGCTCGGAGGTGTCCTGGATCACTTCGTCCGAATGTGAGAGCCTTCTTCCCCAACCGGCCGTGAAACAACAAGCTCATTTCAATCTAGTTTTCTTCATGCTGTTCATGTCACCGTTGTCTGGATATCTATTCGACAACTATGGACCACGATTGCCGATCTGTATCGGTGGATTGATGCATGTGTTTGGCCTCATGATGACCAGCTTGTCAAGCAAATACTACCAATTCTACTTGGCACAGTCGATTTGCTCGGGAATCGGCACATCGCTCATTTTCACTCCGGCAATGACTTCGGTTTGTGTGATCACTCTTGGAACTTATCGCGCATTCTTTGACAAGCTTCGCAGCCTATGACTTACTTCAGAAAGCGCCGCGCTTTGGCAGGAGGATTGACCGTTGCAGGCTCGAGTCTGGGTGGTGTAATCTTTCCCCTTATGGTCAACAACCTCCTTTCGGAGGTCGGCTTTGCATGGACGATGCGAATCTGCGCTTTCTTGATCCTTGGGCTCTGGGCTATTGCCATGCTCACCATCTCCTCCAACTTGCCTCACACTCGCAAGGAGTTCAACCTTGCGAACTACCTTCGGCCTTTCACGGAATTCAACTTCTTGATCTTGTTGACGTTCTGCTTTTTCCTTTACTGTGAGCCGCCTATCATTATGTTGCATCGCAACACAGCTAACCAGGGTTTAGGGGGATTGTTTGTCCCTTTCGACTACCTTGTCCTGTCTGCTATGCACAACGGAATGTCAATGACTATGGCCTACAATCTGATTCCCATCATGAACGGAGCGAGCTTTTTTGGACGTACGATTCCCAATGGCCTTGCCGACAAGTACGGCCGTTTCAATGTGCTTATCATCATGCTCCTTTTCACTGGTGTCATCACTCTGGCCTTGTGGTTGCCTGGTCGCAGTAACGCGGCCAACATTGTCTTCGCCGCTTTGTTTGGTATCGGATCTGGCACCACCATTGGCTTGACACCGCCCCTTCTGATGACTCTCTACCCACCTCAGGAGATCGGGTTTCGAATCGGGCTGGCTCTTGCTATCGCAGGCATTGGTACCCTTACGAGCCCTCCGATTGCTGGTGCAATTGCAGAGACAGGGGGCTCTTTCGGCTTTGCGGCCTTGTTCAGTGGCGTGAACTTCATGGTCGCGACAATCTTTTTGGTGTGGCTGAGGGGTAGAGTTTCTGGTTGGAATCCCCTCACAAAAGCTTGATGCCTAGTCAAGGGCACTGAGCGTAGCAGCCTGCTGCAAATACAACATCTGGTGAAGAAGAGGAGACTGGCGTGGAGGCAGAGAAACATAAATCGGCACACGCGTGACATGAACACGATCTTGCGGCAGCATGGCACAATCCCTTCTGTGTAAATACAAAGATTTTAGTCTTACATTTGGATCAATCTCTGTAGACGAAAAGACGATATGTATAGATTTAGAGAGTCCGGAAATTGATTTTATGACCATTAAGATCACTACCTCTTCAATATATGCTTGTTAAAATAATTCATGGGTCATATCTATATCACTCATGTCACTCACCACTCATGGGTGAATGGGCTTGCACGAGTTTGTTAAAGATTATGGTGTTTAGACCGCCTTTGGGCTGTTTTGTGTTGTCTTATTGGCTAATCGCTTCCTACCGCCTACGGGTAGTTCTGCCCGTCATACCCCATCAAAATCCGTACTCCTTTCCACCTCATTTCTCTACAACTTCATTCAGACCTCTTTGATTAACTTCGTTGAATCAACTGTGATATAGAATCTCTGATTGTTTCCGTCACTTAAACAGCATTATACCCTTAGAGATTTGCAATTAAATGACCACCAGTCGGAGTCGGGAATTTTTACTTCGTTGGTCACGTTTATCTTTTGGATTAATTCATTCATATCTAAGTACAGCATCGTTAAAAGATTTATAGGACGCCCTGGGGCGGCCGACAATCTTGTTTTTTATGATTGTGGAAGCACCTTTCCATTATTGCGGTCATCACTAGTGAGGGTCTGCTGCCGATAGCGCCTAGATATCGCCTTAATGCAGTTGCCCCTCAGAGCTCTCCTATAGTTCCCGGTCATCTGTTGATAATATCGTCCTGCATCGCGAAATGGCACCGGCCACGAGATCAGCGGCCAGGAAGTGCTTCATTGCGTCGACCTTGACTCCTCCAGCCTTGAAAACACCGCAGGTTCTAGAAATGATTCTGCTTCAGACAAATATGCGCACTCTTCTGACATCTTGCCTATATGTCTGTTGGGACTGGCATAATCTGATCATTAAGTCACCATCGATTTAAAAAGCCCTCTTCCTCATCCCAATCAAAGAATCCGAATGGGGCGCGGGAGAAAAGGTACCTAATCCATTTTTACTACTAAGGGCGACCCAGACAACCGCGACTTTCATTTTTCCGATTGCGCGATGACCAAAGATCCCGTAACTTTGGATCGTTTTGTCCAGAAAGATGCTAGCTGGCGCAGGATACTCGTGTGACAGCCTCCTATTTCAGAGCTCGGCCTTTTCCATATTGATTCTGCCAGGGGTGGCGACAGCGCTCACTGTATTAGTATTCCCGTTAGTTTTGCAATCAATCTAAGATTGGAATTTCCCGGCTGACATGATGTATCTAGGCAAATCCGAAGAAGCAAGCAAACGGAGGTGAGGGCCTCCGAATGGGAAGGCTCTTTGAGATCTTACTATTCGATTCGCCCATTCGAGTTAGAAGGTCCAGGCGTGCACGCCTGTATTGGTCAGCAGATGAGCCGATTGATTTCCATTCGAGTTGTGAACTCAATAAAGACGCATTTCATATGCTCTACCATAGGACACGACAACTATCAAATTTTGAGGTAGTCTGATATTATAGCGGGAAGCCAACCAACTAGCTAAATACTAGAAGCAGTTCTTGCATCCGCCAGCTCGTCAATCTGAGCTGCTGTATTACCTATCTTCAATGTCAGCTCCTTGCCCTAATAAAACAGAACTGACTACTTCTGGAGTTGCCGGTCGATAATTGTCTAGTTGATATCGGTTTTGTCATAGCGATTGGTAAGAACGATCCCTTACGGATATAACAATGGAAGTATCCTCACCTCTTACCCTTCGGTCACGGGGAACTTTACATCCAAGGAGATCATACAGTTCCTTTTCCAAGAACTGCTGCCAGTAGTCTCTTAGAGCTAACACGAGGTCTTCATCGGTATCCTTCGATACGATTCGGTTATTGACCTTGACCCGCCACTCTATGAGATAATAGATATAGGTTGGCGGTTCTTCATTGTAAGTACAATCCTCATCCTACTGAAAAAACTGAAGTAATTCGAAATTTTCCGGTCATGATTGGCTTGCCGCATTATTGCCATTATCGACCGCATACAAAGGGGAGGGGCTGTACGTGGACCGTGTGTCGTAAGGGCTATGAAAGAACCCAGGCGTGGGCGCATACCGAGAGTCCTGCTCCCACGATTCGAGCCATTCGGGCTGGAATATACAGTCAACATCGGGTGGGCTTCGAGTTATCTCTCGAACTAGTTGTAGCTTTAAAGATATATATTAGCTTGCTTGAATATAACAGCTTCACAAAGACACCAGTAACCAAGGAAAACCATAATCCGAGTTTCTGGGGCACTGGCGTTCCAAGCTTTGAGGACGAGACGAGCACACTCTACCAAGAGAATTGGATGCTGACACGAGCCTGGTGGTATACCCGTGGCTGGATCATTGGTAATTCCAGGCCCTTACAACGGGAATTTGAGTTATGGAGATCCAATCCTTTGTGGTATATGCATCCAATTATTGTTGAAGGCTGCAAGTCTAGAAACGGGTGTTGTGGTCGTGATTGTGGATGTTGTCTTGATGCTCAATGTGCAAATAGTTCAGCCGGGGCGCTTGGTATGGGACACTGCACTTTTAGAATGCGGATGTTGTATAAGATCGCGTGGCTTTGAACTGAGTGAGGAAAGGGAAAAATTTCTTCTTGATCGCTTCTCATCTGATGATCAGATGGATACTATGGATCATCAGGTCGATCCTTATCAGCGCCGAATTTGTCTTGTCTATATTTGGGGTTTGAGTGTGGATGATAGCTAGATCATCCAGAATGAGATTCAATTTCAAAATGTTGCTGCTATGGGACTTTCAAATAAGGGAAGTGAAATTTGAAAGAAAAAAAAAAACGAAGAAGCATTACCCTACGACTGCTATGGTTTGCCCTCGACAAGCAAACCTCCTGGGAGTCATGTCCAATGATAAGAGACTTCTACCCGGGGATTTCACTAGGTCTGTGGGGTTATGTGGTGCGATGTTTTGGGAGCCTCTAGCATGCGGGACGGAAGGAAGAATAGCTATTTTCTGTAGAGACTTCTCACTGGAGGGAGATCGTCGGCGAAGGAAGTCTGCATTTGGGTTGATCTCGAAGGATGACTGGAAACGAGACGGACGGCCAAGAATCGGCGGCAACTGCGTATCTTCTTCATCGGGTTCAAGATTCAAGAGTATCTTCAGACTCCGTACCCGCAGAAAGTTCATCCTGGTAAGGCTCGAAAACATCTTCGAGCCCCATGTCGGAACCCTCATCCTCACTATCGCAATCCCACGGCCTCATAGGGACGTTGGCTGCTCCACTAAGGGCACCGATTCTATGGAGAATCCATTGCATTTGGAGGAGATCCCATGAAGGCAATGGTAGGTTTTCTGGATCCTTGGTTTGGAAAATGACCAGATCACCAGAATTCATCTTGTGCGCGGATCCATCAGTGTTCTCAACACGAAGATTGAGTAAATCTGCGGGAGGATGAAGCGAAATACTCGGTTTGGCCTGGATCTGAACCTTCTGTCGCGTGACCTCGGGAAGCCAGTAGAAGCGTGTGATCAACTCCTTACCGTCATCGCGCAGATGGAGCGGCTGGAGGGCAAAGTAACAAGCCCCCCAAAGCCTGTGGGCGTTGGGGCACAAGGAAAGCAAATTCTCGCAAAGCTCTGTGCCACATGGGCCCGTCAACCGGGCTTCCCATTGATCGACTTGGTCTTTGCCCCAGAACATGTATAGCGTTTTCCAGAACTTGTCGTACGTGTCAGTGTTCTTATTGTTTCCCGATGATTGACTTTTCTTCAGGGATAGTGGGTAGATGTGAGCCACATCTACCTGGGGGAAATTGGTGATCACACAGCTGAAATCATCGCGCTTAAGACACTAGTCAAGGTATTAGTACATAGATCATTCCTCACTCCATGCAAATTAGACGACTCACAGCTGTTTTTGCGGTCAACTTTCGCTTCGGGCTCTCCTCCCCTAACTTTCGCTTCCCTTGTGTCTCAGGCAGCCCTGCGATCATCCTCGGCTTTGTTTTCCCTAAGGAGTTTCAATGTCAGTCCTTCCGTCGGTTAGAAAGGGGTATGAAAAACGGAAGTAGCTCACAAGCCCTGATCATGGCGAAAGTATTCGCGCCTGTCATGGAGAGGGACGCATAGGTCTGGGAGCATTCCGCCACCTGGAGAATCTCTCGAAGGGATTCAATATCGGACAACCAGAGGCATGCCCAATATGTTGAGTCCGCTTCACTTTCATTTGATTTTTCTATTAGTTTGTCGATCAACTTTGCTCTCTCGGTATCCCCAAGTTCTGGCAATGGATCAATAGGCGGAGGGCTCCATGGAATATCAGCAACTGGCATAGTAGGATTCTCGATCGGAGGCGCTTCCTCAAAGCCAATAAGCTCTGATGAAGGTTCCATGTTGTCGTGATGGACTACAGTCATGGCTGGTCGATAGGGAAACTGCTGAGATGGGTGGAGTTAGCCAAGTGCTCCCAGCACTGGAAGGCACGTAACTCACCTGACTTCACTCCGAGGCCCAATTGAGACGCGCAATACGTAGTGCTGACGATAAAAAAGTTTGCTTGGTCGTTGGAACTCAAAGTAAGATAAAATCATCTTCAATCATACTTCGTAACTTCGTGACTATTTACTTTACTTGATTATAACTTGACAACCACAACAAATAGTCCAATACTTCGGTATAGAACTATCCAGCGCTCTGCCTAGCGTCGCTCCTCGACGCCCTAAAAGGACTCGGCCCATACAAGGCCTTCGAGGCAACGGTACAGTTGAGAGACAGATCGTTGACGCTAAATGACTGAGAAGCATAAGGCAAGTATCACTATAGACCCTTCTAATATGTGCGTACATAACATACGATTATACAGCAATATTCCCTTAAGAACTCTCCCAACCAATATATACCCATGCCCATGGACACTCCTATTTGATTTTGGTAGCTCATGTTCTAACTCAACTTGTGATCAGGAGCGGAGCGTATTGGGGCGCTAACCCAAAAAGGCAGTAATTCACAGGCGCCGTTTACATACTCAAAAAACCCTACATTTTGATTAGAAAGAATTAGAAATGCGTATTTTATCTCATACCTACATGTTTTAATCCTGATGACGATAGAGCAATTTTGGAGCAGTTTTGGAGCACATATTGAAGTTCTGAAGTTTGTTGAAGCAGTTGTTGGAGCAGTTGTTGACGATGAAGTAGATGTGGTGATAAAAGTGACTTAATTTTGTTAGTGGTTTACATACAAATTGTAGGTACCTGCTGTCTTGCTACTATATGGGGGTACTAGTGATCTCGACGGCCTAGGGCCTCCAGATAGTCGTTGCAGAGCGAAGCGACTGATTCTAACTTTAATGCTGCGCAAAGCCCCCCTCTTACTGGCTTATTGGCTTCACAGCGACCCTCGGCTAGATCAACTCCCCTGCTTTTGTCATAATTCAGCCCCCCTGAGAGAAAACTTGGCCACGTGACACGTACGTAAGATCTTCTGCTTTATACTTGTTTCGCTTCGCTCCGCAATAAAGGCATGTAGGGTGTTGAGGCAGGGAAATGTATCTGATTAGGAAGGCGGTACTGAAATGAATATGCAAGAGGGGGCTTTGCGTAGCATTGGAAGTCAGAATCACTCTGCAACGACTATTTGGAGGCCTTAGGCCGTCGAGATCACTAGTACAGCCTAATTCGGCATCGGGCCAGTCAGAGCTGGGCGTCGGAACTCATCGATCCATGGATAAGTCTCATCTCTATTTGCTTTCATCTTCTTTCTTCGTCATCACCTCATTTCAAGTCAAACACCAAGCAAGATGAACCAAGATTGCTCCCGAGAGGAGTCCAAACCTCCACTTTTCGCCCGACTCGGCGAATTTTCAAAGCTACCACCAGAGCTACGCTTCCAGATCTGGAACTGTCTCTTCGATGATTTCTTGTGGAACACGTCCAGCACACCCTGTGGTCTATCCATCCTTTCTTGCAATCGATACCTCAACGAGGAGACAACTCATATTCTATACGAACGTCGCGTCCTCTCTCTTACTATCGTAATTCGTTGCTCGCCTGAAGGAGGAAGAATACCAGAATTCCACGCTATCGTGAAGGCGGCAAAGGGTGCGGGAAAACTAATGGGGGTCAAATTCATGGGATTGAGCTACCTTGATGATGTTCTTCGACTTGTCCGAAATTTTCCAAGCTGGAGATTCCAGAAATGTGGGCCGTGGATTCACGTCAACTACTTCTGTTTACTGTGCCCCAGCGAAGAGTTAGAGCTGTGGGACTGTGTTGTCAGGGTCGTCGACACTTTGAAACTCATACCGAACGGCAAAAACATCACATTCAATACTTTCTATCCCTACCCTCTACTTCGAGAGCAAACAGTAGGACTAACGCGGAGCGGTGTGATAAAGGACTGGTTTGATGAAAGATTCCCGGGGCAGCCTGTGCCGTTTCGGAGCCGCCATCGTCCAGACATTCGTGATCACGGTTATCCCCCCGGTCCATGCCTAATCATTCCGGTCTACCACTATACGGTATTGCAGGCCATGCGTTCTGCCGAGCTAAAGCGACATGAACGAGATAAGCTGGAGGTTGAGTTATGAGCTGTGAGATCCGGAGTCTGCAGCCTATGAAAACTGAGCCCATGAGCCTTTCAAGGCTACAGCTTGAAACATTTCCTCCCAGTCACCAAGTCCTTTCACATCCCGCTGCCGCCCCGTCTACCGGCGAGAACGACCTGTATCTGTTGTCTCTTTACCAAGAGTTGTCACGATCCACTACAGGTCGCTATCATATGCTTCATGTTTGCTTGCTCGCTCGTTTGCTTGCTTGCTTACTATTTGCATTAGATATATTGTTTGCTGGATATCTAAGCCAGATGTTCGAGGTTTGCAATGTTCGCAAAGGGACAGCTATATCAACAGGCTGCCTCCCACTTTGCAACTTGCTTCTTCTTTCTCTCCCCATCTTAGTTATTCTGTATTGAATGCACTCTTCTATCTTTGGAAGACCTGGCACGTCACAAAAGCTTGTGCTTGTGGTGAGCTACCTTCTACTACTTCCTCTGGCCACACTTTTTTGTACATAGATCTATTACTTGACACACCACTAGGCTCCTTGGGGCTCACATTACTGACCAGTCTCGAGATCCGTCGGACATGGCTAGGTGGCATCGGAGAATCAGTGCAATGACCCGAGCATCGAAGGCTCTTAGGCAATACATAACTTGATCTGTTGTTCAAGATCATTTGACTTGCTGTTGTTTGAGATCGGGTCCCCTTCCACTATGTGAATGAAATGCCTAACATGAAATGCTAATATAAATGAGCCTTACCCGCCGTAGCAACACACACAAAGAGCATCAAACGACAGATATGCTTGAGAAATTTCAGTTTCGGGTTTTTATGAGTGTAATATTCAGAAGATTCGGATCTTCATCGGCAAAGGCAAACACAGACCGCTGTATTTGAACTTCGGTCTATGAAACATTGTGTTTCACATTTGGTTGCATCTTTCTGGGAGCTAAAAGAATGTTAGAAATAGGCGTCAACCGAAGTTACATGGTGATTGAAATCAATACTGGGAAACACAGTCTACGAAGAAAACAGTAATCAAGAAACGGTGATTATTATAAGAAGTAAAGGGATCGCATGCTCATCAAATACGGATGAAGTATATTTGTTACTAGATACATACTGTATATGAGCTCGTCTTAGCTTCATCCATAAAATATTACTAGACCTCAGCACCACGATAAGGTACGAGCTCTTCGCTGGGGGGGGGGGGGGGGGGGGGGGGGAAGAAAAAAAAAAAAAAAAACAACCGAGATAAGAAAAAATAGGATGAGGGGTGTTCGGCCAATGGGGGGCTGT